TCAATATCGGCGGTGGATGTGGGAAAAGCCACAGCTGTTTCTGAAAAAAAGGAGGGAAAAACATGTCTCATCCCGGGCAGAAATTATGAATGCCGTGCTGCCTGGCCTGTTTTGCGGCTAACTGCGTGATACCTGAAACCGCTGTGGCGAAGCAAATGTACATGTACTGCAGTGCCAGCGATAACAATGCAGATATCAGCAGGAGCACAGCGGTGTCGCGCATACCAATGTGAAGCCAAGCAATGTTTCTTATCGCAGTGGCAATGTACAGTAACTCTTTCTGTGGAATTGGCATGATGCCCAATCTGATAAATGTTTGTGAGTCATCTGCCATCCTCCAAGCTTTTAAACATTCAAGAGTCATTTTTTTCTTCAAATACAAGCAAAATACAAGCAAGCAATGACTTTTTTTCATTTTAACCCTAACTCCCAATGCCTTTTTGCTAGAATGTAGCCTCAATCCTGCAAAATCCTCCAATTGGCCTCATATACCGGTAGCCTCAATCTTGCAAATTCCTCCATTATTTCTTGAAAATGGTCCGTGGAGGGGTGACCACTGCCTGAATCCTGCAAAATCCTGCTACAGTGACTGTCAATATCTTGAGGCTTGGCTAGTGAAATCCTGAAGCAGTACGGAGGATTTCAAGCATAATCCAATCCTATGCATGGCCGAGCAAAAACAACACAAGGTCTGGCCCAAGACCTTGACAAAGTGCATCTCACGAAATCAGTAACGAACATTTGCCATGTAACCTCAATCCTCCAAATTCCTTCACTTTGGCAAAGAGGAATTTGAAGGATTCAGGGCGGTTAGGGTTAAAAAACATCCACTAATCATTTCTATAGCTTTTTAGGAAGGTAATTTTGTTGCCAAGGGTTCAGTTATGATTTCGATGAAACTAAAAAAAAAAAAAATTATCTTCAAGTTCCTTACTTCAAATTCAAACCTGTTTCAAAAATATGTTGCCTTCTGAAATACAGCCCTGCCTACGCTGCAGGCCTGCAAGTACATGTATTTAATTATCAATTGATCAATCATTGTCTTGATTCATGACACTTCATTTATTGTTTTGTCATTTTTGTAAATTTATAATTGATACCTACGGTACAATGGAAGTTTCAATGATCAATCATTCTCCCACCTTTCAGAAAACTGGTATTGACAATATTTTAATAAATTTATAGATCTGTCTTTTTGTTTGTCCCACTTCCTTATTTTCAAAGCTTTGTAGGAAATTTCTAAGGTTTTGGGCTTGAAACACAGATGTTATCATCAATAATGAAATGAAATTTATATTAAAAAAAACATTAAAAATTGGCAATTCCGCGTTATGTAATGTCTGGGACTGAGCCTTTCAGGGCTAAAAAAAAATGCAAGATTTTACGAGAATACAGCACATCCGGGCACCATGTACCGGTGTATATCTACAAAGTGTGTAACATTCTGTTTGTTGCATTTATTTTGTGCCCAGACTTTGGCCATCCAATCAAGGGCAATAAATGGGTATTTCGAAAGAAAAGAATGCCATACATTGTACAATTCAAAGCATAGGGCCTATTGAAAATATTACAAGTTATTATAAAATGAAAATTGTTGACCTCAACTTTTGTTAATTGGGTTAATTCAAACACGGGAGTCTGTGACTAGACTAGTCGGTGTTTGGTAGTATACATGGACTGGGGAGACAAGATTACACGCTCTTAGTATTTTTCTAATATTATCATCCTCTGGTAATGGTCAAGGAGATTACAGACTAGGAGTTTTGGATCCTTTCTCTGAATCATTAATTAGGTATCATGGTTAATTGGCTCGGTCACGGACGTTACACTGCCTGTCATAACGCTGGAATGGACCGATCCAGTAAGCATCGCCCCATGGTGTTCTGACCAATCACAGCCGTGATTTATGTCCGACGTGCGTGCACAAAAGTCCGACATGCGTGCACGCGCGTATGATGCGCGCAGAAGGAAAATGCAGCGTGGCATTGGAGCAGAGCACGTGTTAATTTGCCCATGTGCGCACTGGGCGGAGCTTACTGGATCGGTCCATTACCCAATATCGGTTCCAACAATCGCAATTATGAATTGAAATCAACTCACTTTTACAACAAAATTTTGTAAGGTTTTGAAAGACTTGAATATGTATTGTTCTACCGGTACACGTACAATTTTCACGTACAGTTATTGCCTGTTGGGTACAAATGAGAGAATTGATAGGTCCTTCAGAGTACACCACCGTATCACTCTCCATCAAGGCATTATGCGTTATTACATCAGCCATTCAGGTTGACAGGCCCAGGGGCTGTGTTCAAGATGTGTGCATTGTGCAATGCTCTATGCTGTTCCATATCATTCTGCCTGATAAAACCTCATCAAGCGACCCACTGCATGGCTGATTTTAATATCAGTACATTAAAGCCCGAGTCCATCATTTGCAGCCATCCAAAAAAGTAACCGGCGTAATTATTGTTGAAAAACATACTGGTTGAAAGATAGTAAGGGGACTAAACTCCCTGTGAAATTATCCTTTCTGGCAAGCTCTCATTTTGAAGAAATCAACGAAAGAAGGCATTTCCAACGGTGCTTCTTAAGAAGCACCGTAGGAAAATTTAAATTAGTTGTTCGTTTTGTTATTCGGCGCAGCGCGCACAAGCATTGGAATGACGCACAGGCGCGCGATGTTGCTATAATTCGTTGGATCAGTGCGCAACATCGCGTAAAGCTGCAATTCAAAACAACTCAAAACATGATTGAGCAACTTTTGATTTTAAATTGAGATCCTAGAATGCTGTTTTTCTCGGAATGTGAAGCTGAAGCTGAGCTGAAACTTCATCAAGTAAGTTGTTCAGTATCCTTCGTTAGATTTTGAACACTTTTGTTGCTCCAAACGAACAAAATGCACTAATTACAAATGATGGACTATATAGCTTTAAAGATGAAAGTTTCAAGCTGTTAACATCTTCATTCATGTCACACACTGTAGGTGTACTAGTACTGTATACACAAATTTGCACAAAGCCAGAAATGTACCCGGAAATAACATGTGCGAAAATAACATGTGTGCACACATGGCACATTTGCATACATACTTTATAATTTATGTTTTCATGAAAGGTACAACAATGAAAACGTTTGCATGTATGATAAAAGTGACCCAACCCAGGCTAGCAATATGAGTCACAAGTCGCCAGACTTACATACATACTTTTCAGTATGTAGAACTTTTTACAAATCCTGCACATTGTGCACAATGGAAGTCTACAGGAATAGTCAATTTTTCAGCTTTGTGCATAGTTTACAATGTTCATCTGCATAAGATGTCAAACCGGGTCAATTATATCAAGATAAAGTCTAGTAGAATATAAAACTTTTATTTCCAAAGTGAAAAGTTGCAATCAGGATTCTAAAAGGTAACAAAATAGCATTTTTCACATTTTGGAAACAAAACCTATATGTATGCTCTTTCCTCTGCACATTCAAAACAATTTAGTTTAAAAAGAAATGAGTCTTAAAGAAGACTCATTTCGTGGGATCTAGTCCCAAATTTATAAACTGTTGTAAAAATCCATTGATGAACCCTGTGCAGTCACATGACTGTACTTAGGCCTATTCCCTTTTGAACAGATTCAGGCACACATTGTACGCATTACACCATGTACCTATCCAACTACATACATGTACTACATATTGTTCATGCACTGTCCAGTGACGTCAACCGTAGGCCTACATGCTCGTCTATTGTATGAAATTGTAGCGATATAACACTCTGAAAAGCGGTATATTTCCTAATCACATTATGACCTCAGGGGACGCAGACAAGTAAAAAAAAAAACCTAGGAATCCATTCTGTCCGGCAAATGTGACAGTTGCAAATGAAATCAAGCAAATTGCTCCTCTCACAAAGGATGGGCACAAATAACGCACGCACGCACTCACACGACAAACCACACAAGAAACCGTTGCAGATGACAAAGCCTTTCAGCTTCTCAAGGCCACGACCCGCCACAAATTGTAAATTAACAGAATCAAAATATCAGTCTTCTCTTCAGGTAGACAAGTTAATGGACATGGAAGAGTCCATTTTTTTTCCAGTAATGTTGTGCATTGTTATTTTGGATAAAAAGTTAACTATAGAATTTACACAGTACATGTAGGCATGGTATGAATTCACTTTTTTTTTTAGCTTATCAGCTATCATATTTCACATTCTGTACAATGTGAAATATATTTTTGTTTCATACAGTACTCATAGAATGCAGTCAACTTGAGATCATATTCTCCAGCCAATTTTCTTCATTTTTGGTGATGGAAGGCATGTACACATGCATGTACCCGGTAAGTCATGCCAGAAGCTTTCTAAATTTGCCAAAACCTCACACTGTGCAGTAAATATCCATTGACACATCTCTGCTCTCAATTTAAATACTGAGGACATCAAGACCAAAAGTGGCTGGGTTGTACAGTACTCAGTCTATGTCAAAATGCTACAGACCAACTTCGGATTTTGGACGATTTGGTGTGGAAATGATTAAACATACAATTGCTGGCAATCTTATTGTTAAATGAGTGCCAACACAAGTATTCTTCCATGTCCCCAAAGATTAAAATGGGTATTTAGGCCTATTCTAAACAAGTTCTACCCGATGTTCCCCAATACCTACATGTATGTTCCCCAAAATCCTTAGGGTTGGGGAACATCTGGTATTTGGGAACAGATGCCAAACTACATAACTGTTGTGTTAAGGTATCCAAAACAGAATGAACATACACACATGGAAATGCAGCTTACATATACGTACATGTACACTTGTATGTAAGACTTAAGTGCTGCCAAAAGTTAATTAAGCCACCATTTGTGACTAACACGACTTACGCCAAAACCAAGTCGGCAAAAATGCAACTTTGGGCAGGCTTGGGTCAGATTAAAAGAAAAGAGATTATTAACCCCTCATTACGGGTTGCAAAAATGAAACAACACAAAGAATAAAATGAAATCTTACTTTTTGTTGGAGGTTTCGCCGTTTACACTCTGTGAGGATGAGCAAGTGCTGCCCATGTTTTTGTCCAGGGAAAGAAGTCTAGTTCCTAAATCTGCAAATCCATGGACGCCTCATCAAGTAGATGTAGTTAATCACAACAGCATCCCGATCATTGTCGGCGATCAATCACAACAAAATCTTCCTCTTTCTCTCAGCACACACTGAAGGTGAATCCGAGCACGGGACGCTGCGGGGCGGATTTCAGACTTGACGAGTGAGGAGTTCACAGCTCAGTCAAATCGATTTCTTTTTTCTTTCCTTCTAAGAAAGGTTCTCCACACTCCTGTCGAGAGGAGATTATGTGCGCGTGTACGGTGTGCAGCAGTGCGAATGGCAATGAAGTTCTCTGAAGTTCTCAGTCTGTCTCAGCGGCTCTGATGAGGTTTCCAGTGAAACGATCCATTATTCAGTCAGTGGACATAAATAAGCGATAACCTCATCAGAAGATGAACAGCCAATGATGTGTGAATGGCCGACGGCACAAGAACGTGCAGATAAAGGTCCCTCAAATGGATGATGCCTTCAACTGTCCGATAGCTGAATTATACATCTGTAATACGCATATGGCTCAGCTCACTGACTCTGGCAAAGCTAAATATCATATGCACGTCCACTATTCCCTCTTTGAATATCGTAGAGGCTTAGATGTACAAAGTAGACTCATTGACATCTGCTTGGCATGTTGAGCGCTGACAGCCAAAAAAAAAAATCTGGACTCATTAAAATTCCCATGCAGTAGGGCAGCAGAACAGTAGCTGTCTCGGCAGGCTTTAGCAAGAGATGGTGTACGGCTTCCGATTCAGCTGTAACAGAAACCAGACAAATCCGTTGTTTATCCCACAGTGCCATGGCAATAATGATTGGTTAACATGTACCTCCACTATGTGCGCTTACAAAAATTATAGATCCGTGTGGGTATTTATAATCTAGGTATCGTGTGGCTTAATAAATAAACCACACAAAAATCTATGAAATCAAAACAAATAGTATAAATACGGATATTGGACAGAATTTCAGAACGATTCACAGACAAAAATTTACAAACATTAAAGGAAGAAATAATTTCAGCACAGACGTTTAGGCCCTATTAGCGTTGGAACACTGATGGTTTGACGACTTATTAGTCAGAATTCTATGTTAAAAGGTTCACAAACAAGGGTTAAATATGTAATTAACCTATCACGGTAGAATCGCGTCAACGCAGCTTGTGGAATATTGTTCAATTACACAAATGGACGCGGAACGCACAAAATCTGAGACAAACAAAACTTAACATGTACATGTACATACAAAATTCCATAGGGTTGTCTAAGGGGCGTGGCTAACTCGCAAACAGCAATAGGTCAATTTAAAACATAATATGATGGTTTTTTCCATTACCATACTTTTGTCAAATTGAACTACAAACAGTGACTACAGACTAGGAGATATTGGCAGTCATGTCCGAGATTCACAGGACAAACTAGATACAAAATGTATATGCTGTAGTGGTGCACAGGCAGGCACCAATTGTACCTCTAATTACCAATTTTAATTTTATTTTCACACATGTATTTCAGTTATGTCCATAAAAACTGCAGTATACTGTATGCACACGTACACTAGGAATGGATAATCTGTGACTATATACTTTACATATTGTACATACTTAAATACCACTTCTTGGTCAGATAAAATCTTTTTCATGTCAGCAAAACATCTATTTCACAGGTCTCACAAAAAAAAAATTGTGAGACTCAATGGGTAACCTTTAAAGACAAGACAATCAGTCTAATTAAGATGTTGACGCTGCCTTGAATACATCACACAGCGTATAATTTAACCTTTTGGAAAGACACATCTGCACTGAGCTGTAAAAAAAAAAAAAAAAAAAAGCCGACCTTTACAGAGACTACTCAGCTGGAAGAAACAGCTGCCACAAAATCTCGGGTAATTTCCCCGAGAGACGGAAAACAATAAACATCCAAAGCTTCAAACTCTCTTCAAAACAAGAACATAAATACACTTTCAAACAAAAAACCAAAAATCCAAGATTTCTTTTATCCGACAGTATTATTCAATGGACCTACATGTACTCTGATGTCCCACTCTTATGGATGGTTCATACTCAGGGTGACAGCGACAATCACAAATTTGTTATACCCTGTCATTAATTGCCCTGCAGATTTATAAAATTTGAACACAATTTAACTCCAGAGGAAAAATCTGCATGTTAGGTCAAATTTAAAAAAAAAACATGTTTAGCATCCTGCCTTTTTGAAAAAAGGGAAGGAGGAGGCCCTTTTTTTCTCTTTTTTCCCCCCAAAACGACCGCCCAGGCTATTTTCAAAGATGGCCGCCATCTTTTCTTTTTAAATGGCTGCCACTTGGACTCAGAAAATGACATATTATATGGGCTAGATGCAACAGAGAAAGAGGCCAAAATGATGTCACTGTTTTGTCAAAATTTATTATTTTTTCAGGGTTTTTTTTCAAAAAAAAAAGAGGTGGCCTCCAAAAAGGAAGCCCGGCGGGGACGCTAAACATATTTGTTTTTTTTTATTTGGCCATATGAATGTTACATGTGAGTGATCGTACTCGATGCAAACGCAAACATGACGTCACGTCAAAGTTTCCTCAAAACATTTCAATTCGGGAGAATTGCATGTTTGCGACATCAAAGTCACTACTTCACATTCATCATTCTTAGTATGAACCTACCTTCAGAGATATCAAATTCGCTTTGCAGTTGTTTTAGCATGAAGAAAAGAACCAAGCTCTGAGTCACACAACCATCAATTAAAAAAACACTCGTCCACAGTCCACTTGCGTACAAACCACGACGTATGATATGATAACCTGGATCAGACTGTGTCATTCCAGTTTTGTTACATTTTATGTGCTACACTTGCGTACAAACCACGACGTATGATATGATAACCTGGATCAGACTGTGTCATTCCAGTTTTGTTACATTTTATGTGCTACACTAAATACATACATGTACACGTGTAGATAAGCATAAACTGTTTTTTGTGAATCAGTGAACAAGAAATTCCAAGCCTGCTACAAACACTGCATCTTATGATTACAACTGGTCAGGAGAAGCCTGGCATCAGACCCGTCAACCAGAAAAAATCTAGATGAAAATCCCACTCCCGTGTACATTTGTACATGTACTCCCACTTGGAATGACAACCATCCTTCGTTCACACGCACTTCTTTCATCTCCAAGTCGGCTTACCGGTACATATAAGTGCCTTTTACTGATCCTACAAAGTCAACACAATAACAATGACAAGAATTGACAAGCTTCCCTCCCCCATTCCAAAAAAAGAAAAGAAGAAGTTTAAGAATAGAAAGCAAACTGTCCGCACAATGGGATGTCTAAGCTGCCTACTGTTTATGACGTCAATGGTGACAATGCAACTTGTCGTCATGGTGACAGGTACATGTATATTGTCTTTCCAGGCACGTGGGTTTTGTAGTATTTTTCTACGAGCTATCGCATAATGATATCCTGATGTATTCATATGATCTGGGGATTTTTAATGACAATGGCCGGACTTCATTAATTGATTGATGTTTTAACGACAGTAGAGTGAGATAAACTGTTTTGGAAGTGTCTTCACATTTACACATGGGGACAGCACACAAGTTATATCTCGTGCCTGCAATGTTCATGGAATACAGGGTGACCCAAAAAAATGCAACCCTAAAACATTTGCCTTTAAAAAACAAAGGGATCTGTGGATTTTTATTTTTTGGGTATCAGATTAAAGCTGATAACATTTTCTTTCAAATACTGAAAAAAATCATGAAAATACACTTTGGGTTGCTGAGAAAATGCCAGTTACGTAAAAGTAGTCATTTTTCATCCTGTACTCAAACAATTACCACAGTAAGGGATTTTCACTGTACTTATTTGTGCATGTCCTAATCCTAAGTACAAAACAACACATAATATGACAAGGGTGCAAATGAATTTGAAGGAAATACCTTTTGTTTTCCACCTGAACAAGAATCTCATCTTTTTAAAAAAACCTTTTCAGCATCATAAATATGTCAAAATATTAAAGAAATTGCACAAACGAGGATAATTGAAAGTAGGCTTACAGTCAAATGTTTCACTGTTTGAAGTTCTTGTGTACAGGATGAACAATGACTATGGTACTTTTACGTAATTGGCATTTTCTCAGCAATCCAAAGTGGTATTTTCATGATTTTTTCAGCATTTGAAAGAAAAATCTCTCAGCATTAATCTGATACCCAAAACATAAAAAGCCACCTATCCCTTTTTGTTTTCAAAAGGCAAATGTTTTAGGGTTGCATTTTCTTTTGAGGTCACCATGTACATGTATGCCTGTCAAAATTAATAGAAAGGATTTTCACGTTGAAAACTTCCTGTTCGTTTCTTCATATCATATCTGGTGAAATTTTTTTTGAAATCGAAAAAAAAATCGTCCCCAAAGTTTCTCCTGAAATTTTCCCTCCAATCTTAAACTTAAATAAGATCCTCAAAAACTGCATACATTAATTAATTCCATATTATTTTAAATCTACAAACAACTGTAACTAAACCCCCCCCCCCCCAAAATGAAACTTTCAACAATATGAGTAAGTTACATTTAGAACCAACCAAGCCCGCGGGAACGGGGGGTGCTGTGGGTGCTGCAGCTCCCCCAACTATTGGGATTGGGGTGTTGGAATATGCTTCAGCACCCCCTACTCCTGGGCAAAAATGTGTTCCAGCGGTTAAGCATGGCGCTTCGAAAGTCTAGCACAAACACTGTAAAATGTCAAGAGGAGGTATTTTCTAAATCTTCAGGCAGTGCAGAATCGATATTTCTCTCAAGGTATCTAAAATCATGACATGTCTATGATATTCCGCCACTGGAAGCTTTGACCCGAAAGCAATAACCTCGGCCATGACAATGGTGGCAAAGTTGATTATGCTTGCCAGGATTTTTTTCATTCGATCTTTCAATAGGGGCAAATGTTCATAGTTTTCCCATGAAGGTTTTTCTTTTCATTTAAAAGTTTCATTGACGATGCAAGCATTCTGTACTCAACATTAACAAAAAGCAAGGTGAACACACATCCCCAACCTAATAGGAGTGGGACGGGCTTTGATTTAAACCAGTCATGCTTTACGCCAATTGCAATGTAGTTTCGTTTTAATAGAAAAACACTATTCATGTTTTACCCTCTGCAAGTTTTTCCTCATAAAAACTCAGTAGACCGATAAATCCTTGCCTATAGCCCCAAATAATGGCGCAAATTATGTCTATTATTAAAGAAAGGTAAATAAAGTTTATGAGAAATATGAGACCCATTATGTCTAGATGTCTTTTAGTCTTTTATATTTGCCATTCCCTGTAACAAACAAATAACACTGCAAATATGTATATCGAGAGCCACATCGTTTGGTGAGTTAGAACTAAGTGAATATTTTTATGAACAGAAATTCATCTGCTTCCAGTTGAACCATTTGTTTTAACTGAAACCAAAATGACATCCTTTCGGGTTTTATAATTTTCAGTATACTACCAGTATATTTCATCACAGTGCATCCAGAATCCAACATTTTCCGGGGCCTTAAAGCGGGCCCTAAATCTCTTACTAAATGTAAGAAAGCAGCCTTGCAACAATAATATTTACATGCGATGTCATGCGTAATTCTTTTTCCAGAATTAAATGGAACCAAAAATGGAGATAAAAATACAGGGTTTTTAAGAGCAATAGTATATCCTAAACAAAATAATAAAATAAATTGTCTTAAATCTCAAAAAAACTTTTGCTAAAAAAGGTAAACTATGAAAGTGGCCAGGAATCGCCTCAGATTGCACCGTACCAAAGATCATCCATATTCCAAATTAAGCCACGACGTAAGGGCTTTGCGCTCCTCTTCCGTATTAATTTTGTCCGTCCTTTAGAAATTCCAGCACCCCCTGACAAAAGTTTGTTCCAGCGGCAGTGGAACCAACGCACACGTAATGTGTTTTATGTCTGTATGTCTGTTCGCGGCAGTCTGCAATAAACATTAATTTCAAAAAGTGTGGCTCTTTTTTTATTGAACTTTTCATTACTCTTTCTTCATGTGTTATCATGTTGCCAAAAGGTGTGGTGACTACGGATGAATGAGTAAAACTGTTGCATTACGTGACCACAACATGCCATTTTGTAAACAAATGTCACATCTTGTACAGCATGCTTTATCGTACTTTCTCAAGTATTGGCTCTGAGAAAATGCTGATGGGAGTGAAACTTCAGGCCTTCCTAGCTACATGTAACTTAAAAGGTAATTAAAACCCTAACTCCCTAGGCCTTTTTGCTAGGATGTAGCCTCAATCCTGCAAAATCCTCCAATTGGCCTCATGGAAAAATAGCGTATAGCCTCAATCCTGCAAATTCCTCCGCTATTTCTTGAATATGGTCCATGGAGGGGTGACCACTGCCTGAATCCTGCAAAATCCTCCAGCTATGACTGTCAATAGGCTGAGGCAGAGGCAGTGACATCCTGGAGCAGTGTGGAGGATGTCAAGTATAATCAAGGACTAAATTTATGCACGGCTGAGCATAAACAACACAAGGTCCGGCCCAAGACCTTGACACAGTGCGTACTCCGAAATCTGCAACCCACTTTTGCCATGTAACCTCAATCCTGCAAATTCCTCCAATTTGCAAAAAGGATTTTGGAGGATTCAGGGCGGTTAGGGTTAACATTTGCAAACAGCAAAAAACAAAACTGCCAAATTATTATGACACGAAATACCTTGCTTGACTGTACGTGAATAATAATAGTCTCAAGCATCCTTAGGAACGAAACCCACTTTTAAATTATTTGCCCTACCACCGGAAAGATTTCCATATATACGAAGTTCACTCAACACCCTGTGTACAAACCCTATGAGATTGGACTGAAAAATTCTAAGTGTTTTCTAAGAAAATGCTTGTATTTTCTCACTGCTCAAATTGACTTTGATGACATGAAATTGCTATCTGGGGGCTTGTTAGTCAATACAGAGGAAAATGAGTGAACTTCGTATGGAAATCTTTCCCTACCAAACTAGTTGGCAACATTAAGAACACGCAGGTAGGTACATGTATGTCATGTATGTCATAGATAAACATGATAAAGGGCAGAGTTTTGAATTTTTGAGGGAAATTTGGGGGTAAAATGACGATGACAATGACAAAACGCAACACAAAAATAAAGATGGCGATCACCGCGCGATGTACCGTGAGTCTATTCCTTCCTCCATACATGAACGCTCGAGACGCGCTGAATCGCACGGCACCAACCGTAAACAGCGTAGGAAAATGGTAACTTCTACCACAAGAAACTGTTCAAAAATTACAAAAAGGTGTCATTACATGCTTATTGAGAGAAGTCTGCTTTGAGTTGAAAAGGTCATTTTTTAGTAATAAAAAACACTCTTCAGACAATGTCAGACTTCACTCTAATTTTGATTGAAACTAAACACTACAGTCTACACCGTGTAGTACACGGTCGCCAATATCTTTGCAATATAAATTAAACGAAGTGGCTATCGTTACGGCACTCGTTGTTTAGCGCCCTCTACGATATTTTTTTGATACGCACGCGGGTATATAATTATTTGTTTCTCCACGTTTTATCGAGCAGTGCGCCAGCTCAGCCGATAGAGGGTAGGATTTTGCACCGCGAGGTTGCGGGTTCGAATCTCAGTTTTGCACTCGAATTTTTTTCCTTTTCTAACCTGAGGCTTTGGAGGATTTTTTTTAAAAGGGAAATAAAGTCCGAATTTCATAAAGTTCAAATTCACTTTTTTCCTTCTAATTTTATATTTTCTTGTCATGTTTTTTTTATAAAAGTTGCCAGGTTGCAGTCTACCGTAACGATAGAAAATGGGAAATGCGTTACGGCTGCCGTAACAATAGCCACTGCGTAAATTAAAAGTCTCATTTGGCAAAAAAAAAATGAGGTTGGGCCTATGACACAAGGATACTGTATTACAAGTCCCACTTTTAGCTCCATGCTTTATAACCAGTCTGATGATGAGTGATTTTCAGTCACTACACTAGACTGCAGTAACGGAACCATGGGAACAGCGTTTTGACTTTTTCCTCAACGACGTGTTGCGACAATCCAATCCGTTCAACATGAGTAAAACTCCATTTACTTTCGTTAAAACAGAACCAAAATCTTTGAATGCTTACCTGTAAAGTTTGCGTTCGACTGTTGTAGAACATGCAAGTGGTGAAGTCTAGTCGAAAATACAGCCTAAACACTCAATGAGGCAGGGCTAACTAATTAAACATCACGATCGCTCAAGCAGTGAAAATTAAAATGTCGCGTGAAATTTTAGGCCAGTAAAGTGTTGTAGCGCCACCTAGTGTTGAGAGATTCTTAAAGCAAGATGTCGGACCCCGTGACGGAGGAAAACAAGGATTGCGATCCTGACAGAACCGCTGAAATTTTGGAAGAAACCGCCAGAGATTATGCGGAATATGTAATGGTAGATCCACAGAGGGAGGTGAGCTATTTGATAGATAACTTATGAAGTCTTGGGATATTGATTCATAAACTAAATTTCTCAGTAAAAATCCAGTTTAATGTTCGAGTCATTGAGTGAGTGTGCACTGTCGTCGTGGCCGGCCGTGGCTGGCCGACCGTACTGTACGCAGCCTCAGGATTGTGGCTAGCGTTAGTGGCTAGCGTTACGGCAGCCGAATTAAAGCGATTTTCATCTGATATCGTTACGGCATTGCAAAAACACCATCACGAATCTTTTTGAATATTTATGACTGCCCTACCAACCAGAGTGCTTTGGTAGCTCGATTGGTTAAGGATCAAATCAGCCTAAACAAATGCCAAACTATTTTTTTTTTTTACTTTTATAGGGCTCTAGGATGTCTACTTTCATTTACTTTCATGTTTTTTAATCAAATCCCACTTTTTATGTGAAACAGATTTCATTGTCTTCTTCGTAATCTGTGGCTTTTGAGGGTTTGTTAAAAGGGAAATAAAGTGCGAGAACCATTTGGTTGATACTGTTCGAGGAGCCAAAAATCCTGACATTGAATATGTTGTGCCCATTCTTGAAAATCACGCATTCTCGAGAATGGGCATGCACATTCTCGAGAATGGGCGCGCATTCTTAAGAATGAGCGCCCATTCTTAAGAACGAGCACGCGTTCTTAAGAATGAGCGCTCATTCTTAAGATTGGGTGGGAATATCACGTGCACAATTTATGAATTTTGCCCAATCTTAACAAACATTGCACGACATAATTATGTTAAATGAATTGTATAGCGGTTAAAAGGGAAACAATTCATATAAAGAGGAAAGAAAATGTGCTATGCTTCTGTACTCGTATAACTACGATAATTTGAATCAAATTAAACCTGTTATTATTGCTTTTTTCTGCCCACTATGGGAAGTTTTGTATTAACGGAGGACTGGGAACTAGTCTGGGAAGTGCTTTGTTTAGGCTAGACAAGTTACAAGTCCCTGCATGTATCATATGCGTGCCACGAAAAAAAAACGATGTCCAGAAGCTGCCAAAATTGCTCTTTTGACTAGATAGAATCCAGCTCTGCGACGTTATGGTGGGATGTGAACAATAAATTGGTGGCAATTTAAATGGGAAATAGCATTAGCACTATGGGATGTCGCAGTATTCATTCTCATTCTTCACATTCTTCATTCTTACGTCCCCCCCCCCCCCCCCCCCCCCGCTTTTATTATCCCAAAAATCAGAATTCTTTGCACTAGTATTATTATGTCTCTTATATTTTCCCGGTCCCCCCCCCCCCCATATTAATACGCCTTTACTTATCATATCCACTCAACTTTTCAGCGCCTTGCGTTGCAACAGTATAATTATTGAGAATCAGTGAACGAGGATTCAGCTAGACTTGCCAAGCGCAGCCGGTGCTCGGCATCGACAAGACCGTTATCTTGTCGCGCATTCTCGAGAATGTGCGCTCAATCTGGAAGAGTTATTTTTTGCCAAGATTGAGGAAGGATCCAGTTGCACATTCTCAAGAATGTGCATGCCCATTCTCGAGAATGCGTGATTTTCAAGAATGGGCACAACAAATACAATTAGGTCAGGGAGCCAGACAGTCAACTGCCATAACAATATCCACTGCATTGTATTTAACACTGTACTGTAGTAATATGACTGAGATCATACAATACATTTAGCCTTTAGGCAGGCGATACGCAGACTGTTGCGGCCGGGCAAATTTCAAGTCTAAGCACAGGGTAGTCCGTTGACAATTTTTTCAACCCGCCTCCTCCCTCCTTTTCAATTGGTTTTTCTTTCCTCTCAAGAAACTGCAACTGGATGAAAAGATTGAAGAAATGCTAACGAGACTGGATGAATTCTGTGCCGTTGTAGACATGGTGAGACATATGATAAATTTACCAGTAAACTGTAAAATGTTGCACCAGCGATTGAAGTAGTGAATAAAACTGACAGAAAGGCTAAATTTCATTTCAGTATAACAGTGATGAAAAACTAAAGCCAGGTTTGGCAAAGTCAAAACAAGTACATAGAACCTTCACAGAATTCACTTGCATCTCCATTCCACATTCTTCTGTCCCTAATGTAGATTCGCACAGATTCCTCCTTGTCACTGAACAGAAGTCTCCCAGGTATCCACGCCAAAGCTCAGGAAATCAAAGCCATCTTCCACCGAATCGATAAACTCGAGGTGAGTGCGTTAGACTCAAAGACCTGTAGATCCCACCAAGAGGGCGCTATGGAGGTTTATAATAACTTGGGGTTGTTCCAGGATTGGCTTCATCCCTGATTTTAGAACTATTTAGAAGTCTCTGAAGTCCAAATGAAATGGAAGTATCAGAAACAAAGTTTGATTAAAAAAAGGTTTTAATTATCAGTATCTTAGTTGCTTTGCAGCAACCACCTCTTGACTTCCCAGCAACCTCATTTAAGTGAAAATTTCTCAGGGAAATATCAGAGAAACCTCCATAATGTGCACGGAACCTTGTTAAAGGAACTTAAGAACTATGATCAGTTTTTATTTTAAAAAAATCATTCCGTGGACCCTTTTAATTATTCAGAAATGTTCAGAAGAAAAGTTGCCTCTTCAAGTATGAAGAAATGATTTTTAAGTCCCTTTTCTTTGTGTTTATTCTGCTTTGTTGTACAGGAGTTTGTTAGTGTCGTCCGTGATAATGTCGCAACCATGGAAGAGGAAGTGAATGAAGTTGAGAAAGAGCAAGGAACTCTGCATTCCATCAAGAACCTGCTGAGTGCCCTGCCGGTCTTCACCACGGTTTGTACAATTCACTCCTCTTAGTTGTTTTGTTTTTAGCTGCGGGATAGCAGCTCAACGAATCATCATGCTGTCCGTTAGTCTGTTTGTTAGTTAGTAACAAACGTTGACATTGTCTATTCCTCCCACATATTGTGACCAATTTCAACCAAACTTTGTCGAAATTATCAGTAGCCAAGCCCAACATGTCACGTCACCAAACTGGGGTCAAAGGTCATCATGGGGTCACTGGGGTCAAAAAACTGATTTTATTTTTAAAGAAATGCTCAACGTTAAAGATGCTCAACTATCAATTCATTTCTGCTGTATAACTCTTTGTCTTTCAGAAAAGGAGTACAGGTCCGAAACCGCCAAAGAAATTCACCCCCCTGGAGATTTTCAAAACCTCTGATTACATCAAGGCAGAGCCAGCTGAAGCAACACCAAATCCCGAAGCAAACAGCGAGAACACGTGATGCGAAATGAAGGCACGGTCCTGGTCCTCTTTTATCAAATCAAAATATCTGATCCCGCGACCCTAGCTGATAATACAAGGTACTATTTTCGGAAGGTGATTGTGTGGTTGGAGATTGGACATTGAACAGCCATGAACTCTATTTTTCTGTACAAAATACTGCACTGTAAGTGCATTCAGATTGTATGCAAGAGCCCAAAATAGATTTTTTTGTATGGACAGTTTTGTGTCTCAATAGGTTTTATTCAAGATTTAGCCATATTAAATTGAAAGCGAGATAAAACCTTCATTTTTGGAACTTTCGAATAGAAATAAAAGCAACGACATAAAATTAATGCCAGTTTGCTCGGAGGAAAAATTTAAAATTTGTTATTAAACATACCCCAATGTTTTAAGCCACGTTAAAAAAAATGTGAGGCTTGGAACGCATGAATAGTCTGGTACCATCCCATTCAACAGTTTACAATTGATAAAATACATTCAGGGAACATGACCAAAAGGGCTTCCCAGTGCATAAAGTATATTAATCTGCTGCATATGCATACCACATAGCTTCACACATTAAATGAATGTTAGTGACTTTGCCACCACAACAAAAACTGGCAAGTTGTAGCGTAGTCTACCGTTGCCCTTCATTCATCTTTGAAGGAAAAAAATGGAATTCGAGCCTGTTAAAACTGGTCCCAGAGTGCACAAAATTCTATTCACTGGTGATGTCACATATGTAACTTTGAAACAAAATTAGTAAAATGTGGCCAAATAATTATTAAGTATCAACAACCATGGTGAATGACTGTTAATGTGGAATGACATGAATGAATACAACAGCTCAGAAATGCAATCTTGTATATATTTAAGTAGCAGCTGTTTAGAATTAGTGCAGAGGGATAAATTATCATCTCAAATATTTTAGCATTGATTTTATAAACATGCAATTATGAAATAAAAAAATATGTTGCTGACGAAAGTGAGGTTTATGATGTGTGGGTGAAATTGTAAGCAGTGCCCAAGTTTGGTTCTTGTTGTGGAGATTATTGTCAGAATATGACAATCAGAATATGACAATCAGAATATGACAATCAGAATATGACAAGCAGAATATGACGAGCAGAATATGACGAGCAGAATATGACAAGCAGAATATGACAAGCAGAATATGACGATCCTCGGGAGCTATTTAGTTCATAAAAGGGATAAACTTTACACATTATAGCAGAAGAATTTGGATGGAGTTTGGAGGAATTTCGAGTGTCCGCCATGACTTGTGGCCTCCTTAAACATATATCTTAGGACTGTTTTCATGATTTCCGTAACACTATTTATGTGCTTCGCAAAAATGGCTGAGAAGCAATACATTCACTCGTATGACAATTTGCCTTTTTTTAAAGTGTTATTCTTTACATTTCCGTGTTTTGCAATTTCATGAAATCCTAGAACTCTCGTTTGATAGTTTGAATCCGGAAAACCTTACTTTTCTCGCAAAGATGAAATCTAAATGTCACAACGCAATTTTGTATCAATTGGTCAGCTTGACCTATACCTTATGTCATTAAAAAGAGAGAGAGAGAGAGAGAGAGAAAAGTTTTTTTTGGGTGTTTTGATAAAATGGGGTCCGTTCAAAAGTCCGACGCCTCATAAGTCCGACGCCTCATAGGTCCGACGCCTCATAAGTCCGAAACAGCGTTTGTCCATTATCGGACTTATGAGGCGTCGGACTCATGAAGGCGTCGGACCTATGAGGTGGAATGTATGCCTCATAAGTCCGACGCCTCATAGGTCCGACGCCTCATGGGTGCAACCTTGTATTAAAATTCCCGTAGACACTAGTGCTAAATGCCCATTCAAAATTCTTTTAAAAATACTCAGAACTCTCACAGGTATTTAAGCTGCACAGAAAAATAATTATCAACATGTCATTTTCTTTTCATTTTTGTGTGGGCTGACCATTGACTTTTCGAGATATTCTCACCCAAAGAAGACCACCCCTATTTTTCCCCAAAGCGGAAAAGAAGCCATCTTGAAAAACGATCCCTCCACAACATGGCAAAATAGCGCCACTTTCGAGCCCAATTGTTTCCAAAATGCTCAGAATTGGAAGCCCCAAGTCCGGGTCAGAGGTTCATTGCCTTCAATTCCCCAATTTTATGGCTCTCACAACTCTCTAATATAGAATATTTTGAGGGTATAACTTTTATTCGTGAGCTCGGCGGATGAGTTTAGGCCTATTTACCGGTGTGCACCCTCATAAGTCCGACATTTCGGACTTAGGAGGCGTCGGACCTCGGAGGCGTCAGACTTATGATACGGCCCCAGTCAAATCCGTTCCCCGAAATTGAATTTTTCTACCGGCCAAGAAGGGAAATAATTTGCTTATTACCGAACCCGATGCCACCGTATGAATCGGGGGAGAAAATAACTTATTTTACAGCGCTTTAGGGGCCTATACATGTACTGAAGTTTTCACAAATATTACCCCTGTTCATCAGGCCATGAGACCAGTTTTCTGCAGCAGCTAGAGATCAGCGCAATCTGGTCTCCACACTAATACTTACCCATTTAAATGGAGAGCTACAGAGGCCATCGTAGTAAAGTGTCTTGCCCAAGAACACAAAAAATACACGCAAACCACATCGTCTTGATAAAAGTAAAGCACATTTATAATGTACACACGCCACTGGAATCAGCAAACAGCATTATCTGGACACACATTGTTAGAGACAATTTAAAAGATTACAGATTTCATGGTTACACATAACATATTTCAAGCAAAATCATACAAATAACAAAGTCTACGCTATAGGTCAACTCTTATACAAAACCCGTCCAGAAAGTTACTTGCGGTAGCTTATAAACATCACTGCCACCCGATTTCCGTCCCTCGTTTCTACGACAAAAATGAATTCTAGTATCCCAACTTTCAAATAATTGTAATATTAATGACTATTGATTCCTTGAAACTCCAGATTTCTTTGTGACTTCCCGAAACGGTTTTTTTCCTAACAAAACGATTAAGTAAAAAATAAAAGATGTTAACCAAATTTGCTATGAAGCGGCAATTTCAAGGGGCAAAATTTCAGCAGAGTGGCTTCATCCTTTATACGAGGCATAGCTTTTGTAAATTGGCAATTAAGACTAATGGTTTCAGATTTGCATGTTGATTTATATACATTATAATATACGATTACTTGCAAAGAGATTTGAAAAGCAATGCCTTCTTTCATTATATACAAAGCGCGTTGTTTAAATTACATTAGGCCTAAATGCATCCTTCTTTTTTTACAGTTCATTATTCAAACGTACTAAACATCAAATTTCATTTCAAGCTTGTATGTACAAAAGTATTTAAAAACGTATTTCCCCATTTATATACAGTGTGGAAAAACCAGCGATATTGAATACAAAATACAAAATGAATCATATGTACATCATCTCAACTTCGTATTCAAATGATGCGTAGCAAATATAGAATATTAATTTAAAATTATTGTCCAGCTACAAAACATTTAACCGTAATATGAACCAAGCTCGCAACATTTCGTACAAAATATACAAAATAACAGTGTAAATCGGATTTATATAAATCAATAATGAGTTCTAAATCGTCTTGAAAGGTACTGAATATTTATGTCTTCATTTTGTTCGATTTGCCTTGGAGAAACTTTTCGTACATTATCAGCCCCCCCCCCCCCCAAATGTGGATTGGTTTTACTTTCATCAGGCCCAACAGTATTAACATAATGACATCTTTAGCGCATGAAATGTATATACAATTCGTTGTTAGCAATTGTCTGCTCCGGCACAAAACTAACTCGTGTCTTATTAAGTAGCTTTTAGTATTCTTTGAAATTAAACTTGATTTATGTTGCAAGTAAAGCATATTTTGTATTGCTACTTAGCCTCTTCCAAAATTTATTTGCAATTGGGTTTTCGTAACAGTCTGTCTCTCTTTCTCTTTTTATATAGAATAACAAACATGAAATTTTCCGTCGGCTTTCATATATAATAGGATGTAGTTTCACAGGCTTCAAGACGATCCTCTTACACCAGATAACCCTTTCCTTTCTGTTCCGTCTACCTTCCAACATTGTCACGTTTGCGCCGAGACGATCTTCTCGCCTCCCACATTTGGTGGCCTGGGTTCGATTCCCGCCTGCTCCATCACGAGGTGTAACTCCCTACCTGATCGCATGGATTCTGTATGTACTTTAGAGACAACTTTAAACCGACACTAGTCGTCAGTACATGTACCTTTAGGTTTTGTGTTTGAGTTGTCCAGTTTCCCACAAAATTTCTTTTGAGTTGTTCTCCCCGTGCCGTGTCGAGTTTCACCCCGATTTCTTTTTTTTTTAAATAGCTATTTTCTAGTTATACCCATGATTATTCCCTCTTTAGTGAGACAACAAATGAAGAAATTTAAAAACAAAGGGGGTTTTTTGGTAAAAATACAAACATACAAACTGAAACTTCGTTTGGAGAAAATGAAAACGATATTTGTATTGTTGAAGACCACGGTGGGGGCAAACTTTTAATTTTAGACTTGATTCAAATGTGTTTCACCCGTGTATTCTCATTTCAATGCATTCTTTTTCTTTCAATGTCTAGTCGCACGCTCATTGTCTTTATACCCTAGTCCACATACTTATTGAATATGCCATCCCAGAACACCCCCAACATGGAGTTGTCGAATTTGATTTTAGGGGTTTTTTTGGCACAGAAACGTGGCCCAGTCTTTTCGCCATCACCCATTCATAATTTATCAGTGACCAATGTTGTTCCGCTTGTGATTTCCCATCGACCATTAGGGATAAAATATTTACTTACACCACTTTTTTGTAGTATGTGGACTTTCATATCCACCTCAGCTCCATCAGTCAAGCAGTCATCCAACCACACCATACCAAACCCCACCCCGCCGAACGCCATCCCGACCCCTCCCCACCCCACCCAGTCATCCAACCACACCATACCAAACCCCACCCCGCCGAACGCCATCCCGACCCCTCCCCACCCCACCCAGCCCAATCCCCTCTCCACCCCGTCGCTACGTCACTGCAACCACCAAATCACAAACGCGCAACATCAATTAAAAGAAACATCAATATCATCAGATGAATCGAAGTTCTCAATTATCCCCAAGGTGTTGTGTCCAAGACCCCCAACGTGACAACATTGTGTTCCCGAACACTTACAAAAAACCCGGCAGAGATTTCAAAAACATGCATGAGACCTGGCTCTCACTCAGGACGAAAAGTGCTTCTTCTGGAACTCGTGTCGCTGCAGCATACCCGTGGACTTGAATTTGAGACCGCACTGCTGGCATTTGTGAGGGTAGTTTATAGTGTGGCGCGACTGATGGTACCTCAGTCCAGTGATGTGTTTGTACTTGGCGTTACATAATTCACAGACGTACGTTCGCTGAGCCTCGTGTGAACTGTAGTGGCGCTGTAGTTCATCCTCTGTCGAGAAAGACTCCTTGCACTTCAACTGCGTGCACTTGAACGTCTTGTCGTCTCCTTTGGCCCGTCCGTGCCACTTCAGAATATGCTTCATGAGTGTGGAGTTGGATTTGGTCGAGTAGCCACAGTTGAAGCACATGTATAGACCCTTGGTGTTGGCGTGCTGGAATTTGAGGTGGATGAGCAGGTCCTGGGAAGTCTTGAAGGGTAGGCTGCAATATCGGCAGTGAAGCTGCTCGTCCGCTTGCTGGGCTGTGTTCGGTTCGACGGTGTGACTACTGTTGGTCACCGCATGAGTGACTAGGGACGTGGCTTCGGTTGTGTGTAATGTATCGGTCTGACGATGGTCAGTGTAGGGAACATATGCTGGTGTGGGCATTGGCTGGAGAGACGCTGATGAAGATGCCGGGGTAGTATTAATGCTAGCTGTTGTAGTCAGACCAGAAACGATTTGTGGGGTGCGACCTTGAACATCATTATAACCTGAAGTACGAGGGACCGATCCGTCTGTCTGAGGAACCGACTGAATAGGTGCAGTTATTGGTTGTCCGTTGAGATTTGTCTGTACATTAGATGCCGATATTTTGGGACTTCTCTGTGTGGCAGTCTTGCCACGGGGGACTCTTGATGCTACCTTTGCGCCGCCTCTTTTTGGTTTTGCATTTCCACGCGCAGGCTTAGAGTATTTCTCGAAGTGTATCCGGTTGACGTGCGTGCGCAGACCCCAGCTGTTCACAGCTTCAAATGAGCAAAATGGGCAAGTTGCCCGATCAGGGGATACCTCCGCAGCTTTGCGCTTTCTTGGGGGTTGAGATGTCCTAGTTAGCCCCGTCATATTCAGATTCACATAAGCTACTTGTGTGGATGCGCTTGGGGCCACCTCAACTGGTAAAGTGGATGGTTGCATGGCAGCATGATCTGAAGAGCTCCCTACTATGGAATGAGCTGGTTGATCAACAGCGATGGCAGTTGCAGATAAGGTGGGGGCAGAAGTGTGGACATTGTCTTGGGCCGTCTGTACTTGATGAGCATTCTGGTCCACAGCAGGTGCATTCTCTTGTCGATCACTGCCCGGCACTGGTGTGGGGTGGACGGTCTCCGTCACCCACCTGTTCTGAAGGCTAGCCTTCATCTTTGGGTAGTGTGCTGATGTACTCAACTGTGAAACAGGTTCGCGGTTGTCGGCGATTGTCAAGTTTTGCGCAACGACTTCGCCTTGGATTTCCCTCTGGATAGCTCTGTTGACACTGCCAACACACTGAACATCGGTATGTGAAGAGGCAACATTGGGCGTACGTCCAACTTCACGGCTTTGATTATCGCTTACATGATAAGGGGGCGATGAAGTGTTTTGGGGAGATGAAACGTTTCTTGGTTGAATACTTGATTCGCCAACTGTCGTTCCACTCGTGGGAGGGTACGAGTAACCCTGAAGGATGTCCGGAGTTGATATCGACCTGCTCTGGATTCGTAACCTCCTTTCAAGCAGTTTGTTCCTGATCAGCAACTGAGTAGGGCTTAAACTTTTTTCCATAATCGGAGCTCCTACCATCGCGGCTGACGAGAGGTTGATAAGACTAGATGCCCGGATGGGGCCTGGCTCCCCTGCGGTGTAGGCTCTGTGGTAGAGGTTGGTGTTGGACAAAGAGAACTGAGATATCAACGGGTGGTCTTCGTCAAAGACTACCACATCGCCTCCTAAAGTCCGAGTCCTTAGATCCAGAGCTGAATCACTGTCTTCTGGACTGTTAAGAATATCTGTCTGCGCCTGAATACTCCCTGCTTCCACTGATTTACTTTCCGCAACAACATCAGCTTCCAGTAAAGGAGTCACAGAGGGCGGCGGATTGTAGAAGTTTCTGGTCATTCCTGGAATTATTTGCAAACCTTGAGATTTTTTTGTGAGCTGTTGCTGAGCCTCAGGATTGATAGAATTGTCAACACTGGTATTGTGACTGTACTGCTGTAAAATGTCTCTCGATACAGAGGGATGTGCTTTGTTGGCTCTCTGATGGTTGTTGTACGGCAAGGGCGTTGGGTGAGTAGATGCCTCAGAAACACTACTGCTGGAGACACCACTGTGTGGCGAAGCATCTGATGATTTGTAGTGGATCGTAGACCGCCAAACTCTCTTTTGCTGTCTTGCTGTTGTCTCACCTCTCTCTGCAAGCAGTGCTTGAGCTGCTTCGGCAATGGGTATCCCTTGTTCACGCTGCTTAATGAGGTAATTGGCCAGATCGATTGGTAGAAACTTCAGAAAGGCACTTTCTTGCCAGTACAAATCGGGAATAGTTGTCACTAAAGCGCGGTCGTTGTTTTCAGCCTGTGCAACCTGATCCTGGTTATCAGGTCTCTGGTTGGCACCCGTGTTGATGGCTCCACTCGGATGTTCCTGTGATGCATGATTGGTGGCATTTGCCATTGATCTGTTTGTGACTTGTTCGTGTCCTTCGGCAGGTACTTTGTCCCTCTGCAACTGAAGTGGTAATTTTTGGTTGCCATGCATGTTTTGATTCATTGTATGTCTCCTGCTTATTTCTGCAAGATCGCACATGTACGAAGACGCCGACATAGGCCTACCAGGAAGGCCTCCAGAATCCACGGATTCCGTTGTTACAGGTGCACAGATACCTATGTTGCGGTCACTAACATTTCCGTCTCTTGGGAGATGATGCACAGAGGAAGCACTGGCTCCCGGTCCCACACTTTGTGAGGTATTTGTTGGGGTTCCAGTAGCTTGTGAGCGCGGATGCTCTACAGGAATGTTCTCCTGACATCTACTCCCATTCTGCTCGAAAACTGTAGAGTTAATCCCGGATACCCCATGGCCGGAATTCCCTCCCTTTTGAGGTTTAGCGGCAGCTACGGACCCCCTAGCCTTCCCGAATAAGCGCTGCTGAGCTTCGACACAATCCTTAGTGCATTCTGAGGCATGCATGCTTGCTCCATGTACCTGCTGATTGGTACGAAAGCTCTCCCGGCTATCACGTCTCACCTGAGTGGCAGTGTCCGGACGATTCCGAGGTTGAGTAGAACTAGTCATGCTTGTTGGGAGCGTAGGGTGTTCACTTCCTATGGATTGCTCTTCTGTTGTGTATCTCTCACCTCTCTCTGATGTCACTGCAATAGCTGCTTGAGCTACACCCTGAACTGGAATGGGTACGGATTGCCTAGGAGGGGCTGTTCTACCTTCACAAGCTTCTTGGAAGCTGACAGAAGATTGGTAACGTCCAAAGTCGTGACTCATCCTGTTAATGGAAATCTGGTCTGGTGGACACTGTACATGGTCGGTAGACATTTGCTGTGCTTTTGAGCTAAAGAAACTGAGAGATTTGTGAACATCAACAGGAGGCAACTGTTGTTGATAGTCATTGCGTAGTCCAGATTCGGCACTTGGAGTGGAAGGAGGAGGTCGGAAGGTTTGAACTATTTGTTGAGCGACCGGGAATGAAGGATTTGAATGCATGATATTTGATCCCATCTGCAGCTGATATGAGTTAGGGTTTGGAACTGTATTGGGCATCTGCAGTTGGATATTTTGTGTTATCGTGTGTGGTACCTGGGACGGGTTTGGAACTGTATTGGGCATCTGCAGTTGGATATTTTGTGGTATCGTGTGTGGTACCTGGGACGAAATGATTTGTACAGCACCACCAAACTGAGATGGATTGTTGCTTGACACTGTAGGGAACTGATCAGGGGTTCCAATCAACCCGATTGCTCCTTTTCCAAGCTGATTCAGTGGGAGGATATGAAACGCTTCCCTATTGTAGGCAATGAAACGTTTACCATCTGGAAACTCAACTGGAATCCCGCTCCACCCTTCGTACGGACGGTTCTTGGATTGGTAGGCAATCGCCGAGTCGGGCAGGTTCTGACAGGCTGTGGGTTGGAGTATGTTTGCTGGCTGTCCTGGGTTCAGATTAACACCGCGATCCTGCATCAATCGCCGCTTCAATTCATCAAACAGGCCGTTGTCTGGTGCAAGTGGTATCGGGCCGGATGAATCCACAATTGTGAACCCAGCTCCGTATCCAACATCTTTACGCCCTTTGGCGGTCATAGATGATGTCTTTTGATTCCCGGGAGGGATTTCTGTGGAACGTCCAATGCCATGATTTGAGGCACCGTGCACAGAGTTTGGTCTCTGTGGTGTGGCAACGTCTGGAGTCTCCTCACGGTGAATGCTGCCTGACACTCGAGGAGCAGACAGGTGGCGGGTCCTTGTGTCTACCGATTTGTTATAACGGACAGATGATGCCGAAGAAGATGGTGCTTTATCCTTATCAGTAACTTGATTAGTTCTCGGCTCCTTGACTCCAGCTGATGAAGCCATCTCGGACATTAATGCCAGAGAAATGGCAGTGTCCATCTCAAGCGACGCGGAGGGAAGAAAGGGAGGGTTGTTAGTAAGCCTGCCCGTGCCGTTCACTTCATCACTAGAACGACTCTGATTTCTGTTCAAAGGGGCCGAGGTCTGCAATTGACTTGTTGGGTTGACTTCAGTTGAGTTGATTCTGACGCTGCTGGCATCCCGATATACCGTAATCTCTTGGCAACGGTCAGTATGGGAGCTGCTTACACTCTGATTATTATTGAGAATATTTCCTCTTGGCAGCAATTCTTGGTTAGCATGCCGAGATAATATATCACTCGTCAAAACTGGACCTTGAGGTATTTGAGAAGTATGTGAAATATCCTTGACTTGAATTTCAGCCGTTTGCATTGTTTGTATTGGGACGAACATTTCGGACCTTTCACGCACGTTTTCTGCCTGATACCGACTTGGTGGCCTCTGTGTGTGTCCATCTGATTCCACTGGTTGAGATTCTTTTCCCTTTTCTTCGGTCGAATTCTCTTCACCCGCGGGACATATCTGTTCTTGGAATATCTGCTCCGCGACCGGTTTAAGTGATAACTCGGGAGGACTTTCCCTCTGTTTCTCATGTACTGATTCGGCAACTGGATAGGATTGAGAAGCTTGGATACTCTGGATACCTTGCGAAGTCTGTATTACATTGCCAGAAGTTGGACAAATATCAACCTGGTCATTCTCCAGAGTGTCGCTCGGGATTCCATCAGAGTTATGACTCTCGCTGTCCCGTTCTTCCATCGTCTTATCCAGAGAGAACATAATTCCAACTCCGTCGGTAGAGGGACTGGAATTTTCATCTTGGGGATCGATCACAACTTCAGCCACTTGGATGCCACCGTCGAAGATGTTTTCCTGTTCTCTGTGGAAATCCGGCTGCTGGTTGTCTGAGATTGACGCAACAGCCCTCTCAGTTTCAGAGTCAGACAAGAAAGGGTGTATTGAAGTAGCCGTGTCTGTAGATGCTTCACTTTCAGAATCCAACGAGTCATCAGCCCAAATGGAACATTCGTGGACAGAGGAACCTTGATCCACAGAAGACGCCGTGCTGTCTGTTTTTTGTCCAACCACACCAGTACAAGGCATCATATCTGGTGTAAAGTCTGTTTTTTCCCCTAGATTGTTTGGCAATTCATGTCCCATTGCTGGTGTACATTCTCCCAGTGAGACAACCTCGGTTATTTGAAGGTCTGCAGCCGAGCCATGTCGAGGAATATCGATCCCGTCTTTGTTGACACAGGCGTCACTTCTGTTGACACCATGAAAGCACATCTCTTGATATTCAACCTCTTGGTACTGGTCCTCTTGAGAGACTGGCGTTTCTTCTTCGCTTTTGTCTTTCTGGGCTTGCCTCGAATCCATCAGATTTGGAAACGTCTCTTGAAAACTTCCTTGACCATCAGTCGCTGTCTCGGTGGGTGGTGAAGGAAATGACACATATGCATCGAATGAAATACCTCTCAACTCATTGTGAATGTTTTTTGATGGATTGGGATCTTTCAAATCGCTACAAGATTCAGTTCTTTCGGAGTGCGTCTTGCTACACTCCGTTGAATTAGATGAGAATACCTCAATCGAAACAGGAGACATGTGCTCATCGGGTTTAATGGGTTCTAATTGTTTTTGGTTCAAGTGGGAAGTGATTTCAGTCATACCTACAGGACAAATTACGGGTGGTTCCGCTGTTTCCATGCTGAGCTTCAACTCCTGCCTGGTGTGGCCACTTGGCGGCCCTTTGGGTGACGCCATTCGGGATGCTCTGAAATAGAGACTGGCAGAACGGTTCCCCATCTCGGAATGAATGTCATCATTGACGTTTGTCAGCATTGGCGGGCTTAACAGCGGCGGGAGATCAAGGCAGGTGCCGGGCGTTGGTAAAGATTCCAGCCTCTCCAAACAAGGAGGCTCGTCACAGACTCTATCTGCTATCTCGGCATCTTTGGGAATTTCAGGCTCAACACAGCACTGGTCGTCTTCGGAAATTTCAAATCTTTCTTGGGAATTCTCCCCAGGAGATAGGGGATATCTAATGGTTTCGCTCGAGCCGGTGGATGAAATACTCATCAGATCGTCATTCCAAGACGACCGTCGTTTGAAAATGTCTGGTACGGGAGACTCGTCGATCACGTCGGTATTGGTGAATGATTGACAGTCGGTGATTTGATCAACTGTGCTTACGGTGCTGTCTGTCCGATCTTCCGCAGGGTCAGTATCTCTTGATCGACAGTTGTTATCATTGTATGTTGTGGTACTCAACTCTGTATGACATTCAGGGATATGGTTTGTTGCAATATCATCATTCACTGATCGACAATCAGTGTTTTGATCTATTGTACCATAATTTACGACGTAATTTATTTCAGTGTCACTTTTCACAGAACAACAATCAGTCGTCTGATCGACGATGTTGTCCGTGCTTATTGATCGACAATCAACGATTTGACAGATCGTATTGGCACCGATTTCTGACTGATAATCGGTTATCTGATAGCTTGTATTATCACCGTTTACTGATCGACTATCCATCATCTGATCGACTTCGTCATCTCCGTTTATTGACTGACTGTCAGTGATTGGATCGATTGTGTTGGAACTGCTTACCGATGGACATATTTCTTTGCTACTGGATATTCCATTTGTATCTTCCGTATAATCATCAATTATTGTACTTGATGTGCTCTCTGCATCAGAACGATCCTCAACAGTCGTGCTGTCTCCTATTTTGACATCAGACCACTCACTTAGGAAACTAGTAAAGATATTTCTGTTTGATGCACACCGATCTTTAGCACAATCCAATGCTTCAGAATCAAATTCGTTGTCTTGCTCACAGTTTGGAGAACTGGTAACTTCTGCTCCTGACTCTTCTGCGCTGTCCGCAGGGAGATCTTTGCTCGGTTCAGTCTCATGAGGCAGCGTGGTCGTCTCTGTCGCTTCATCTGTGAGATGTCTAAAGGAGCTGTGGTCTAAACTTGTCTTCTGTAGAAGGATGATGCAATTCTTGATCTTCCCAGCTGCGATGAGCTTCTGGGTGGTGCTGCCAGGGGAGAGCAGCACGGGGCTCAAGGTGGGTGCCCTCTGGGCCCTGTCGGCTCCATCTGACGAATCTTCCGGGGAATCCCCAAGTAAGGGCAGGAACATGCTCTCCTTCGTCGGGAGGCGGCTCCTACGATATGCATATCTGTCGCTTGGAGGGCTGGTCTCACGATATGCATATTCATCATGTGGAGAGCTGGTCTCACGAAATTCATATGGATCAATCGGGAGGCTGGTCTCACGATATGAATATTCATCACTGGAGTTCATGGTTGTGGTTGGTCCAGGCCAGTCATTGCTCATGCTTCCAATGCATGAAGTCCAGGCTGATATAGCTCAGTATCACGGTACTTTGCATAATTTCTCTGTAAACGATAACAAGATTAATTGAGTACAAATCAGAGTAATAAGTCAATTTATATAATTATTATGGTATAGTACTTAAATTCCATCGAATATGAAGAAAACATGACAAAAATAACTCGATAATTTTAATTCATTAGTGCACAAATCGAAAACTATTAATTCCTTTATAATTTTTTCAAGATTATAAATCTGTTGAAATGGAAATTATAGGCGAGGAGAAAGTATTAGTAATACTGGGTAATTTGCGGGCACGTGACTTTTGTGAAGAGGTGTGGTTCCGATAAGAACCGGAGGTGAGAAGTGATCTGAGCACAATGAGAATGAGGCCTACAGAAACAACTCAAAATGTATTTCAATAATCATCTTAAATATTTAATATTACAATAGTCTTGGTTGTATGACAGACACTGTATTTCTATCTTTGCTTCTCGTTCTATTCTATGAAATCACCCATTTCTTAACGTGTAATAAGTTGTCAATCAAACAAAAAAGTAAAGCCAATTAATAACCCAACTCAATACATACCAAAAAGAATTATCCACATCTATCCATCGCCGACCAGCTTGGCCTGTTTATCTGCATAATCTGTAAAGAAAACAAAGAAGAAATAAAGTGTTTTTTTTATTGTGGTGTCTCATGTAGGTTACTTTAAGAGTCTTTGGAAAACTAACAAATGGCAAACTGTACGTGGTGAAACTATTAGTCGTTTGAAGAGAATTTGATAGCAATGATTTGGGATATAAACACGCCAGGTTTATCGTGGTGGGTATCAAACAGTTTGTTAAATAAGCTTTTGTAACTTTGCACTGCGATATGTAAACTACGGTTTGCGGTAGCGCCATGCATGTGGAAGAATCTCTTTTGAGAAGGTGTGTGGTTCTGAAAAGACCGGAATGGTTGTGAAACTCGACGTTCCGATCAGTATGCTCTGATCGCCTTCTAATCTAAAGCATACTGATCGGAACGTCGAACGTAGAGTTTCAACCAACCGGCTTTTCAGAACCACACATCTTCTGAAAAGGGATTCTTCCACATGGTGTTACCGCAGACCCTCACTAGTTTAAACATTTTGTTGAAGTATCGGATGTCCTCGATCTGTTTCCGGACAGCGGATAGACCTATCCGTATCGTGGTCACTCTCATATGTTGTCTATTTTCCAAAAGCGGATATCGCTGTCAAATACATGGCATATCCTGCCAGTGTTTGGAAATCTCACCGGTATTTCGCAATACATGTGGATAATAATTATGCTGGGAATGTAAGGCCAAAAAAAATAAATATTCGGTTTCTGGTCAGACCAAAGTTCCGGAATTAACGCGGGGACGCGGCTTTTTTTTTTTTTTGCTTTTTTTTTTCTTCAAGCTTGGATTGTACAGACAAGGTGGGGTAATATTTTGCTTTTTTGGTGTCCACATGTACATTGGTGTCCTCCATAATTTGCCTTGGTGCTCTCGATCATTTGCCTTGGTGCAATTTCCCATTCCTTGGTGCTCTTTGGTAAAAAAAAAATTGAGCAGGTGCGGCAATAGAGGGCGCTGTTTGAGCTACCGCGGAACATTTTGGAAAAAAAAATATTGACGCGCATGATTAAAATCGACGCGCGCGCTGACCAGAGACCGACTTATTATTTTTTTTGGCCTAACAATAATATAGAATTATATTGCGAAGAAAGAAAATGGCATCCTGCTTTTGTAGAAATGTCATCGTTGATTTCACAATTCATGTGGTAAATATGCTTGAAAATATAAGCGATCTGTAAATTATTTCTGGAATCCGAAACCCAGGAATATCATGGAGGAATAAGAACATTCTTATTCCTCCATGGGAATATTAATGCAATGTTGGAATATTGATGCAATGAGGCAGGCCACCCCTCCCCCCCCCCATAAAAAATAATTAATCATAAAAATAAAAACAAACAAACACCCCTACGAAAAAAAACCAAAAAAAACAAAAACAAAAACCTCCGAACAGTTGATCAGCCATGCATGAATTAAAGTTAAAAAGATTAACATCATTCTTTTTCATTCATAAAGTAAATTCAATTCAGATTGTTTTAAAAACGCGGGTCGAAAGTATTCAAAGAAAGATTGGTATGTGTGTGTGTGTATCAAAGATTCCCGGAAAAGTCGTTTCCGGGATCAAGTATCGTAACTTCGTGAGGTCAACTTCTCTACATGAGATTACGTAAATGAAGTTTTCAAATTAAAGGGGGATGCTCAATACCTGCGAAACGGTGCACACTGGTTCTCTCGTTAATAAATTTCAAAACACATTTGTTTTGCAACCTTAAAATCGCGAGCGTAAAATGGTAACTGTGAATAAATTTAAAGAAAGTGTTTAAGGACTTAATCGTTTAATCCGACGGTGAAATGATATTTTTTTAAATGATATCAAAGTGATAATGAAATATAACGATAATAATTTTGACTATATAATATCAAGTGTTTCTGTAGCAGAGGCTTTTAATTTTTCTGAACATTTTGATTAATCTAATAATTGGTTAAATTTAATTGATGAACACTGCAACGATTACTAATTGCTTTAATATTGGCTACACTGAGAACGCTTGATCCCAGCAGGCCAGACGCACGGCATTTTTTTAATACAAAGGCTATTATTTTCCGCGCGGGAACTTATTAAAATCTCCCAGCCACTATCGATCCTACGCCAAATTATTACCGCGACGATTAAGCACATTTACCCGCAATTTTTTCCCGGCGTGTTCGCGAGTAGTGCATTCGATCACTAAGGACAAATCCACCTTGGTCATGGGAAAAGTGTTTATTAGCTACACGCTTTGCTTTTAGAAGCACAGCACAATGGCGTATGGCCGTATGCGGTGGTGTATACCTGAGTTGAATTGACTTTATAGACTATTGTATTTTTACCCGGCCTGCTATATTTTTACCCCGTGTGGTTACACGCATGACAAAATCTGCACAATGAAAATATGCCCGACTTGTAAATATCACAGACTCTTGCAAAACACTGTAAAAAGGCCAGAAATAAAACCGGCAATGGGCCTACCCGATACGAGGCCTACTCTGCAATTATGTGAAGATGAAGTTATTTTATTTTTTTCCAGACCAATCGATGGTTGAATATATTCGGTAAAATATTAGCAATTCTTATTATTGTTTATCAAACCTACAATAGTAGCCTAAAGGTAATGGTCACCATTGGCAACAGGTGGGTTTGTTTCGATTCAAGGAACAACAATACAATAAGTCTGAATCAGGTTAGTAAAAAAAAACTAACCTGTCGAAATTTCAGCTTATACTTTTTAGAAAACAGTGAAAATGCATCTTTCGACGCGAAAGCATTATGTTTCCGTTGCTACTCGTGGGTCGAAAATGCCAACATACTAAAGGTGTAATGATTTCACAGATGCTTAGGCCCTAATCCTTTTATTTACATACGATTAAGTAGGGGTATTTCGTGATATTTTGACAGTTTGATTTTTGAATGTTTGAAAAATATAGTGTCCATTATACCTTTTATTTATTTATTCATTCATTCCATTTCTTTACCTAGTGTATGCCCAAACAGTTTAAAAACTGGTTTCCATTGGGGCCCTACGTATATTACACATGATTACATAATGTAAAACAAAAGAAAAAATGAATTGGTAAAACAGATGGCGAACATTAATACTTACAAATACAAGTATTTCAGAAATATTACAGAAATAAAGCTATATCCACGACACAAGTTAAAGTAAAACACCATGTTTATAAGACATTACTAATTACGGGATGGGCGAAAACCCTGGAGTGAAAAACCTTTGGGGGGAAATTATTATTGGCGGGCCAATTATGTTTAACAATCCCAATTTTATTCAACATGTGTACCCCAACTTAGGCTAATGTAATTTTCGTCAATAACAACTCCCCTTAACGGTGAGCTGCAACCCGACCCACTTTTATAACTCACATACCGGCTGGGACCATTCTTACCAAGAGGAATACTGTTGTCGTGTACCGGAAACCAGTTAGGTCGCTGCGAGAAAAAAACTTGCGAAACTCAACCATATGGGAAGCGAAATCAGCAAAAGCATGTCACGAGTCAAGTAGGCCTACATGTATAGATCCATGGGCACAAATCACAAGTCATTTTGACCGCCATTATACGATCCTATGTCAGTTTCGAAACGTTGAGGAGTGTCGAGACCTATAATACTAATTAGGTGGATTGCTTTCAATGAATGACGTCAACGGTGAACTAATGATACCAAATTTGCCCTGCTAATTACTCGCCAAGCTCCAGACTGATTTGGTGCATGTTGACCTGAGCTTTATCAAAATCGTCACAGCGGTACGTGTTGGAAAAAAATCTGACTGGCAGTTTGAAAGGGATGATTTTTTGTTGTTATCAAACAATGACTGACATTGAGTCAACGGACTCTAATTGGCAGAATGGCCCACACGGTGTTTTAATGTGTCGTATGCGACCAACAAGCTATACTTGCAATAATGGCCGTCATGGAAGACTGCTTAAATGAGTATTACCAATACGTAGTACAGTGGAACAATAATCACCCCACCAAATTAATGCAGAGATTCAAAAGGCTAGTTTCATCAGACCACATCGATCGTAGCAAACTATAATTTATGAAACGTCACCTCTCATTTTCGATGGCGGTATAGAGCCTACATTGACACAATAAGCCTTCTCGAAGTATATAATGTGGACACAATAACGGGGAGCTATTTGATTTGGGTAAACCGCTTTGTATTTTACCCAAATTAACTCAAACGAAATACAAACCTTATATTGTATCCGCCATAATTTCAAAAAGGCTTGTTGTTGTTCATCCAAAAAAATGAGTATCAGCGGCACTTCGTTGTTTAATGTTGAACTGCATAAGAAAGAGCTGCTTCACTTTGCAATTCGGTATAAATAAGGAAATATAGGTGGTGGTGAAAGGTGAACTAAAAGGTGCAACTAAGGAGATAGGGTACCTGCCCCCCCCCCCCCCCCCCCCCACCCACCCACCCAGCAAAGTGGACCCCAGTTACGCTTTGGGTTAAAGCAGTAATAAATTATGTGGGTTAACGATCCACTTCATTTGACTTTGATGCGAACGCAGGACGAAAGTCCACTTACCGCCCTGGTGACTTTTCTCTTTCTTTCTTTTTTGTTTGGTTTGGACAATTGAAGAAAAACCGCGTCAACTTTGGCACGTAAACACCTAGCTAGCTAACCTGAATTTAGCCTTTCCAAGAGCGCACTTAATATCTGATGCTCCGAGCTAGAATCTGAATCCGAAGTTAAAGCTGGAATAAAGTCTAGGTGCGAGAAATTCGCTTAAAGGTGTACGTTTTTCATATGCATGTTTACCCATCTCCGTTTACCGTCATTAAACATGCTAGGAAGTTTGCCAAAAAGATCAATCATGATATTTGAAACCTTAACAGACGTCATGACGACGTCATTAATTTCCATGCTAATGTTAATATTTCTCTGAAACACGAAGCATATTGAGGTACAGGCAGTCTTTTTTATTTTCTGCACCACTGTTCAGTCCCTAATAACGCAGAGTGCGTAAACATATCACGCTATTGAAATTATACATTACGTGATTCTTTGTTAAGCTTGCAAGTCAGTCTTTTTAATCGCAATGTTATATGCAATCACAACATGACAGCCGCATTTAACGGCAAAAGTAACGTACCAATAAAATAGCGAATATCAATGAAACACATACCCCTAAAATATCCGACGAGCGTTCCCATCAACTAAACACGACTCAGACCTACCTTGATCATCTGTTGATCTTTATTGACACTGGCGCTATTTTTATTCACTTACTGCCCACATTAAATACACCAAGCACTGAATAACGTATAATTATTTACCCGTTGTCTTTTGCTTTCATATTCGTATATGCATGTATGCATGCATGCGTTCATTTCCATACTTACGTCACACATCGAACTGAAAATGAAATCAACAGTGTGTAGGCCTAGGCCTCAACCAAGCTGCCTTCTGTGGCCGCCATTTTTACAGATTGCACAAACATAAACGGAATCAAGTTTATTTTTAAAAGTCATGTGGATGGGTACAAAGGTTTACTTTGTTGTCGAGTGTTTGCACGGGGTTGATGATAATGGGCAAAAGTCAGGGGTGAGCACACAATATATGCTAAACCTTTGGACTTGGCCCGATGAAACTTTCAGAGTTTTCAACATAGGCTACATCCACTGCATTGCAAGTTTAACTTCAATGCACGCGTATTGCAAACTGGTTATCTCCATGATCTTGATGGTGATTTTGCAATTATGTAAACTGATATAGCCATTTTCTTGACGCATATCACGTTATCAAGGTGTATACAATTGCACTTGCTGAACCGAGTTGGAATACATAACGAAAACATTCTGACAGAAAAAAAAGAACTGCACCTATAGAAATAAGATACTGTTATCATCATGGGTGATGCGACTTAATAAAAAAAAAGTAACTTCTTTCATCACGGACGGAACATAGTTTTGCCCCCCCCCCCCCCCCAACGGCCCCAACCTCAATTTTCGTGTCACGTACCTTACTTCATGATTCTTGGAAACAAGAGAGCAGTCCTTTTGTAGTACCAGTGTAGGGGTTTTTCCCGTCCATAATAAAACTGCCTTTCAGTTGCATTATGTGATGTCAATTTCTTTGTGTTCAAATTGCTTATGTAGCTTTAACTGTTTTGCACGGGATTACACTGAGTTCACCATTACGGATGTCACTGCTCATTTCCGGATGATAATAGTTAATACAATGTTCGGTGTACAGTGTTTTTTGTGTCTATTATAATATTCGGATTACTGATTCTACTCGAGCCGTCTGAATCATGACTACATAATTTAAGATAAGTCGGCACTGAAATATTTAATCTCTTTGGCCGCGTTGCCCAATGAAGAACATCATTCAATGCAATAAAGTGGTTTCAACAGCGCATCCGTTGCTAATGCGTCATTAAACATGTTGAGATCATGACATGGTTAGCTGCATTTCAAATTCTCTACCATAGTATAGGCTATACACCGAACGCAATCATGCCGGGAAAACAATGTTCATTTTGTACATGAGCACATGTGTGCGATGAAGGGAATCATGATTGTGTGTGTTGCTGTCATGTTTTCCGATTAAGTCATCGATATCATATCATTCAAGCAGGCTTGCATTAGACATGATCGCTGTAAACATCACGTGCATGCATGACACGAAATATGAACATGGAGCCATATGCGCGATACTATATAACCTGTTGACTTATGGCATGATCACTTTGCCCTTGGCCTACAACAAGACTAAAGCTTTCGATCGTTCCCACCATACACACGTAAGAACAGCTTTGGTTACAGCTCCTATATGCAAACCAAACAAAAGCCATTGTGTTATAATTTACACAGTATTTTGTTTCGCACTTAAAACAAATACCAATACGCACCATGCAGTCTCGTTGCCGTTTAGTGTGTGGATGTTGTCATCTTTCAAAAAACATAGTTGCCACCATCACTGGATTTATAAATAGCACGTACATGCAGTCACAAAAGTCCCGCACTGTAGGCATGGTATACAGATACGTGTGCGTAATAATGGTTTCTTTTTTGGCCGTATTGAATAGGAAGTTTCCAGACCGAAGGCCGCTTAATACCTGTTGCGTAGTGCACGTGTATTATGCGCTCATATCATACACAACACACGACGCCAAGCAAAAGGTTATCGCTTCACAATAGGCAGGTGACGTACCTTGCACTAGGTGCAAGCAAGCGTGAAAAACTGCCTGTTGTGTGGAGTCGACTAGCCAATCGCAAGTTGCCTCGTAGGCAGGCTCTGGAATAATGGCTCCGTATTTTATTTCTATGAGAGCGACTTATGAATTATGGTGACTCAATCGTCTTGCATATGGCTACTATTAATAAAAATGACGATGGAGCCATTATTTATGGCAGATTAGAACTGTAATGATCGGGTTTGCAAACAAATATTGAAAAGTGATTTTTAATTTTTGGGTTTGAGTTAAGATTGCCATGCCAATGCGAATATTGCAGTTTATTCCGTAACAATGAAACAGACGTCACGATGACGATATTTGTTGTGTCGACTCATATCACCATAATTATAGGTCAAACCATTAATATATATTAAAATAGACTATATATTGTGTCTTTTGGCGACGTTCGTTTGTGGGTTTTTCCATGCATGAGGCTTCCCCAATCATGCCGTCTTTTGGTATTTCATAAATGGTGAGGTTTTTTGTTTTTGCCATTTTTTGGTGGGATTTTCTTTTCATTACATTTTATGGCAGCCTCTTCGAATGTACAAACTGCTACGTAATTATGTACACTGACTGTTATTGTTTGTTTGTTGGGGTGTTTGTTTGTTTGTTGGTGATGTTTGTTAGTTTTTTGTTAGTTTTTTTATTATATAATACAAAATGTAAAGCAAGTGCCCACGGTGACATCAAAGCGTACCTTTTGATGTCAGAAAACGAGTTAAATGTATATTAAAGGATGTCTTTAACATGTTAATCGAGTCACATTACAACAATGTTATCACGACGTCACAGTACCAGCGCCCTCAGGTGTCAGAAAAGAAGTATAAGTATACCATATAACGCGAATGTATATGGAAAATCAAAATACATAAGCATTCAAAAAGGGAGTGCCTCGTTATAGTATCATAGTTCAGATGTGTGGCTACTTGCACATGTGTTTTGGTGTAGCATTCGCTTCATGCGCCGATTTTGGCTGCAAACGTGAAATATCCTGTACGAGTGAATATCTAAAAAAAATCTGCTTTCTCTGAATAAAAACCAACATGGTCTTGATAGAAGACTTATACGTCAAAATCATGACGACATGTCAATGATCATACTTACGCGGTCAACGTATAATTTGGTACACAACCAAATACAAATTCATGAGCAAAGAAGCGTACGTACGCACATGCGCCGTGGCGCACACACAAACCTTTTTTTTTTAATTTTAAATAATATTTAAAATAATAATAATAAGTGCACCTTGACTTGTAACAAAGTGCTGTTCAAGTCGTCAAGGCATGCCTAGGTCTTTCTCGTCTAGTGATCACATTATTTCGTCAACTTTACGCGACCTAATCTTTGGCCATTTGGTAAGCTTTACACCAAATCAACCATACATCACGAGTGACGTAAAGGGGTGGGACAAAGGGCCAATGTCTGCCCTACCCTGTCGAGGTCTAGGCCCCTTCTCCCCCCCCCCTCAGAATCTGCTGGAGAAGGGAACACATATTTTGACATTTTTTGAAACCCATTCCAAACTCCCTCCAATAATGAGCCCGAAGGTGACACGCCCACACTCCCCTCCCCCTGCAATTAAAATTGTATCCAATTAATCATGGAGGTACCTCCATAGTTAAATACGCCACTGATGTACAGTCGTTCATTCAATTCAGTCGAAACTGTCGCTTCTCCATCCCTCAATTTTGTTACTCATTTCAGAACAAATGATTAAATTCGGCTCGCGATGCTTTACTCACGTGCTTGGTTCTGTCTGGCAAAATCCGTGACTCTCTTGCTGCATCGGTCGCCCTACACAACCAAAATGCCTGTTGCCTATACGCGATATTCAAGTAGGCCCTAACCATAAAATGTTGTGAAATGCAAACGTGTCTCAATTATGTTGCACAAGTTATGTAGTCTGGCTTACCACAGGCCGCGCCATGTTGACGTTGTATAGTGTGCGTTGCATTGAATTCCCTGGCCCACATAATCATTAATGCACGTGCTCATATTCGGCTCATAGTTCAAGACCTTTAAATTCATAGCTCGTGCAATTAAGTTAAGGCAACCGAATAGAGGTGTGTCTGCATGGGGCTACGTTGTCACTTGAGCTAATTCATGATCAGTCTTCATGTTTTTGGGCCCGCAGGCACAATTTTTATTTACCAGGGTGTCTTCAAAAAAAACCACCGAAACCTCAAAGTGCCTTCTTTTTCACAGTTATAAAAAAACTTTAGAGAGTAAAGTCCTTTAGCTTTTCAACAACGAAAACATCTTTCCAATCGGGGAAATATCTATTTAGTTGTGGCCAATTCAAAATAAGTACCGCTTTTTTCATTTTGTCCACGGCGACTGATATTTTGACTGCTGCAATAAAAACACATGCCGAAACTTGCATTATTTTGTGAAACAGAGCAGAGAGACAGAGCAGCACAGTAAATATCTAAGAAGTTAACCAAACAGTCCTTTCGAGACTACCATTTCTTCCAAACTGAAGGATAAATTACCACTGTTGAAAAAATAACAACTTAAAATTGAACCAAATATAAAGCATTAAAGAAAGCAAAACTACCCTCACCCCAAATCCATTATATTCTATAACAAATGACAATTGAGAAGGTGGACAGATTGAAATATCTGCACTTATTTTGAATTGGTCATAACTCAATAAATATTTATGGGAAAGATGTTTTCGTTGTTGAAAAGCTAATGAACTATACTCTCCAAATTAGGTATCGATATTTTCGATATATATTTTTTGAGCTGTGAAAAAGAGGGCGTTTTGAAGGTTCGTTTTTTTAGACGCCCAGACCTCAAAAACGCGGTGCGTATTGTTTTCTGTTTTGTCAACATTTATAGCAGCCATTGAGCTAAAACAGCAAGAAGTTAATTGTTATGCACCGTACTTAACATTTTGAGGGAATTAAGTGTTGCTTCAAACGAAAAGAAAGTGGAAAGGGCAAAGCTACTTTTAACCATATATGCAAGTTGACTCGATTTAACTCTAGCTCTCCGACTGAGCTTTCTTTTTCCCGAAGTGGAAATTAATCTTTGAACAAAACGCATGAAGTGGCAAATAAAATGTTAACAAAAGATTAAGAAAAAAGCATTGTGAGAATATACTTACATTTTGCTTGATCTACTTCTCAAATTAATTGTGGACTTGAATCTTAATGCTGGGTCGAGCACAGTTCTTTCACATGGTTGTAAAAGGATATGATTCTGCTTCAGCTGCTATAATGCTAACCCGTTTACATGATACTCGATCGCACTATGCACAGGTCGTATGACATCATCTAAGGGAAAGTCCCGCGATTTCGTTGTGCTACGGAACGCCTAAAACTCATTGCATTCCAAACACCAAAAAGAAATCTCAATTTTCCAGTTTAGTGTAGAAATACGTGCTGGATTTCCAAATTAAACAGTGCCCAAGCAGCCGGACAAGTAATGAAGCTTCAGAAAATTTTGCTGGTAAAACAACTTGAACGTTTTACAAATTCATAAGTGTAATTTTCGAGGTACAAGAGTGAGAATTTTTTTATGATGCGCGCAATTGCGAGTATTTTTCCAGAGCGGAATTCCCCGTACCTCAATTGCGAAATCTACATCCTCACCGCATTCCTCCGGTAGAGTCTGTAGGTGAAATGCTTTTTATGCTATTCTGGACTTGGCTTTATATAAACATGGAATTTGTCATTTTGTTTCCTCGATATCATTACTGATGGGATATCTATAAACACGGACCTCTGATTTTATAGCACTTGGCCAGGACTTTTTTCTGTAGCCGACTCACAACAGAATGAATTAAAAGGGCACGGCGCAATAAAGTCAGCGAGAAGCGACACGAGAAAGTTTGAGGGGGAGGGTGTGGCGAACACAAATCTCTACATTTTCGAGTGGGCCGTGGAAAATTCGAAAAAAGGGAGAAATTCAGGGTTATAGACTTTATTCTACGTTACAAATCTGTAAGATGTACCTTTAAGGCCGGGTGTTTCTCAGTCTGATAAATTTACATTAAATTCAAAATTACAATAATAGACTCTTTTCTTTTCTGTATAGGCATACTTCTTTTCCTTAATTTTCCGTTGGGGTGGGGTATACTTTAACTGTATTCGGCGTCAGTTTCAATTTGTGGTCATCATGTCGTCACAAGGGGCTAGGGGTCAGGGGCGGATCTAGCTATCAAGAAACTGGGGGGATATAAGGGGGGGGGGGGGCGTTGAGTGTAAAGTGTGTCGGCAGGCCCAGCTAATTAAAATAGGGTCCAAGGCATCCCGCACCCCGAAAAATGTCGAAATCTAAGATGATTTTTCCTGCGTCTCTATAACTGGCAATTCAAGAATAAACTCATCAGGAACTTCAGCAAAATATTATTTTTTTTGTCGTATTTAGTCACTAGTTTCATAATTATTATAGTTAGTGGCTGAAGTGAACAGGGGTGATCTGGTTGCAATTACCCCCCCCCCCCCTTCTATATCTGCTACTGGGGACTTAATTAACTGGAGATTGCATGACATACATTTTTTGGGGGGTGATTTTAATAGTCCCCTGGCCATTTCCATGAAATTCCTCTGTCTTTTTTGTGAACTTTTCCCATTTGCTCCGTCCTCACCGCGAAAAAGAGGTGTGAAGTCATATTTTCTATTACATTTAGCAAAATGGGCGTCTGCAGGGGTGTCGGCAATGGGGGTGGGGTGGGCAAATGTTCCCCGCCCAGTGCACCCTTGAAAAAAAAATGAATTATGCTAGCGAAAGTACAAGGATTTGGACGGAATTTGCCCCCCGAAAAAAATCCTGGCGACGCCCATACAAATTCAATATTGGGTTTGGTAATTCCGACTTTCAAAAAAAAAAGAAATCCCCTACAGTGCCTCCCCCCTCCCCCATTGACTAAAAAGACAAAAATGCAAATAATATACATCGTGACTACACGAACTCTACAATAAGGACAGGTCGCTTGAGGGCGCAATATACAATGACTTCAATTTAGCTGAATGGACCAATAGACCGAGTGTTGTAAATGTCATTGTATTTTTTTTCTGAAAATACATCGAGTTTTCGGAGTAAGTATTTAAAATGCTGAACAGATATCGTTTGGGAAAGAATGTTGCATCCTGACGCATTTCTGGCCATCACTTGTTACCCTGTGCACAAACCATATATATTATATGAGACAGGTTAGCTGGAGTTACCCAGCCCTGAGTTTTATCATTGGGTTGTCTATTAGACAACCCAATGATCAGATGATAAAACTCAGGGCTGGGTAACTCCAGCTAGAGACAGGTCTGAAAATTTCTAGGCCTAAGAGTAAAGACTAGAGTAAGACGTTTTCTTAGTAAATAGGCCTACTTCAATATTTTTCCCTGCTAGATTTTACTTTTTATGAATATGACATATTGTCACTTTCTGAGGACAGATAAGTAACTGAAGGGAAAAATTAGTGATGGCCAGATATGGGAATCTTTCCGCCACGGAAGTCATCATATATTGTCTCAGTGAATGTCAAGGAAATAGAATGAAGTAAACAATAGTATCCAAACGGTTGTGTACAAAGCCTTGTATGTAGTCAAGACAATTTTCTAAGTAAAGTAGAAGGTTTCCTAACAAAATTGGAAATGTCTCTCACTTCTCAGTCCCAGGTTCATGTCTTTTCAAACAATTTTTGCAATGACCAACCTTTATTAAGTTTAAAATGATATATATTATGAAGAGAAAAGTGGCGTCAGATTCCAACATTCTTTCCGAATCCAAACAGGCACAGCCATTAAAAAAAAATAGAGAGAAATAAAACAATTTCATGTTTTTCAATTAATTTGTAGTATTCATTCCTGATGGCCAGTCCCCTTGCTATTGGAAGGTTTCTGTTCAGCCGTCTAGCCAATCAGCTTGCAGCAGCGTGTCAATCAGGCACCCGATTGGCTGCCAGGTCAGCCAATCAGGTAGATGCCTGTTGCTACTCAACAAAAAACAGACCCACAGGGAAACCGGACTTGTCAGAAAAGCAACTGGTATGTGATCACAACGTGCGGTGTTTATAATGAAATAGTGTATACAAAAACAAAATAATAGTAGTGAAGTATTTTTGTACATCCCTGACCTGTTTGAATATATATTGAGGAATACTGATTTCTGAAAGAGCTGAATTTGGTCATGAATATGTATGAGGTGTATTTACATGGTTCAACCCTGGGGTTCTTTTGCTGATTAAATAAATAAGTTAATTGACAATGTGTTTTTGAAAAATAGCAATTTAAGCTAGTCGGCTGTGTTTACAAAAAAAGTGGAGGGAATGTATTACACACCTGTACTTCCTTTTCCTAGACAACTGACCAATGGAAGGACTGCATTTGCTCATGAATATGTATAAGGGTGTAATAATGTATCATTGCAATGGGTTTCTTTTGCTGCTAAATTAAATCGCTTAATTCATCTTCAACCCCTCCCCTCAAAAACAAAAAAAAACAAAAACAAAACCAGACAAACAAACAAACATAAACTAAATAATAAAAACAACCAAAGAAACCTGAACATTTAGCTATACATAAAATAGTATTTCTGGGATATAATACATTTATCTCTCCCCTTTTTTCAGATTGTTTTAATTTCATTTTCATGCTTTAGATTTATTTGATCCCTTTGGTTTTGTAATTCAGACCAGGCGATTTGTTGATTGGAGAAGAGTCCGTGTGGCGGCAGGCAACGGTGGAAGCGGAGGCATCTCGCTGAGACGAGAGGCTCACAAAGAATTTGGCGGACCTGATGGAGGTGACGGAGGGAATGGTGGTCATGTCATTCTTGAAGGTAAGAATTGCATCCAAAGAATCTGAAGCTAAACTGGACACTTGAAGCAGGACTGAATCGATCTTGCTGGTCCCAGAGGGCCAGCCGAGAGTCGTCCGTGTACCTGTCGCACGGACTCACTGACTGACTGTCACTTGTGACCTAGACTTGTTTAAACCTCACCTTAACCCACACATTTGATTGGTCTCCTTGGCCCTTCAAATTTGACTCGGATGACTACCTAGTCCCTTTACACAAGTTGGTTGCGGACCAGTTTTACTAAGATTTGTTGAGTCTTGTTTTACAACTGGCAAACTAACAGGAGAACAAAAGATTTGGACTATCAAAATGGTGTAAAATCATTACAGTTGAACCAGTTGATTTATATATCATCACATGAAGGGAATCTGACTATGTGGACTTTTAACCAGAATAAGGTTGACCAAGGAAATTGACTGCAGTAGGAATCGAACCTCCAATCTCTGGAGCACCGTACTTGCTTCGTTCAGTTGAGCTATCAGCCCCTAAAGATTATACGCTTCCAAATTGCCAGTGTCTTTGTTGAAGGGGACAACCAATGTATAGGAGTAGCTTAGGCCAAAAAGAAAAGTCTCCGGTTTCTGGTATGCGCGCGCGTCGTTGAGCCATGCGCGTCGGCAAAATGAAAACATTTTTTTTTTCAATGAAAGATGATGTCTCAAAACCGCCAAACTCACTGGTTTGACTGGAATCCTGCTGCTGCACAATTTTAACGTTTTTTTAGATTGGGTTATGGTCGAGAATAAGCTTTAAGTGGCCCCTCTGGACTCCCATATATTTGCACTAAGTTTAGTCTGGCACCATTTGCAGTCATCAGCCGACATTTGAAGCAAAAAAATCAGGTAAAAAAAAAAAAAAAGCCGCGTCGCCGCACCACTTTTTGGGCAAGCTCCATACCAGAAACCGGAGACTTTTTTTTTTGGCCTTAGGTAGAGTGTTGGTGTGATTTTCTGATAAATGCTAGTTCAGTTCTATCCCAGTCCATGTGTTCAAAGTTGCTTTTTTTTCAATTTCCAGCTGATCGGCATGTCAAATCATTGGAGCCTGTCCGTTCACAGTATAAAGCACAGCATGGGGAACCGGGCAGGAAAAACAACAGTAGCGGAAGAAATGGCAACCACACAATCATTAGAGTGAGTAGACTAGTCGGTCAGTCAGTCGGTCAGTCGGTCAGTCAATCAAAGACGTCTTAATCAAAAACAGTCTTGCTTCAGTTTTCGGGCTGGGAGGCAAAAAACAAACGGCTTGAAATGAGAAATTTTTGAGGACTTGATTGCTACATAATTTGGATAATTTTTTTCTTGCAGAATATATGTTTGGAAATTTGTGCTCAGCAATTACAAAATGTCCAGAAATATCGGGAGCTAAAACAAAAAAAGACGACAAATTGGGAAGAAAGTGCATCAGAAGAAGATTTGGATAAGTTCTGTAAAGCCCCATAGAACGGTGATTTGTACCAGGGTGTAGCTCATATTTAGTATTTATGTTTGGGTGCAGGTTCCAATAGGGACAGTTGTCAAAGAAGGCAAAACGGTGATCGCAGATCTCGATTCAGAGGGAGACCAGGTAAGAAGAGACATAGCAGCCAACCGACAGAGGTTTCGTCAAATCTATCACAAGTCAAATCACAAGTCAAGCCAGGCACAGTTCTGGACCAAATTTAACACACAAAAAATGGAAATGATATATTTTTGAAAAACGTATCGTCTAATATGTGGGACAATTTGTTTTAAAATTAAGGCAATTGAGAGAGCTAAAAAGTTGTTTATATGCTGAAAATTCCTTACTCTTTCAGTTTTGTGAAACATTTTTTTTTGTAGAGCAGTCCCTGCCTGCACACCATTTACACTATTTAGATTAAATACCACACAAAGTTTATACACCGCATCTTGAAATATTCTGCGGTTTTGCAGGTTGTTATATATTCCTGACAATGTTCTCTGCATATTTTCCATGCGTTGCAGTTCATCCTTGCACGTGGGGGACAGGGAGGCCGGGGGAACAGATCGTTTGCAACACCGCTTAACAGGACCCCTAGGATCGCAGAACGAGGCATCCAGGGTCAGGAGTTACAGGTGTCTATGGAGCTACGTACCATGGCACATGCTGGACTGGTGAGATAACCCCCCCCCCCCACCCCAACCGAACCCCACCCCCACCGAACCCCCACCCCCGCCATATATGGCATATGACAAAAGGGGATATTTGTGAAGCAACCTCACTCTGAGTAAACACATGTCAAATTTAAAGTTGAACAGAGAATTTGACAGGAGCAGGGTTTGAACCTGCAACGTCTGGATTGCTGTTCCGGTGCTCTACCAACTGAGCTATCCAGTCCTACGTTGGCGGTTCCCCATTTTGTCAATGTCTTTGTTGAAGGGGTGCTAGTCAGTAGTCATAATCCCTCATTCTCCTGACGACGGGCAGAGCATACTGTTCGAAACGTTGAGTCCCTCCGGTTCTTTTCAGAACCACACATACTCACTAAAGAGATTTATTCACATGGTGCTACCGCAAATTTATCTTGTCTTAGTATCTTTCCACCATGCAAACCTTCAAATCTCATAATCTTGTCACATTTGTCGCATGCTATTTTTATTCCAGATTGGGTTTCCCAATGCCGGCAAGTCCACTCTCCTCCGAGCGTTATCCCGAGCCAGGCCTGCAGTGGCTGCCTACCCCTTCACAACACTCAACCCCCACGTGGGGATGGTGGAATATAACGACCTGGAACAAGTTGCAGGTGAGGAGGTTTGTTCTTAGGATGTGTCCAAGATGGGCGTTATTGTCAATGGCTACGGCTTTTAGCCACTGAACAAAAGAAAGATAAGAACTGAAGCCTTAGCCACCAAAATGCCTGATTCGGGCGTTGCCTTACAGGCCAGAGTTTGAAAAAGTGTGTAGGTTTTCTGCAAGACAAATAGGGATGCTGCATGTGCAACCAATGGGAGCCAAGCAAAATTTTCAGTTTTCGATACTTTTCAAAATTTTATCAAATTCTTACTTTTTATTGCTGTTCCTCTGTAGTTGCTATCTAGCACTCTGCCAGGAGTCAGTGGCAGTGAAACTTTTGTGAACTTGGGTGGGGGTGGGGGTGATGGCACAGACATTTTTCAAACCCAAAAGTCCCAAACTTTAAATTTGCCTGAATTTCAGCAAATTGCCCTGAATTTTGGCAGTTTTACAAGTGCTTCAAACAAATAATTGAGTATATTTGACTTTCCCTCAATAGTTGCCGACTTGCCCGGTTTGATTCGTGGAGCTCATCTCAACCGCGGCCTGGGCCACTCATTCCTCAGACACATCGAGCGTTGCCGTTGTCTTCTCTACGTCTTAGACCTCTCGGCCCAGGAACCCTGGACACAGCTCTCTGATCTCCAGTACGAACTGGAGCAATACCAAGAAGGGTTGTCACAAAGACCTCACGCCGTGGTCGCTAACAAGATAGATCTACCAGAAGCAGCGGAAAACCTGAGGTTACTCCGTGAGAATGTGGAACTGCCTGTCATTGATATCTCAGCTCACTATCAGACCAACATCGACCAGTTGAAAGTGCATTTGAGGGAACTGTACGACAAGGATATGAAAGACAAACTGGTACCGAATGTGGTGAAAGAAGAGGAAAAGCGAATCTTATAAGGAGTTAGTGCCTGGATTGGCGAGACTGACTTTTCGGCACGGTCATGATTTTACCTTTCAGTCCGTGGGAGCCCAATGGGCCGTTTGAGATTCGGCAGTAAGCCCCGCCCACCTTGGTTTGACCTTGATCACCTGACCAAAGGTACTGATCTAATTGGTCAATGCACACCGTTTGATTGACAGGAAGGTAGGGTCCATTAACAGTTGGTCCACTAAAAGATGCTGCTTGAGAAGTTGAATTTCCATTGATATAGCTTGTTTTTTTTACACACACAGTTGGCATTATGAATGGATGACAAAGTTTGTAATCCTTCCGTTCATTTCATTATATTTTTCATTATATTTTAGATTCAGGAAATATAGCATTTTGAAATCTAGCATACACCCAATGGGCATTCCTGTTTCTCATAAACCGACTTACTTTGAGAATTTTCAAGGAACAAATTGCATCATTTGCATACTTGCTAGAGCTCTGATGTCAAGGAATGGTTCATGACAACAGAATAATAAAGAACCAAAATTACAATTTGAAATGGCTGTTTTTGCTTTTATTCATTAAAGTAGTAGACAATTTTAACTACTCCAAGAAAAATGTCTGAATACATGTTCTTACAATTTCAGTTAAGAAAAGTTTTATTATATGAATTCCATGTTTATTTTTTTTTTTTGATGAAAAACAAATCTTTAATTTTGTGCAATTAAAGATAACATCTGAGTTTATCTGCTCGGCATTTTAACAATTTCAACACTGAGAAAATTGTTTATCAAAACTATCAAGTAAAATTACACTATTTTGTCAAAAGATCATCCATATTTACAAGTTTAATCAATGTACATGGTGAAATGCTTTATCCTCTATATAACTCAATCAACTTGGATATATCTTGGATATATATGAAAGAAGTACAATAATCATGGATTATTCTGACAAATTTTAAGCAGTTGACACAAACCAAACATTTAACTTAAGTTAACTTTTAAAGATTAGGCAGCAGATTATATCCCTGGAAACTTCTAGCTGTCCAAATTTCAGATTCAGAAGCTTGATGTCTCAAAGAACGAGGTTAAACTGGATATTTATTATGGTCTGTGACCATAACATTTTACTAACTTGCAACAAGTATGCCGTTTAGAGACTTGCACGGTGAGGCTTTTGTCTGAAAGGTTCGTCAGATAGCTTTACCATTGATTATGACTAGTTAGTCAATTCTCTTGTTTTTTTTAAACAATCTCATCTCATGAGTAATAAAAGTACATAAAGCTAACTTCCTCTATTTACAACAGAAAAATGGATAAAAACCCAAACAATACTGGGAGCCATATCAGGGTATAATTTTTTTTTCAAACACAAGAGGGCGCTCCAGCAACACGATTGACGGAAGTTCACTGCTCAATGCCATCTTATACCAGCATACTAGGGAACTACGAGCAGACGGCAATGAAGAGTGGCAATTTCAAATATCTTTAGAAATTAACTTATTACAGATTCACCAATTGAAAAAAATCCAGGAGAGCCTTTTTTTTTTCTCAGAAATGATTTGCCTGCCGAATAGATGCGACCGATTTCATTTTATTATATGAGCACAGAATAGTCTTAACGATGGAAACAATTAGAAACGAGTTAACGACCTACAGTTCAAGTCATGTAAGTTGTCAATCCATGGTTCCCCTATGATTTTTGTCAAGCACATAAATTTACAGAACAATATCTGCTTGACAGCTCAGAAAAATTGGGCCCTTTTTAGCACTGAAATGAAAAGACGCAGGTAACTATAATCTGCAGCATGACGTACAATTGAACACTACTTTCTGCTTAGTTGAAGTTGAACTTGATGTGGACCAAGTAGCGCATTCGGATCTGGTTGGTGTTGTAGACGATGAACTCATTGTAGTTGAGGGTGTAGCCCTTAGGGTTGACCACTCCAGTGTCTGTTCCCTTGCCTACGGGAACGACGGTGCCGTCCGCCCTGAAAATCAAGCCGGAACAAACACGGCGTCAAACATCAAACTCTATGAATTTGGGCCCTGGGTCGTCATTACGGAAGCTCGGTCACCTAAACTGTACATTTATGAAGTGTGGAAAATCCACTTGGCCAGTTTACTAGAATACTTGCTAGTATCAATGGTTGAGAGGGGGAGTGTGGCCTAGTGGTTAGGGCTTGTGACTCATGATCAGAGGGTCAGGGGTTCGAATCCAGCCACTGGTCATATGCTGTGTCCTTGGGCAAGCCACTTCACCCCCACTGCCTCTCTCCACTAAGGAGTATCAGTACCTACCAGCATGAGCTGGCGAGTAACCTGTGATGGACTGGCATCCCATCTGAGGCAATAGAAATATTCTCAGTTATTTCAGGCCAAGGAAACCGGACATAAATGCTGGCTTGATGAGCCATATTGACTCGGAACAGACTTATGTCATCTTTGGTTGACCAAAACACCCTTTCAATGCTATGTTACACTGTGATCAGTGTAGGCAACGTGTTCTCATTTTGTACACAAACCAATGGAGCAGCCAGTTTCACATGTTCAGACTAATGCACGTTTCCAAATCACAGCATTGTATCTGGCCTTCTTTTTCCGGAGACTTTAGGCCCCTCATTTTGGGACATCAGTTCAATATTCTGTTCATTTAACATCATGTTCAATGCCCTGCATTCTGAAAGTTGTGTGGGGAAAACTGTTTTTATGTCCCAAGCAACTTTGAAAGATAATAAACGAGACTTACATTGTATGGTTGGAGCTCGCATTTGGTGCTATCTTTCCCAGACCTCTGACGCTTTGTTTGCCTGGAGGTAGCTTATCTGCACTGTAATCAGCTGCTAGGAGATCATTGCAATTCCCGAGTGCAACCTAGAAATATAATGAAGATAAAAATCTGTGGGGACAATTCTTTCAAAATTCCTTCAATATTTCAACATTCCTCAAAAAGAGTTCGTGGGGGGGGGGGGGGGGGGGAAGCCTGTGACTGGGCAAACCATGATGGGAAAGCAGGAGGCACAAGATTCATTTTGACGCAAGACTCACCTGGCATAGCATCAGCAGTCCGTCATTCTTTGACCTGGTAGCGAAGCAGTAGTTGGCAGACTTGGACGACATGTCGGCAAAGTAGACGCCCTTACCGAACTACGAGATGAAAGGACAATGTGAAAAAGTCAATCGAACGTTCCATTCTACAGTGCACCCATGGCAGTAGAACTCTGAAGATTTAGTTCGTTTAGTAAATGAAATTGAAGTTGTGACACTGAATCGTCTGTGTAAGGTTCTGAACACCTAAAGGCCGGTTTGAACTTGAATATTGCAAGTATTTGTTCCATTTTGAATTTTGCTGCTAAGGTTTTGTGACGTCAAAATTGCTTCTAATTTGTGTTTGCGTGAAATATGAAGTTGCCTTGAGATGGTATCACTGTTCTGATCATGGAAATTTGGAACAGCACAAAAACTTTAAAAGGCCCTGAAACACTTTTGGAATGCCAATAAAATGATTAAAAGGGGAGTAAAATGGACCCAAAAGTATGCAACTAAAACAAGTACATGTACCTATTTTGTATCAAATATTTAATCAAATCCCTTTGACATACCATGTAACCGGTAACCGGTGCTTCGGGTGGTGCAATACGCAGACCTTGACCCAGGATACCAGCCCAGTTTGTTAGACGAGATCCGTGCCACAGTAACATCCTAAAAACAAAATAAATACAGTTATTTCAGAAAGCCAGGAGACAGGACAAATATTTAATGCAAGACTGACAATATATTTTCAGAGAGACTCAAATCCCCAAGTAGTAACTTTGAAATAAATTGACATGGGAAAGTACAAGGTACGTGCCATTACTTTCCGATACAATTAAGGACTTGGGAGGTTTTTAGGAAGGTTCTCAACTAAAATGCCTTGGGGAGGTAAGGTTATTGGTGAGAAACCTACTTGTTTCCGACATCGTTGAAGCTTGCTGCTTCACCCTCCTTCTCCAAATCGTAGATGTCCTTGACTGCCATCTTGTACTGATTGTGAGTCTTGGCGTGCGTCTGTTGGACATAGCGCTCAATCATCTGATAAAAGCAAACAAGTTTCACTATTACTTAAACTTACTAAGCGACACTTTCTATTTGCTTTCTTTCTTTCGAAAATCTCGCAGGTTTTTGAGGTAAACTTATGAACTTACTCGGTTGGGAATTGAACCCACCACCTCCTGCTTAAAAGTACCGATGTCTTTACAACTCAACCACCAACTGAACCAGGGCTATATTTCATCATTGTTTATATTGTATGCTAGCAATTTCATTTTGACTGATTGCTGGGGGAGGCAGGGGTAACACATACCTTGAAATCTGAATGTGATTTATCTACAGGCTTCATCGCGCATTTGAGGGAATGGTACTGGCTGTCGATGGGGTTTTCTGTCACGTCCCCAATATCTTGAAGTATCGTCATGGCAATCTGAATATCACCCAGAGCCTAAAAGCAAAACAAAACGTGAGCAGTGATCCATTTTTTGCATCGAAATATGAACATTTGATGAAACAGCTTTTCTTGGCAGGTACAATTTACCAAGTCCAGCTCACAGTGTAAGCATTATGGTGTTTTTTAAACTTCGGCAAATTTACAGCTTTGGCGTTAGGCTTCTGATTCAGGAGTTCTCATTTCTGACTTGGAAGTCACAGGCTCGTTATATAATCATACAGAATATGCAGCCAAATAGCAGAGTGTGTTCAGTATGTTCATTAGATTTGAGCATTAAATGCTCCTGACTTATTCTGCAGCTGATGGCAAAGCCAGAGGCAGAGCTGGAGATGAAACCGAGATTTGAAAAATGGCCAATATATGGCAATTAACCTACAAATCATTTTGAAGAGAAAACCTTGGACAACACTGTTTACACAAATTGCAGCAAGACAATGAGGTATCTTGTGGTACTTCATGGTTTATGAGATTTTTCAAATGCTTTCATGTAAGAAATTCTAGTTTTTTACCTCTAGCAATGCTATCTTTGCTTTCAGCTCCTCCTTCGTTTTGATAACTGGTGGCCGTCGCATTCTGCCAAGAAAAAAGGACACTTTGCAATTTCGTGTGACAAAATCAAAATTATATGCAATGCAAAAGAACAAATACAATTCTTTTTGACTGATAACATGAAAAATGTTGTAAATTGTGCCCTCTGTTGACAGCTTTTATGACAGACAAAGACATTGACCAGTTTATATGTGAAATATTTTTTTGATATGATTTGCTTTTAGATTCAATTATCAGCTTGATGTCGCAGAAATACTGGGGCAGAAATTAAAGCAGCCTATGTGAAGCGTTGGCTGAATGTTGAAACGTTTAAACAGTGTTTAATTTTTTAATAAAAGTTTATTCATATTAAAAATTAACGACAATTATTATATTCTTTCAATATTTCCTCAAACATGGGATCTTGTATTCACACGATCGACTTCCAGTTTTCAATGTTCACGTTCACATACTGGGGAAGGCATCAGCCTCGTTAAAGCGTCCATCACAGGTTTTCAACTATAAATGGTGCGTTAAAGTTTCACATGATGTCACCAAACTAAACGATGATTTCCATCCTTACTGCTGACAAGTTTTCTTGCAAGATCTTAAAAAAGGTGACAATTTTTTTCCAGTCATTAAAGTTAAGAAAGGTCGCAAGAGGAATCAAACTTTGAGACAAGATTTGCTGAACTGCACGTTTTGTTTTTGAAATTTACCCAAAGTTGTGTGGGATTCTGGTGTAGAACTCATCGCAAGCCTTGATGAGTTTGTCGCCCACCGTCTTGCTGTTGATGCACTGTTCAATCTTCTTGAGTGCGGAGTAGCCGGCCTTGATCTGATCCTGCGTCAGCTTGCCCAACGGCGCCTTCTGTGCGTCATACTTCATCTCTACCACCATGTCCTCCATAGCTTGGATGTTGCAGATAAGCTGGATCAGATCCTGTTAAGGGAGGGGGTGGGCGGGGTGAGAGTGAAGGGGGGGGGAAAATTAACTCATAAGTGACTTAAGCTTTGTTCGCATTGGATTTAATTTTGTAAAAAGTTACTGCAAGTGACTGTGGAGTGCTGTGGCCTCGTGGTTAAGGGCACTGATTCGTGGTCTGCGGGTAAAGCTGCAGGTTGTGGGTTCGAGTCCTGGCGGGGTCATGGTGCGTGTGCCCTTGGGCAAGGCACTTTGTCACTCATTGCTTCTCTCCACCCAGGAGTAAATGGGTACCTGTGAGGGCAGAGATGGTTATTGTGATTGAATTAGCTTCCTTGCGCCTAACAGGCTGCATCGAGCTGTATACTCCCCAGGGAGCTGAGATGGTATTTGGAATGCTTCATGTGCCCAATGAGCAGGGATAATAATGATGTAGCGCCTTGAGCACCAGTCCTGGTGGATACGTGCGCTTTATAAATATCCGGTATTATTATTATTACTGTTAACATTCGATTGTATTTATTCTACCGTGTGTCCGCACGTGGATTAATTTCAGCCCGTGGAAAGTCGTTCGTTGCATAAATGTTGCCATACCGTTCTTGTTTAGAATCTGATGAGGGCGCCCTACTATTGACCTTTTCACCTAACCCCTGATGCGGTTGTGGGAGAAAATAATATTGCAGCACACAGCAGAAATACAGTACAAACTCAAATACAGTTTGTAGGCCAACGTGTGCTTATTACTTGACCTACAGGGAAGTCACGTAATTCATAACATTAGCTTTACAACCTCTGTCCGCACGGAGGTTTCATTGATGTAAAACTAACAATGTAATCCCTTTGTGACCCAGTTGTCCCTATAAAACTTACCACTGCAGACTGTACAACTAACAATCGACAGTTGACACTTTGGGTAGTTTACTGTTTGTCGCACTGGACTTAATTTGGTCAAATTGACAAAACAGTCTCCGTAAATTTGACAACAGTCACCGTTGGTTTTACCAAAATAAGTGCAATGTGAACTCGAGTCTTATGAATATAAGCTCCGATTATGAACCACTTACTTGAACCTTCTTGTCCAGTTTGGAAGCCACTTTCTCTTTCTTCACCTTTCCCGCGTCAGGTTCGTCTCCTTTGCCCTGAAGAAACAAGAAAAATTACACACCCCTCTCTTTATGTTTTTTGTTTTCCACACAACTTGCCTTAACTAATCGCTCTTTTTTGTTGACTGGCAAACATTCTTGTCCTTTTCATTCAATTTAAAAAAACCAGGCTTTGTTATTTCTAACAATTGAGATTTTTAGACTAATTGCAAAAGAGCAACAAATATAAGGTATATTTCATACAAAGTTATAACAAACTCATGTGTCAAAGCATTATATATATTATTAGTCATTATATATTGCCGATTTTACAAGACGTTCTATTTCTTATAGACATCTGCATTTGTTTCTCAAGAGTATAGGATTCATCTTTTATGTGAGATTTTACTTTTTGCATTTTGCAATTCAATATATTTTAAATTTTGGTCTCACCTTGTCATCAACCGAGTAGTCCATCTTCAGGATGTCATACTTCCCAGAAACCTTCTCAAAGCTGTCTCTAAATGACCACTCGTTCCTCGTCTTGTCGTAGAATTTCTTCTCAAACACGCTCTTAGCTTCCGTCAGGTCATGACCGCAGGCTACCATGGAGTTCTGACCGGCTTTTCCAACTAAACGAAAGGAACAAGACACACTTACGCACCCATTTATGCCCGGAGCTGTATGTTATCTTCTACATGACTCACAGTCAGAGAGGAATGTTTTTTGAAGGCAGAACAAGAAAATGATTTTCTTTCTTGGACGTCAATAATTACTTAACCACAAAATGGTCCAAACTCTCTATTCCGCTCACAATATTTGTCACTGTTTCAGAACCAGCTGTAGATTTTACAAACATTTCAAGCACAGTGTGAACTGGTTTTTAATTACGCTAACTCCACACGTACAATTTTCAGGTAGAATATGGCTGATTTTGGAGGATGCACTGTGTCAAGGTCTTGGGCCAGACATTGTGTTGTTTATGCTCAGCCATGCATAAATATAGGCCCAGATTACACTGCTCCAGGATGTCACAGGCTCTGCCTCAGCATATCGACAGTGATTGCTGGAGGATTTTGCAGGATTCAGGCAGAGGTCACCCCTCTAAGGACCACATTCAAGAAATAGCGGAGGATTTTGCAGGATTGAGGTTGCATCCTAGCAAAAATGCCAAGGGAGTTAGGGTTAATAAATAACACCTTACCTCGTCCCCAGCGGAACCAAACGGAGTATATTTTCTTAGTATTTTCCTCCAGCAGCTGGATGATGTAATATTTATTGTTGTTGTTCTTCAGATTGGTCTGGAAAAGGAGGGAAACAAAAACAATTCTTAATTGCTCAGCAAAAACAGGTTATTAGCTAAATTAATCATTTGTTTCACACATAAACCAGCTAAGCAATTAGTTTCTGTTTAGCGTACCTGATTGAGCATTGCGTCATAGATGTCGTCTCCGTCGATGAACACGTGTGCCTTTCCATGCATCTGGTAACATTCACTGTCAACTGGTACCTTGTGGCCGGTGGCGATCCGAACAGTTTTGACATCTGCGTGAGTAAAGCCAAAACGACGATTATGTATAATGTTGTCATGGCTGGCGTCAAGTCCAAAAAGTACTCACAAGCCCCTCACGCGTCCTTCAGTCTGAAGTCAGATCACAAGCTTTTCATAATAATTTGCGACAAGAACATTTCTTTTGTCATGCACTGTTCATCCTCTGTTCATGTTAACTCTCTTGGGATGGTCTTGTGATTGACAATATGATCTGATTTGTCATGGACTTGTTATTTTACTTATAATTAACTTGTTATCCGAGTTTTGATTGCCTTGTGATTTGCCTTGTGATTTGCCTTGTGATTGACTTGTGATTTGACTTGTGACCATAGAGCTACATTAAATTACCGGAGCGCTGACTCGATGTACAATGTACAAAGTGATGCCTGCTGGGCGCATCCATGTTTGTACACAGACCTATGGGAAAACTCAAAATTTTGTACGGCTTTTGTATGGCTATTTGCATATCTGCATCTGTATTCTACACAGGTGCATTATCGAAGCCGATATGCCCGAAACGGAAATGCACAATATGAGCATTTCATTGACTTGTGATTTGACGTGGGACTTGATTACAACTCCTTAGCGCTTCCTAAAAATGCAACAACCAGCTATGCCAAATTCCTGACAATCGACCCGGCACCGGTTATTACAACACAAGGTTTACAGTTTACCTTGGCCTGGTCCCTGACTCTTCCCCTTCCTGGCAGACTTGGCTGGTTTGACTTCCTCCTCCTCCTCTTTATCCACAGGCTCCGCCTTCACAGTGGAAGCTTTGCTTGTAGAGGGCTTACTGGCTGTACTAGACTGGGCCCTCTTCCTTGACGGAGCTTTGGTGGGCTGTTCCGATGGTGGCACTTTGTAATCTGCAGCCAATAACGAAAAATTAAATACCTCTTCTTTTCCAAAAAAAATTTCATTGAATTTGCTGAAGGTTAAAACAATCCTCATTTTGCTGCACTATATTGCAAATGAATGAACAAGTGTTTATAAAAACAAGTTACCTCCCCACCCAAAGCAAGAGCACGCGTGTCAGACTTTTGTCCAACATTTATTTGCATAATCTTGGCTGTGACTGGCCAAAACTTGGGGACGGAACTTAAGTAATCGTTCTTTCGCAACTGCATGCAGATGCCAAATTTGAAGATTCATTTCAAGCCTTATTTTAATCCAGTTAACGAACATGTCTTTCGCGTATTGCAAAACTAAAAACCTGTAATCATACACAATGAAAACAGCTTACTTCCCCAACCTAAATTGTCATACCTATTTGTAATCGCTGGACTTTTCGTTTCACTTTAGTGGTCTGGTTGACCTGTTCCATGGCATTCAGATCCATCGTGTAGGCTCGTTGGGCTATGACCAAGTCAACGCTGTCACAGGACCCTTGATGGGCCTCTTCAATCTCCGTGCAATTTGACACGTTGTAGGCGTTCCACCTGTTCTTTTCGTCCTGCCACTGCCAAACAAAAACTGTGAAGGGGGGAAATGGCGTGGTTTATGGCAAAGAAGCTGCAGAGACTGAAAATTAATTGTCAATTCAACCCACCCACAATTCTGCAACACCCTAACCCTTCACACACAATCTTTGTAAACACTGGCAATCGTTGACCCCCAATTGTTCCTAATCCTCATTCCTTTGTTTGTACTTTTTAGCAACAGCTCTCATTGGTTTTGTACATGAATTTCAATCGTGGACGTTTGGTCAATCGTGGACGTATTGTTTGTGCCCTAACCCTTGTGTCCCTAGTCCATGATTGCTGGTGTTTACATGCTCATACACACTAAATAATTAAAAAGACAAGATTCTCCCTCTCCCTTAGCTGGCATCTAAGTTGGACTTTCTCTCTTTAATTATTATTGAACATCATCTACAGTATCTGATCAAAAGTCTCATGGCCAAACGATGTCAGAGTCTGCAGTTGCCAACTGCTACAGGATACAACTGTGTTATTGTTCAACGGCACTAGCTCTGATTTTTTCGAAATTGGCCGTTCATGCACTGGTGTTGATGGCTCAATGCAGCAAAGTCCCACAGACTTTTACACCTTCTCTGGTAGGGTTAGGGCTAGGTTAAAGGGGAAAACCTTCAAAATGATTTTTAAAATTGCCTGATCCAATGCTTACAATCTCCAGTCTGGTCCTTTATGCCACCACGAATCCTACGCTCCCATCCCGTCTTGCAGTTGCGCTGAACCATCTCATTTAGTTTCACTTCAATCTTACAGTCGTTAGCCGTCAGCTTCACGCTCTTCTTTCCGTTGCGATGGGCGTCGTTGATCGCGTCGTTGTGCTCGGCCGAGAAAGCCGTCCAGACTTGCTTGTCCCCCTCCCACTCCCAACCAATAGCTACATCCTCTTCACCATCTGTTGCCATGGCAAACTTTACCCAGTGAGAAAAAAATTAACATTAATTAATCAATATCATATCGATACGATGCGAGGGTGCAGCCTAGCCTACACTGCCATAAGTTGATGGATTCTTTTAGAGCCAGGATATATATTTATTTCTCAGCTCCAAATAACTGTCAGGTCGCAGCTGTGTTGTGTTTGTGTTTGAAACCACAGCGTGCATCTGAAATTGATATAGTAACCAAATACATCGCACAGCATAGAGAGACATGCACACGATGTGGTTACCATACAGTTTCACAAGTGCGCTGTGTTTCTTACACAAACTTCAACCTGAAGGTTAATGTTCTACCTGAAAAGCCACCAAAATCATCAGATTTTTTTTATTGGTCGCCATGGCAAGGTCCCTCAACTGGCCAATCACATGGCGTCTTGATTGGGCATCTCCAGTCCACGACGACCAATCAAAGCGCCCTGTGATTGGTTTGACGGACATGTCTGACACTAGCCGGGAGCTAAGTCTGGTTCCCTGTCTCCATTATCGTTTTCACTGCAATACTTCTTAGCCAGGCGCCATGCACAAATCAATCCCGGCCAATCTCCGAAAGCCTATGTCTTATCAACCTCGTTCCTATCCGTTTTACATGCTCGAGGTAATTTTTTTTAAACAATGTCACTTGAATTTGTGGATTAGTTGAGCCAAAAGCAGACTAAATAATGTTTGAGATCCGGAACTAGAAAAAAAACGACTGTAATGTGTAATACCATAACCAGTAAAGGCTATTTCTACACGGTAAACAATATTGGACTTTGCTCCATAAAATTTTCCGTCAGTGTCGTTCAACTTACCTCTCAAAGATTGCTTGTGAAAAGCGAAATAAAACCTGAAATGTGCTACCGTAATAAATCTTTAGCTCTCCCAGAAAGAGTATGCTCGCAGTTGAAAATATGAAATTGTTTTAACTTTTATGAAGCTGCAAAAAAACCGCGCGAGCTCAGCATGCCGAAACAAGTTTGTGACGTCATCATGTGCGCTGCCGCCCTGACCCAACTTCGTCCCCAGGGTGTTGAGCAGTACGCGCCCACCACTACCGGCTCTCTCATTTACTATTGGAAACGCGGTTGGAAATAAAGTGAATCACTGGGGACGAGGTTGGCCCTGGCCTAGTCTGGTCCCCCGACCTGACAATTTCCCCCGACGTCTACACGTCTAAATTGTAGGTCAGGCAGCCTCCGTAGCTAAAAATAAACATGACGACATTGACGGCCCTTTTTTAAAGCTCGACTTCGTTTCCGAATTCGCTTTATCGCATAAAGCTTTTAATGTTCCGATAATTTTTTTTTAAAATAAATCACTTGCTTAATATATCATACAGTTATGATATACAATATAATACTTCTGTTAAAAAACATTGACTAATTTTAACCTGGAATCTTCAAAGTTGGACACCCAAACAGCACTGTTAGCAGGCGGAGCCGAATTGAGACCACGCCGCGTTTTGGAAAATGCCGGTAACGGTCGTCAAATTCAAACTAGTGCATGACGCAGCAAAAAGTTCGCCCCTCGTATACGATCCGAGTGCAAAATCGTCGTTGAATTTCAAGTTTTCTAAATAAAAGCCATGGATATTAATTATCAACTAGTTTTTTAAGTTTTTAATAAGCAATTAGCAGTTAATAAAACCTATATTATACTCGGAAATACTCGGACACTATCTGATTGTCGACGAAATGAATTCGGCAAACTTCGGACAGTTTCGGAAAAAGGAGGAATTCCTCCCGTTTTAGTCACGTGATGTAAATTGTAATACATTGTATTACCGGAGGCTACCTGACCTAAGATTCATCAGGAATAGTCGGAATCTTTTGGTCTGGGAACCAGACTAGCCCTGGCCCTGTAAAAAAAGCAAACACTTGCACTTTGCAGCTCAGTCGAGTCGCGCACGCGCACGCGTGCAAACGCCACACACGTGACACGTGTTCAGTGTGAGCCACGTGCGCAGTCAGCCTGGGAGCGCTACTTTGGTTACCAAGTTGGTCTTGGCATTTTTAGCGCCATGGTCTTGGGAGATAAAATCCGTCCGTATGATCAATATGGGGTAAGTATCTATTTGCACGATAGCTGACAATGAAAAGCCATTTCAGGGGGCCTAGTGAGTTTGCTACTTTACAGTGATGAGTGACGCGCCTTGCATGCTTGTCCTTCAGTATAGTTCCGAAGCGATGAGCATGATGAACTGTAGCCCGAGTGCGTCCTGCCGTACAGTACTATCGCCTACTCTACAGCCAGACGCAGTCAGGCTATAAGAACGGGAGTTACTCAAGCTAGAATTCATCCTGACTCCGGTGGACTCCGTGGCTGTGCACAAAGTACCCCTCAGATTGACTTGGATTACGGGATGTAGCATAATCTGGTACGTAGCCCAGAATTGGTTGGATCATGGAGGTAGAATTACCTTTATTGGTTGAATACTTTAGGGGATGGTTGGATTACCTTCGGGGGATTGGTTGGATGTAGGGGGATTGGTTGGATTAACTTTAGTTTTATGGAATTACCTTTAGGGGATTGATTGGTGACCTTTAGAGAATTAATTTGTGACCTGATTAATTGGTGGCCTGTAGGGGATTAATTGGTTAGATTACATTCAGGGATTGGTTGGATTACCTTCGGGGATTGGTTGGATTACCTTTGGGGATTTGTTGGCTTACCTTCATAAGATTGGATGGATTACATTTTGTGGATTTGGTTGGATTACCTATAGGGGATTGGTTTAAAGATTACCTTTACCTTTAGATTGGTTGCAAGATTACTAGGTTGGATTACCTTCTGTGGATTGGTTGTTTTACCTATGATGATATTACCATGGCTGGAGGTAGGAAACACCAGAAACATGATCATATCGGATTGGATGCATGGATAACCTAAAGTGGATCCAATAGATGGGGCGGATTAGCTATAGACGGATGCATGATTGGGTTGTGATTACCAACATCTGTAGTGCATTTTATTAAAACGGTCAAAGGTTAGACAGCAAATAAGGGTGTGTGTGATGTGATACTTGAACTTCAGTCCGTGCTGATATAAAGCACAATCAAGCTTCGCCGCGCCACAGCCGGCAACATTCTTGTATTGCACCAGAAAGGTTTGCAGCATTTGCAGTGCAGTCAGTAGTGACAACGTTAAGTGCATGGCCATCATGAAGTTGGTAGCGTTTGTATGCATTTTGACTGCTGTCATCGTGGATGTGTGGGGACAGGGTTAGTAGTCACGCTATATAAATTATTAAGTTAGTCTCTTTATGAATATTCTACTAAAAAAGTACTATATTAACAGTTGTTGATGTTGCTGATTCCATATGCACATATTATTTGATACTTCTACTTTCTGATTGTGCATTTGGTTTCTATTCCCGTTGATTTGGATCATCACACAATGATATTCAAAGCACATGTGATGACATTCTGTTTTTTGAGACGAGCAATATGGCGGCTCTTTTTAAGGATATTTTTTTCTAAGAGTACAAATACCAATATGTAGTACTGGGATTTTCCTTGAATACGAGCAAAATACCTGCAGTGGCATAGCATGCTGAACATTCCAATCCCTTAAATTCTCATTAAGTTCACTTTTGTTTTGTTAAAGTCTGCTTTCATTTTGCTGTCGAACTATAGGCATTAACAAATGCAGAGGCCTCCCAAACAGAAGAAAATTGATTCTTTTCCTGCATGTACCACAGGAATTTTGGAGGGTAAATTCTTTAGGGAAAACAGCAAGCTAGAAAAGTACAAGTACATTCTCATGAGTACCAGTACGAGTACCAAAGAAATGTACTCAAGTACAAGTACACTTTTGACACCCTTCCAATCATTTCAGCAATATTGGATTCTATAGTTGCATTTCTTTGGAGACTGCCTCGATTTACAGCTACTTTACCACAAAAAATCTTATCATACATGTACCTCCTTGTGATTCTTCATGTGACATATCACATGACTAGGAGATTGACAGTGCATTAAAGCGAAACTAAAACTTAAATCCAAAATTTGGGACTTTATTCCCCTGCTATTTCCGTGTTGGTACTGACGCACATTGCATTAAAAGAATTATCTTGTGGATGTGCGTCAACACGTTAATTAACCAGGGCAGACTCCAAAATATTGGAGTCAAGTGTCTGATAATGAGTATTCCATGTTTACTTTCAGATAACCGACCAAGAACCATTAATTGTCCGATGGCCTTATAAATCCATGACTCCTAGCTCTTACGTATACAGCCAGTGTTATACGTGTACTTTCAAGTTAGAAGCGATCAGTTTTGTCTTACTTTTTGTTTATAAGTAACTAAATTACTCAAAATCTTAATTGGGATATACATTACAACAGACCTGTACAACTTTTTGCCTAGAGTAGTGGATACCAGTATTGGAGTACGATCGAGTACTCATACTCATACTCGAGTACAACTACTCGACTATCAGTACTCCAAAAAAATGGACTTGGCCCGTACTCGATTCTTCGTACTCGAATTTTGCACGGACTCGACGGTTTGGTACTCGGTACTCGACCCCAGTACTCGGGAGCACACATCGATTACATTTCTTTTTAATCAATTTTAATCGATTCCATTGCTCAACCTGGAACGCAATGAAAGCACGATGGCTCGGTTGCAGTCTGTATTACAGCTTAGTCTAGTTCCCCCTCCCCAATGTTACTGCATTTGAAGTCGTAGCACTGGAGGATGCATGAATCAGGAACCAGCCAAGCTCATGCTTTTTATGTTCGCTCGTCGCTTCACAGTTTTCAATATGTAACAAACAACCAGCAATTTAAGCCTCGTTTTTTGGTTGGTTTTGTTAATTTTGGCTTTTTTGTGAAAAAGTTCCCACAATACTGTGCCAACACTTCAGGTGTCTACCCAGCTATCCATGATTTCTCTTCTTTCTTTTTTAAGAAAAAACTGCCGATTCACTCACTGATTTGATGAATTTTGTTTTATTTTTTTATTTTTACATTGTTTACACTAATAAATGTTGTTCAGAACAGATGTTAAAAAAGAGTGGATTGCATGTTGTGTTTGTTTTATTTTATTAACTTTATTTATTAACTTTTGTGGGTACTTTTTTGGTATTGTACTCGGACTCGGATTTAGGTTCTTGGACTCGGCCCAGTACTCGGCCTTGAATGTACTCGCACTCGGTGCTTTGGACTCGCACTCGTAACAGTGTACTTGGACTCAGCCCTGGGTCCCTAAAGTACTCAGAGTATACTCTGTACTCGGCTTTGAGGACTGGACTCCAACACTGGACTGGATTTTGAGAAAGATTATGAGGCATTTAAGTCTTTGGTGTTTTTTTTATGGGGGGGGGGTGCCGTAGGGAGGGGTGTCTGTGTTATTGGATTTTGTTGTTTAGTCACGAAAAACAAATTTCAAAGTAGAACAGAGAAATTGACTGGAGTGAGATTTGAACCTGTAAACTTTTCGCTAGTTTTGTGCGCACAAAGTTTGACCACTTCCTTAGACCATGCTTCTGAGGAAGGTCACCGTGGGCATGGTGGAGTCAGGTTGGCGTAGCGGTACTTTCCTCGCCTTCCACCACTGTGACCCGGGTTCGAATCCCGCCTGGGCCAATATGTGGATTGGGTTTTCAGTCCCTGCCTGATTCCGTGGGTTTTCCCTAGAATATTCTTCTGAGCTTTTCCTCCCACCTCTAAAACTGTAAATTCTTCTCATTGTCTTCTCTCCACAGGTTTCTTCAGGCTTGCGAGCTACAGTGGGGCGCTTTTGAGGAATCCTTGGTTTCATAAATGATTAATATAATAATAAAAAAAAATGCATCATGTGTGGCCGGGGCGTTATAGGTACAGCTCTGCAGCCAGTACCTGAGCGACACTAGCATGACTAGTGGGGCTAGCTAACACTGTGTGTGTGACAAGACAACATGTCCATAATCATGCTATATTCAAGAAGCACCGTCTCCATTTCATTTAGGCCTATGTCAGTTAATTTCTTCTTATTCATTTATTTGTTTTATTTTAGATGACTATGATGTACGTCTTGTGAATGGTGGCAGCGCTCTAGAGGGTAGGGTGGAGATATACCTGTACGGATCATGGTGGACAGTGTGTGATGCCTCGTGGGATCTCAATGATGGCACCGTTGTTTGCCGGCAACTGGGTTATGGCATTGCATCATCGGTTCCTAGATCGGCATTCTTTGGCCCAGGTAAAGGGAAGATACTGAACGTGGACTGCCAAGGGTTTGAAGAAGTCTTATCTGGAGGCTGTAAGTTTACAAATAGCAGTGCGGATCTTTGCAATCACAATGACGATGGCGGGGTCATCTGCACTGGAGAAACCACCGGTAGGTCATATCTTTGTTTTCATGGAACTAAATTGCACATAGCACATGAGTGTTACGTTCAGTTCAAAAAGCATTTATTTCTAGAAGCCATTCTCAGCTATGGGCTCCGTGCACAAGTACTTCTCAACAGCGAGAGAGGGGGGAGTAGACGTAATTTGAGACCACTTGGACTGACACTGGAACGCATTACTGACGACGCCCGACACTCACGCGAAGACGCTCTGCTTTGTGCACATTCAGATAACCATACATGCATACTTCACGCCAGCGCGTGCGAACCATAGGCACATGCGGTGTGTCCCTCGTCCATGGGGCAATCCGGTTCGTTAGTGACTTCGTCATAATTATGTAAACGCGCTCGGGAAATCCGGTGGCAGCCATTTTTTTGCGGGACGTGTCACCACGCACAAATCGCACTCGGGTAGTATGCACGCACCCCGGGCTACTCCGACCAATGAGGAATACCAAAATGCGCGTGCGCCTTGTGTTTATAAGAACAAAGACAGTATAATTGAGTGTGACACCACCGCATTAAAAGCTTCTAATTCTGGTGGCTTCTAATTCTGGTCTTGTTTGCGCACACATGCACCAAGGGCGGATCCAGGGGGGGGCCAAAGGGGGCCATGGCCCCCCCCAAAACGAAACCAATTTTTTTTTTTTTTTAATGTGACATCGCAATAAAGGCAGGCAATGAGTACACCACCATCTTTTCCTCAAAAAAATTGGTTAAAGTGGTCAGAAATTGCCTCAGATCGCACCACAGAGCATCTAGAATCCAAAAATTTTTCGGGGCCCTCGCGGGCCCCGAACCCCACGCCGTAATTTTTTAGACCCACTTTTTTGGGGGACCACAAATTTTTTTGGCCCCCCCCAAAATTGTGTTCTGGATCCGCCCTTGACATGCACATGCCCATACAGTACAGTGACAGATCAAACGTGCAAATCTACTCGTATGGAAACAACTGTAGCTTACATCTGTTTTAAAGGTTCTAAATAAAACTTTCATTTACCTGTTTAAAACTGCCACTTTAGGTCAATTACGTCTAGTGGGTGGTCGCACCCCTCTGGAGGGTCAGGTGCAGGTCAACGTCAGCAATACTTGGGGAACAATCTGCAATGAATATTGGAGCCTGGATGATGCCACAGTCGTGTGCAGGCAGCTGGGATATGGTGTACCCTTGGCAGTTGTTCCCAGCTCTTATTTTGGCATGGGTGATTACCATTTGCTTTTTGCTGTGGTTGCCTGCACTGGGAAGGAGGAACGCCTGCTGGATTGCCTGCTGAACTACGTACATTCAGGGGGCGACTCCTGCCATTCTCCTACTGCTGGGGTCATCTGTACTGGAAACAATTACACAGGTATGCTCGATCCTCCATCATCTGCACAGATAACACTTTGCATGCGCGCACGTTAATTGGCAAAACGCAAATTAAAGATGAGTGTGTCAAATGGGATCGCGTAGCTTTAGAGGGTCTGACGATAACCATACGTACTCTGACTGTCTAAACGTTGATGGAGTCGATGAGAAAAATATCTCAAAATTTAAGATGCACATATCGTGTCAATCCGAAGATATGTTCTCAGCAAGTGATTTTGATCTATTTGAAAGCGATATTAAATACTAAGCACCATGACCATGCTTTCTGGGTAAATGATAATGCCAAAATCACAATGATGATCGTTTCAAAATGTCACCAAAGGTTTGATCATGGTGATCAGACCTTCTTGTACTGAACGTTGAATAAAATAATGGAACAAAAATATCTAACAATGTGGTTTCTTTTCTTGTATCCAATCATAATGACACAGGTCAGATACGTCTTGTAAACGGTACCAATACCTTAAAAGGTCGAGTGGAGGTAGGCCTATCTGCTAATAACGAGACTCAGTGGGGAACAGTCTGCAGCGATATCTGGGATTTCCACGATGCTATAGTTGTCTGTTCGCAGTTGGGCTTTAAGGCTGAGGAATCATATTATAAGCTTGGTCAAGGCGACGAGGACGTAGCATTGCATGGCGTCTCATGTGCAGGGCTAGAGAACAGCTTACTGGAATGTCCACGGAACGCCAACATCAGCTGCACTCGTACCCAGTCCTATACCCCCTGGGTTACCTGTGCACTCCCAGGTAGGTTAGATACCAGTCATGCAATGTACATTGCATAACAGCTCGACCGATAAGCCGGTTATTATTATATTCAGTATAGACTTGAAATGGAGTCTGTGATTGGCTAGGCTTAGTTCGCCTACCGCGTACCAGCGCAGCATGGACAGATACAACATACCGTCCCAGGGTATACGTGTAGCATGCGGTATGGCTTGTTGGGACGCTTTGTGCATCCTCAGTCCCAACATGCATGTTGATTAATACCAATTACTTTAAATAATCTCATCTCAACTGATATGAATATGCATTACACATTACAATAATTACGTGTGTCGGTACGTATTCTGTGTGTCTTCTCACGTCTTCTCAAAATCTTTCACGTGGTAGCACCGCAAACTCTCACTACACTACCGCCGTAAAACAAATCTTATTCAAGTCTATCCGGTTCATAGTAAAAACGTCATACACGCGCGCACACGTACCCTGATTACTAGCGCCCATTGGCTGCAAACGCTCGAGCTGCGTTAACTTCCGGTTCCAATCGTGCAGAAAGTGCTGGAGGTGACGTCACACTAACGAACCGGATGTACTACAGGCAATTTAGCTACTCCGGCAAACTAGTCCACCACAGGGTGTTTCATTATGTAGCTTGTCTACCACACACCTTAGTGTAGAAAAGACTCAACGTGAGAAAAAGACCACATGTTTATGTTTTAGAAATCATCCTCCCTAAACTATACCCCGTCGATTATTATGCCATGAAATGTGTGGAATTTAGCAGATTCACTAGCCAAGTGAACTAGCTATGCATGTGAACTTTCCTCTGAATGTACCAGCATCGTGCTCATTTTTTTGTCAGTTTGGGACGTTTAAACTAAAGCATACTCTTGGTGTTTTTTTTAGACGAACATGACTTACGGTTGCGCTATGGTACCAACCATCTAGAGGGCAGGGTTGAGGTTTACGAAAATGGTACTTGGGGAACAGTCTGTGATGATGGATGGGACATCACAGATGCTACCGTGGCTTGTTGGCAGCTAGGTTACGGCAAGGCAACCTCAGCCCCCGGATCGGGATACTTTGGCCATGGCCAGGGCATCGGGAACATCACGATAGCTTTAGGCAATGTTGGCTGCAAGGGGACAGAAAACAGCCTACATGATTGCCAACGCGGGAGCACCAAATACTGTACACATGATGAGGACGCTGGGGTTTTTTGTTCTCGACCAGGTATGGCCCAAGTAAGATGGATTGGAGGTTGAATGTCTCACCTGACAGAAAGAGTTGATGAAGATGTTGTAATGACTGATCAAAGAGGTTGAATATATCATGATTAGTGAAAAGACAAGAGTCACGTTGTTCACTCGCAACGTCTGTTTATATTATGCTGAACAGGGACTTGTATTTGACAAGAAAGCTGTCACATTAATGCACCAGTTGTTGTCCGCTTGGCTAAACCTAATTACTCTTTAAGGGTGATTATAATCAAATCAAATTGGCTTACACATACACTTTGATTGAGTTCACAGTGTCTGACTTTTTTTCAGGTGTTTTTGACATACGGCTTATCAATGGTAGCAACTCTATGGAAGGCCGCGTAGAGGTTTATGACAATGGTCGTTGGGGCACGGTCTGTGATCATAGTTGGGATATGGATGATGCAAGCGTGGTGTGTCGGCAGCTGGGCTTCAAACAGGCTACTGCAGCTCCAGGGTCGGCACACTTCGGACAGGGCAGCGGGTACGTCATCCTAGGTAATGTTGCCTGTAGAGGAACGGAGAGCAGGCTGGGTTACTGTCCGAGGGACATGAATCCCATCTGTCAACATGACCAAGATGCTGGCGTTGTCTGTAGTAACGTCGATCCACCAGGTAGGTATTCAGTTGAACCTCGCAGAGAAAGTCATCGCAAGTCTCCACAAGTCCATCACAAGTCATCAAGGGTCAATTACAAGTCTATCACAAGTCAATTACAATCATCCGGTCTCAAGTCAAATGACGAAGGCTTTTCTTTGTCATTGTTCTACCCCTGTTGTGAACTGTTCCGACTTGTGATTGGCATGCGACTATCTTGTCACTCGATGACAGCTCTGCAATTACCTCGAAAGGGTCTGATTTGCGTCTCGCTTTATGACGGTAGCAGATGCGCCTGAATCCAAAGGGGCATAGGAACAGAATTGGAAATTACCCGAAAACGAAAGTTAATGAAAAAACATTACCTAAAGTGAAGGAGATTGTTTTTATAAGACATAAGGAAAATACAAAAAGAGCAAATGATCTTAATATACTGGTAACGACTTTCTTCTTTGCTTTCTTTCTCAGAGGAATATGACGTACGTCTTAGGGGTGCCGGCGCCGATGATGAGGGTCGTGTGGAGGTGTACGTGAACGGAGCTTGGGGAACAGTCTGCGATGATGGATGGGACATCGCCGATGCTACAGTTGTGTGCCGACAGCTGGGTTTTACAAAGGCTAAGTCAGCCGTTAGCTCTGCGGCTTTCGGCCAGGGCACCGGGAATATAGTTTTCGATAATGTTGCTTGTAAAGGCACAGAAAACCGTTTACATGACTGTCCGTATTTTATCACCAACGACTGCAGCCACTCTGAAGATGCTGGCGTCATCTGCAAATCACTAGGTTACTATCCTATCTACAACGTTTTCACTCCTTGGGTATTGGCGACTAATAGCTTGTATTAAAGACTCTGTCAACGTACACTGTACGATCAAAGGAGTCCAGGAAATGAACATCTCAAAACCGTGAGAAACAAATTCCAAAAAAAATCTCAAAACTTACCAGTGTGAATCAGCTGAAACTCACTGTACCGTTTGAGTGTCATGTGCAGTCTTCATTTTACCACAAATTGGTTAAGTAAACTCTTAAGATATCACATAGATTATATAATCAGAATAAATTTTGATCGTATCGGTCAGTTTGGTTCAGTCAATTCGGTCAGTTGGTTCAGTCAGTCAGTTTAGTCAGTCGGTTCGGTCAGTCTGGTCTGCGTGGATTAAGACCAATTAGGGAAACAGCTTTATGACGGTTTCCCTTCATTTTTTTTTTTTATAGAGCTATATGACGTACGTCTAGTGAGTGGTAGCAACGCTATGAAAGGCCGGGTGGAGGTGTACGTAGGCGGTTCTTGGGGAACAGTCTGCGATGACCAATGGGGCATCAACGATGGTACAGTGGTGTGTTGGCAGCTTGGCTACTCTAAGGCCATCTTAGCCCCTGGATCGGCGTACTTTGGCCGGGGCAGCGGGGATATAGCTATGACAGAGGTGACCTGTACAGGGTCTGAAAGCACCTTGGACAGCTGTCATTGGAGTTCTTTTGTGGGTTCTTGCAGTCATTATGAAGATGCTGGCGTCATCTGCGGTGAAGAGGAAATGGCTGGTATGTCCAATTGTTTTCATGGGATTACTTTGCACTTCACAAAAGTCAACACTCATTGGAGGGGTCGTAATTGTGAATCCAATCGTCTTATGATAACGCCATTCATATCGTCACTGTTTTCACGAAGTGGAAAATTGAGTCTTTCACTGTCTGAACAAACATTCGAGAAAATTTTGTTTAAAGTTGGTCTTTTTTCATTTAACAATTTGAAACGTAAAGATGCATAAAATATGCAAGATTTAGGTATCAGAGAAAAGAAGAGATTCTAATCTTCCTAAATGTAGCAAACTTTAAGTAAAATAGGTGATTAGTTTTGCAGAATTAATCAATTAAGAGAAGTGGCTGTTCATGAAAACGAAAAAACCACCAATTAGCAAATTGGCCCCTCTGGCTGTGAAATTTGCCCCTTCGTGAAAATGCTAGAGTCAGTACGCGCAGATTTGCCCTACTGCGGTCTGAGTCAATGCATGTTGTGTACAGTACGCGCAGATATAGCTCTTCTGCACGTGGGCCCTAAAATACACCCCTTCGTGCTAATACGCTTTGTGCTAATACGCGACTGGAAGGGAAATAATGCGTACACTTTGGGTCTACTTTTACAGAAGAAGGATCTGTGCGACTTGTGGATGGTAGTACACAGTATGAAGGGCGCGTGGAGATATATCTGAATGGTCGATGGGGGACAGTTTGTGATCGGTCGGGTTGGGATAACGACGCGGCTGATGTTGTCTGCAAACAACTTGGTTTTGGAGATGCAGCAACATATTGTGAGTATTAATGATAAAACACACAAACCTTTCCTTTGGATTCCTTCCCCAAAGTCACCGTTGGTTTGAGTCTTGACGGAACAACCCGTCATATTTATTGGTTTGTAACTCCTAACATCAACATTTAGTAACTGCAAACTTAAGCCGTGTCCGCACTGGACTTTCTTTTTTGGAAGGTTTTACCGAGACGATGGTAAAATGAGAAATGGTCAAATGTGACCACTGTCCGCACTTGGACTTTCGACACGGGAAAATTTACCCAGACCGCGTGGGAGAAGTAACCGAGCTGTCACAGTGTCAGTATAATGACTCACCGTACACAGAAAACAAATTGCCGATCACATTTTCAGCCGCCGTTACGCACAGCAATATTACACACGCCATTTGCATGCACAACATAATCGTTTACACGATGTTATTTCATCTTGACACGCTAAATCTTGACGAAAAGGCCTATAATTCTGACGCATTTGTGATGCACTTTGTCAAAGCCATGCTGCTGTACGATGTTCCGTGCGGCACCAGTGCCATCAGTGTTCGTTGGTTCCCATCGCATGCTTACAGAATCGAAGCTATGATGTGGGCCAGGAACCAGTGACTACGGCCTACGCACGGTACTGGACCATGATGTTCTGTGCATGACTACAGTAGCGTATCAGGACGAATTTGGATCGTAGAAAATAACATACATCGGTGGAGAAAGAGAATTTCCGCAAATTAATTCTCAGAACGTGATCTCTCTTCTCTGTGTATGTATTTGTCCGTTGAAATATATATTTTAACGAGATTTTACCGCTCGGACTTGATGATACACCGCAGCGTGTTTCTACAAAATGTTCGGCCACTGCACGTGCGGGTTCGTGCGGTCTCTGTATGCATAACAGGGCACTCGGGCAGGATGTACGCTTTCCTGAGCTGCTTTTTACGACTCGCACTGGACTTATCGTCTCGGGAAAAGTGACCTGATCAGTTTTCCTGGGCGCGTGGGAAGTTTTCCTGGGCAGCAGTTGGCCAGTAAAAGTAACCGCTGGACTCAGGAAAATTAACCGAGAGGAAAACGTCCTAGGCTGTCCGCACTGGACTTAAAATGGGAAAAGTACCCATAGTCTCGGTTAGTTTGACCAAAAAAAGTCCAGTGCGGACAGGGCTTTAGTCATAACCTATATACGTAAAGCTGCCAGCAGCGGAGTCTGTGTGCAGAAAGCATGAACCACCAGAGGAAGAGTTGTGCAAGTGGGGTAGCACCTATTTTGATCCGGGTATTGGGATGGCGTTTCGATCAAAGCATCGTGTCAGCTCAGCCGGTCATTCAGAGGCTGGGGCGAGTCTATTTCTATGTTCGGCAAACTTTAATTCCGCCAACCCCGTTTCTATGATTTTTAGTCAGCGATAGGACCAATATTTCTGAAGATTTCTCCAGCGCTTTTAGTTACGTGTGCTTTGGGCTGAACTTAAGTTTCTTTGCTAGAAATAATAATCACAGATCCCTCACTGCCGCACCTAACCATCAAAGGGTTGTAGTGACCTTTAACTTCTCTGGTCAAGCGCTCGAGTCCAGCAGTCTCTTGGTAATCGCTGCAATCATCCGCTGTCTGCTGGAGCATTGTAAGCCGAGGGTGACCGCGAGGCCCTCTCACACGCTTATTGTTATATTAGAAAAGTAAATCAGGCTTCATGTTTGAAGGAAGGTGAGTGTTCCTTCTTCACACTGACGCATGCTGTCTTTTCCTTCCCTGAATTTTAGTGTATACCAAAGTGGGAACTGGTGCCATTTTGATTGACTCTGTTTTCTGCAATGGGAGAGAGAGTCAGTTGAAGGATTGCTCGTACGACACGTCAGTAAGTTCCTTCTGTATCCACTCAGACGATGCTGGAGCAAAATGCTATGCAACTGGATGTAAGTAGGACAGAGATGTAGAATGGATATGTACTCATGCATTGCGCATGAAGACAATCTTGGCCCATTTCTCAAGTAGGAAAGAATTTTCAATGTCTAAGAGTAAAATATTTCAGTTGACCTGGCGTCAGATGTCACGAGACAAATGACGCGCTTGCTCTTTTCTATTTTTTGTGCAAGCGAGATTTGTTTGTTGTGAAGTGGTGTATTATCAATCAATTATTTCAATCCCCATCCTGCATCCTCATAGACCTGATTCAGGAAGACGCCATTTTTTACTGTGTTTCCCGAATCTTTTTTATAAATTGTAGACTATTGAATGGGATGGTGCCAAACTATTTGATAATTGGAGTGCATTCTGTAAGCCTTCTGTTTTTTTAATTTGGCTTAAATCATTTGGGTATGTTTAATCACAGATGCAAAATTATTCATATCATCACAGCAGACTGGCATAACTTGGTATTATGAACTTTACTTCATTGCTTTAATATTTAATATTTCAATTTAATATGGAAGACTTGTGAATAAAGTATAGGCTCTTACTTTCACACGTTTACTCTGCTTAATGCATGATAATATTCTCATTTTTTTTTGTGAGCTGAGATATGCACAAAGTCAAAGACACATTTTTTAATGATAACAAAATGTTGCCTGTAACACCCGACTTTACCTGAAAGATCCGTTTGTCCTATCTTTCCATTTGTAGCTCTGTCTGGTGTTGCAGTTGCCTTCATTGTGTTTGGATCAGTATTAGCAGCTGGCTTTCTCGGCCTTTTAGCCATCAACTGTTGGCGCTTCTTGTCCAGACGTTCCCGCGCTCCGCAGGTAAATGTTTCTTCCTCTTTCAACATTCTGAACTTTGACCTCTGATGAACAGTTACCTCCGACCAATTTTGTTCTTTTTGGGGGGTATTTCTTTGAATTGTAGTCGAGTCCGTAATCAAATTAAAATTGAGCTGCAAAGTTTAAAGTTTGAGAAAGGGCTGAACTGCAGTGATCATTAGATTGTAGTGGTTTTCTTTTAGAATGACACTAGTGTTTGAAAACTCAGAAACCATGATCAAAAGTCTTTCAAGCGTTGTACCACAAACCACGCGTTATTTCAGCAGACTTGGTCATTTTCCTGTTTCTGCGAACGTTTGCCTTAAGCCACTGTTCGAAAACGATAAAAAAAATTCTGCAAGCAGGAAAAAACATTGGTGTAAATTGTCTTTTTTTTTCGGACAGAGTGTGAGTGGAGGTCAGATGACCGGTGATGGAATGAGAGCGACGCTTGTCCACGCAGTGTATGACCCTCATACAGATGACCTGCCTCCCCAGTGTAGTGACGTCATCGGTCACCCATCGGACCGTCTCCAGGCCAATCCTAGTGGTCCGTACCTCACCACTCCCAATCCATCATATCCCTCGGGCCAAGCCTATCCAGCCACCCTGCAATATCCTCCAGGCCAGAATCTTACTGGTCAGCAGAATCTTACTGGTCAGCAGAATCTTACTGGCCAGCAGAATCTTACTGGCCAGCAGAATCTTACTGGCCAGCAGAAACTTACTGGCCAGCAGAATCTTACTGGCCAGCAGAATCTTACTGGCCAGCAGAATCTTACTGGCCAGCAGAATCTTACTGGTCAGCTAAACCCTGCTGGTCAGCTAAACCCTGCAGGCCAGCAAACTTACCCTGGCGAACAAAACCCAGCTGACCAGCAAGAGCCTACTGCCCAAACCTCTGACCAATCCACTTTAAAGGAATAAACTTCTCTATCAAACATCAATGCTGGCCCCTTAATCCATGGACCCACACCAGTTTACATGTCAGATCAGTCATCCAACAATACAGACCGTCATGCAGCTTTAATTCAGCCTCAACACTACAGCTGATTGTCCCCTGGAAGCATCACTCATGGGGGGATCGTTCATTCTCACACGCCGCTCCCAAACTCTGGAACAATCTTCCACTTGAATTATGACAAGTGTTCTTCATTGCAATCATTCAAATCATCCCTTAAGACATATTCACCTCACGTTTTTTCAGTTTGTTTAATTTTGCTGTATAAATCATAACTGTTTATTGATGTATGATGAGCCATGAGCATCTCACTTGGGGGATACTGGCGCTATATAAATGTTAATTGTTATTATTATTATTGTCATTTAATCAGCACCCATTGCCTTACCAAATCACCCTCGAATCCAGTTTCGTCATAAACATTAAGGTAATAAGCAACTGTATTTAGGGCTTTATTCTTGACTGAGGGCACTGTTTTGGGTATACATACAAATGACGTGTATCCAAGGTAGTTGGCGCAAGTTAAACATGATGCTAAAAGTATTTTTTTAAAAGTTACAATTGTACAATTTTTATTTAGATTAATATAAAGGTACTAAATAAACTACGAAAATTAACATGATTTTTTAACTACATCCATAATTTTGGGGAGGCTGTTTTGTGGCTTTTTTATGGTACATTCTTTTCACAAGTTTCATTACTAATCAATTCTAAAATATACTAAACCAAAATTATCTGCACGCATGGATTCCTTTGTTTAAATTTCCTTATAATTTGCCGGCAGACAAATTTGGTTGGTGTTGTTCACTCCAATTATGTACAAAACATTGAAAATATCCTGGTCGAAATACAAGATTTTATGTAGATTATTTGCGATTTAATTATAGCCCAGAAAATTAATTTTGGACGCTTCATCTTGTTTTTTTTATTTGCTGAAATTCACTGCTTGTAACATTGCAATTTTCTTGGTATATATATAAACACTAGAAAAATGTTACTTTATGTTGTAAACAAAAACAGAAGTTGTAATTAGGAGATTAGAAAGCCAAAACTACCCCCTAAGAAGAATAGTCGATGCGGGATCTATGTTAATAATATAAAGTCAAAAAGAAAGTGACCCACATTTAAGATTAAAGTTTCCCCTCCGCCGAGTCAAGGCTCAAAAAGCAATTAAATTTGACACACCAACAAAGCATATGACAAACATGTTTTTCCACTCATTTGAAAAAAAAATATATTACTGAAACTGATCCATGTCATGAAACGTTATAAAAATATCACTAAAAGAATCCATTTTACCGCTGTCCATAGAATGCCATGGACGCTATGAATATAGAGCTCAGTACAAGAACCAGAGATCACACACACACACATTCAGATACAAATGAGATTTAAAAAAAAAAATTGTCAAGACTGAAATATTATTTTTAGTGTCAGATTTTGTGTTTTGAACGGGAAGAAATGTTCTTTTCTAAAATAATAGTAGTAATTTTTGTCTGTTTTCCTGTGCAATTTTCGTTCATTCATGAAGACAGGGAAAGGCACTTGTTTCATTGTATTTGAACGGTAAATGACCATTGGTGGACAGCTGAATTCTGTGACGTTTGTATTAAACTAGACATAACTTGTGAACGTAGTACGCAAATTACATGAAATTCTCACAGTTACTAGTCAATATGTACTTTATCCCTATGTTATTTTTATTAAATGGAGCGAGCCACATATTTGTTTTTATTTTTTTTTCTCATGTAGTCACCGTCTTTTTGACTCGCCCTGTAAAAAAAAAAACCTCCTGTAACGGGATAGTTCCAAGCGACGTTCTGTGAAAAGAGAATTCACTGACTGATTTTCAAGCATATTTACCACATGAATTGTGAAATCAAAGATGATATTTCTAAAAAAGCAGGATGCCATTTTCTTTCTTCGCATGGCTTAAATAAATTCTATATTATTGTTAGGCCAAAAAAAAAATAAGTCGGTGTCTGGTCAGCGCGCGCGTCGATTTTAATCATGCGCGTCAATCTTTTTTTCCCCAAAATGTTCTGCGGTAGCTCAAACAGCGCCCTCTATTGCCGCACCTGCTCAATTTTTTTTTACCAAAAAGCACCAAGGAATGGGAAATTGCACCAAGGCAAATGATCGAGAGCACCAAGGCAAATTATGGAGGACACCAATGTACATGAGGACACCAAAAAAGCAAAATAGTACCCCACCTTGTCTATCAATCCAAGCTTGAAGAAAAAAAAAAAAGCAAAAAAAAAAAAAAGCATTATTTAGTTCATGACCTCATGTTTGTATGGCCAGCCGGCGTAATTTTTATTCCTAGGAGGGTTAGGGGCAATGTCATGAATAAGTCATGTTTATCCATGAGAACGGACAATGACATCAACAGCATTGTTGTTAGTTTACTCAACTAGTTACAATACATTAAAGCATTTTAAAGAACGGTTGTCGTTGAGCTACCACACAGTAGCCTAGTGGATAGCGAGATGAGCTATGGATACAAAGATCCCTGGTTCGAATCCACGTCGTCGCTGCTCATTTTCATCAGCTATTTTTCTTCTCCAAATTTATCACTGAGATAATTTTAAATTAAGGGGAAAATAGACAAGAACTTAAGTCTTGCAATGATTCAAAGGAAAAACTGAATTATTCATGACATTGCCCCTAACCCTCCTAGAAAAAAAATTACGCGGCCAGCCGCGCCACGCGCCCGACAAACGTCATAAACTATGATGCATATTCATTATCTTGCCTAAGCATGCCCGCATAATGCATACATTACAACGCGGCCGCCATTTTGAAATCGCATGGAGGACATTTTCAGGGTGATATTTGTGGAAGATGATGACTGAAAGTCGTCTTTTGGCCAGATTGATGAAAATATTGGGACCAAAGAACATTTTTTTCAAAAAGGTATGAGTCCCTCTACGACTAAGAACCTTAACTTTGGATATTTCTGTCCTGGACGAGAAGTAGTCCGAGTAACTTGGACCATGCTTGGACCCAACTTATCGCCTTTTTTAACATTTGGACATCGCCAGACCATGTCCAAATGTTAAAAAAGGCGATAAGTTGGGTCCAAGTTACTCGGACTAGACGAGAAGATAATCTTGATCAAAATCTGTAGCAAAATCGCTACATCAGAGTGAAAAAAAATTCAGTCTGTGGGGAAGCATTGAGCGTCTGGCCGTACTACAGAGCTTGCGATAGTAAAAAGTACGGCCAGACGCAGTCGGGCTAGTTGTTTCCCATCATGCCTTGCACGATCTCAACCCTTGCACGATTTCAACCCCTGGAATTGTGTATTTAAATGTGTCAAAATATGGCACATTATAATTAGGCTGCAGTTTATCCGTGTTACGTGCTCGAGGTAATTTTTTTAAACAATGTCACTTGAATTTGTGGATTAGTTGAGCCAAAAGCATAATGTTTGAGATCCGGAACTAGAAAAATGACTGTAATGTGTAATACCATTACCTAGCCCAGGTTGGACGAAGTCTTCATTGCAATACGACTAACGTAGGGAGGAAAGGGAGTCCACCAGGGCTATACCATTACCATAACCAGTAAAGGCTATTTCTACACGGTGAACATTAATTATTGGACTTTGCTCCATAAAATTGTCCATCAGTGTCGTTCAACTTACCTCTAAAAGATTGCTTGGGGAAAGCGAAATAAAACCTGAAATGTGCTACCGTAATAAATCTTTAGCTCTCCCAAAACGAGTATGCCCGCAGATGAAAATGTGAAATTGTTTTATGAAGCTGCAAAAAAACCGCGCGAGCTCAACATGCCAAAACAAGTTTGTGACGTCATCATGTGCGCTGCCGCCCTGGCCCAACCTCGTCCCCAGGGTGTCGAGCAGTACGCGCCCACCACTACCTGCTCTCTCATTTACTATTGGAAACGCGGTTGGAAATGAAGTAAGCACTGGGGACGAGGTTGGCCCTGGCCCTGTAAAAAATACTAGACTCCGGGTACCGTACCTACGGTGGCCCACAACTGTCACGGCAAAAGCAAACACTTACACTTTACAGTCGAGTCGCGCGCCGTGCCTCAACTGCATGCACGCGTGCAAATGTCACACACGTGACACGTGTTCAGTGTGAGCCACGTGCGCAGTCAGCCTGGGAGCGCTGCTTTGGTTGCCAAGTTTAGTTGGTCTTGGCATTTTAGCGCCATGGTCTTGGGAGATAAAATCCGTCCGTATGATCATGGAGCTATAAAACATGATCAATATGGGGTAAGTATCTATTTGCAAGATAGCTGACAATAAAAGCCATTTAAGGGGGCCTAGTGAGTTTGCTACTTTACAGTGATGAGTGACGCGCCTTGCATGCTTGTCCTTCAGTATAGTTCTAGCATGGAGGAATAAGCGATGAGCATGATGAACTGTAGCCCGAGTGCGTCTGGCCGTACAGTAGCCTACGTACTATCGCCTACTCTACAGCCAGACGCAGTCGGGCTATATGAACGGGAGTTACTCAAGCTAGAATTCATCCTGACTCCGGTGGACTCTGTGGCTGTGGACAAAGTACCCCTCAGATTGACTTGGATTACGGGATGTAGCATAATCTGGTGGCCCAGAATTGGTTGGATCATGGAGGTAGAATTACCTTTATTGGTTGAATACTTTAGGGGATGGTTGGATTACTTTCGGGGGATTGGTTGGATGCAGGGGGATTGGTTGGATTATCTTTACTTTTATGGATTGTTTGGATTACCTTTAGGGATTGATTAGTGACCTTTAGAGAATTAATTTGTGACCTGATTATTTGGTGGCCTGTAGGGGATTAATTGGTTAGATTACATTCAGGGATTGGTTGGATTACCTTCGGGGATTGGTTGGATTACCTTTGGGGATTTGTTGGCTTACCTTCATAGGATTGGATGGATTACATTTTGTGGATTTGGTTGGATTACCTATAGGGGATTGGTTTAAAGATTACCTTTACCTTTAGATTGGTTGCAAGATTACTAGGTTGGATTACCTTCTGTGGATTAATTGGTTTACCTTAGGATGATATTACCATGGCTCGAGGTAGGAAACACCAGAACCATCACCTTAATTACAATATCGAATATTGGTGTACAGTGGATTAAATGGATTGGGTACATGGATAATCTAGGCCTAAAGTGGATCCAATAGATGGGGCAGATTAGCTATAGACGGATGCATGATTGGGTTGTGATTACCAACATCTGTAGTGCATTTTATTAAAACGGTCAAAGGTTAGACAGCAAATAAGGGTGTGTGTGATGTGATACTTGAACTTCAGTCCGTGCTGATATAAAGCACAATCAAGCTACAGCCGGCAACATTCTTGTATTGCACCAGAAAGGTTTGCAGCATTTGCAGTGCAGTCAGTAGTGACAACGTTTAAGTGCATGGCCATCATGAAGTTGGTAGCGTTTGTATGCATTTTGACTGCTGTCGTCGTGGATGTGTGGGGACAGGGTTAGTAGTCACGCTATATAAATTATTAAGTTAGTCTCTTTATGAATATTCTACTAAAATAGTACTACATGTATATTAACAGTTGTTGATGTTGCTGATTCCATATGCACATATTATTTGATACTTCTACTTTCTGATTGTGCATTTGGTTTCTATTCCGTTGATTTGGATCGTCAAACAATGATTTTCAAAGCACATGTGATGACATTCTGTTTTATGAGACGAGCAATATGGCAGCTCTCTTTTTAAGGATATTCTTTTCTAAGAGTACAAATACCAATAATATGTAGTACCGGGATTTTCCTTGAATATGAGCAAAATACCTCAGTGCAGTGGCATAGCATGCTGAACATTCCCATCCCTTAAATTCTCATTAAGTTCAGTTCACTTTTGTTTTGTTAAAGTCTGCTTTTATTTTGCTGTCGAACTAGGCATTAACAAATGCAGAGGCCTCCCAAACAGAAGAAAATTGGTTCTTTCCCTGCATATACCACTGGAATTTTGGGGGTAAATTCTTGAGGGAAAACAGCAAGCTAGAGTAAGAGTACAAGTACATTCATACCAGTACGAGTACCAAAGAAATGTACTCAAGTACGAGTACACTACACTGATATTTGACGCCCTTCCAATCATTTCAGCAATATTGGATTCTATGGTTGCATTTCTCTTTAACTTGACTCTTTGGAGACAGCCTCGATTTACAGCTACTTTACCTCAAAAAAATCTTATCACACCTCCCTGTGATTCTTCATGTGACTGTTCGTGTGACATACATGTATCACATGACTAGGAGATTGACAGTGCATTAAAGCGAAACTAAACTGAAATCCAAAATTTTCCATTGGGACTTTATTCCCCTGCTATCTCCGTGTTGGTACTGACGCACATTGCATTAAAAGAATTTTCTTGTGGATGTGTGTCAACACGTTAATTAACCAGGGCAGACTCCAAAATATTGGAGTCAAGTGTCTGATAATGAGTATTCCATGTTTACTTTCAGATAATTGACCAAGAACCATTGATTGTCGGATAAATTTAGGGCCTTATAAATCCAAGACTCCTAGCTCTTACGTATACAGCCAGTGTTATACGTGTACTTTCATGTTAGAAGCGATCAGTTTTGTCTTACTTTTTGTTTATAAGCAACAAATTACTCAGAATCTTAATTGGGATACATTACAACAGACCTATATAACTGTTTGCCTAGTGGATACCAGTGTTGGAGTAAGCGTACTCATACTGGTACTCGAGCACAACTCGAGTACACACAAGTACGTGGCCTGTACTCGACTATCAGTACTCAAAAACAATTTGGGCTTGGCCCGTTCTCGATTCTTTGTACTCGAATTTTGCACGGACTGGACGGTTTGGTACTCGGTACTCGACCCCAGTACTCGGGAGTACACATCAATTTTAATCGATTCCATTGCTCAACCTGGAATGCAATGAAAGCACGATGGCGCGGTTACAGTCTGTATTACGGCTTAGTCTAGTTCCCGCCTCCCCAATGCTTCACAGTTTTTCAATATGTAACAAACAACCAGCAATTTAAGCCTCGTTTTTTGGTTGGTTTTGTTAATTTTGGCTTTTTTGTGAAAAGGTATCCACAATACTGTGCCAACACTTCAGGTGTCTACCCAGCTATCCATGATTTCTCTTGTTTTTCTTTTTTAAGAAAAAACTGCCAATTCATTCACTGATTTGATGAATTTGTTGTATTTTGTTTATTTTTACATTGTTTACACTAATAAATGTTGTTTATTACAGATGTTAAAAAAGAGTGGATTGCATGTTGTGTTTGTTTTTATTTTATTAACTTTATTTATTAACTTTTGTGGGTACTTTTTTGATATTGTACTCGGACTCGGATTTAGGTACTTGGACTCGGCCCAGTACTCGGCCTTGAATGTACTCGCACTCGTAACAGTGTACTTGGACTCAGCCCTGGGTCCCTAAAGTACTCAGAGTACTCTGTACTCGGCTTTGAGGACTCGACTCCAACACTGGACTGGATTTTGAGAAAGATTATGAGGCATTTAAGTCTTTGGTGTTTTTTTTATGGGGGGGGGGGTGCCGTAGGGAGGGGTGTCTGTGTTATTGGATTTCGTTGTTTACTCACGAAAAACAAATTTCAAAGTAGAACAGAGAAATTGACTGGAGTGAGATTTGAACCTGTAAACTTTTCGCATGTTTTGTGCGCACAAAGGTTGACCGCTTCCTCAGACCATGCTTCTGAGGAAGGCTACCATGGGCATGGTGGAGTCAGGTTGGCGTAGCGGTACTTTCCTCGCCTAGTCCATCGCTGTGACCCGGGTTCGAATCCCGCCTGGGCCAATATGTGGATTGGGTTTTCAGTCCCTGCCTGATTCCGTGGGTTTTCCCTAGAATATTCTTCTGAGCTTTTCCTCCCACCTCTAAAACTGTAAATTCTTCTCATTGTCTTCTCTCCACAGGTTTCTTCAGGCTTGCGAGCTACAGTGGGGCGCTTTTGAGGAATCCTTGGTTTCATAAATGATTAATATAATAATAAAAAAAATTCATCATGTGTGGCCGGGGCGTTATAGGTACAGCTCTGCAGCCAGTACCTGAGCGACACTAGCATGACTAGTGGGGCTAGCTAACACTGTGTGTGTGACAAGAGAACATGTCCATAATCATGCTATATTCAAGAAGCACTGTCTCCATTTCATTTAGGCCTATGTCAGTTAATTTCTTCTTATTCATTTATTTGTTTTATTTTAGACGACTATGATGTACGTCTTGTGAATGGTGGCAGCGCTCTAGAGGGTAGGGTGGAGATATACCGGTACGGATCATGGGGGACAGTGTGTGATGCCTCGTGGGATCTCAATGATGGCACCGTTGTTTGCCGGCAACTGGGTTATGGCATTGCATCATCGGTTCCTGGATCGGCATTCTTTGGCCCAGGTAAAGGGAATATACTGAACGTGGACTGCCAAGGGTTTGAAGAAGACTTATCTGGAGGCTGCAAGTTAACAAATAGTTTTGGGAATCTTTGCAACCACAATGATGATGGCGGGGTCATCTGCACTGGAGAAACCACCGGTAGGTCTATCGTTGTTTTCAACTATAAATTGCACATAGCACATGTATGAGTGTTCGTTCAGTTCAAAAAGCATTCATTTCCAGAAGCCATTCTCAGCTCCGTGCACAAGTACTTCTTAACAGCGAGAGAGGGGGAGTATGAGACCGCTTGGACTGACACTGGAACGCATTACTGACGACGCCTGACACTCGCGCGAAGACGCTCTACTTTGTGCACATTCAGATAACCATACATGCATACTTCACGCCATAAGCGTGCGAACCTGTAGGCACATGCGATGTACGTGTCTCGTCCACGGGGCAATCCGCGGTTCGTTATGACTTCGTCATAATTATGTAAACGCGCTCGGGAAATCCGGTGGCAGCCATTTTTTTGCAGGACGTGGCACCAGGCGCGATTCGCACTCGGGTAGTATACGCATGAACCGCGGGCTACTCCGACCAATGAGGAATACCAAAATGCGTGTGCGCCTTGTCTTCAAGAACAAAGACAGTAATTGAGTGTGACACCACCGCATTAAAAGCTTCTAGTAATTCTGGTGGCTTCTAATTCTGGTCTTGTTTGCGCACGCCCATACAGTACAGTGACAGATCGAACGTGCAACTCTACTCATATGGAAACAACTGTAGCTTACATCTGTTTTAAAGGTTCTAAATAAAACTTTCATTTGCCTCTTTAAATTGTCACTTTAGGTCAATTACGTCTAGTGGGTGGTCGCACCCCTCTGGAGGGTCTGGTGCAGGTCAACGTCAGCAATAATTGGGGAACAATCTGCAATGAATATTGGAGCCTGGATGATGCCACAGTCGTGTGCAGGCAGCTGGGGTATGGTGTACCCTTGGCAGTTGTTCCCGACTCTTATTTTGGCGTGGATTTTTTCGATGTGCTTTTTGCTGTGGTTGCCTGCACTGGGAAGGAGGAACGCCTGATGGATTGCCTGCTGAACTACGTACATGTAGGGAGCCCCTGGTCCTGCACGTCTCATCATATTGTTGTTAGTGCTGGGGTCATCTGTGCTGGAAACAATTACACAGGTATGCTCGATCCTCCATCATCTGCACAGATAACACTTTGCATGCGCGCACGTTGGCAAAATGCAAATTAAAGGTGAGTGCGTCAAATAGGATCGCGTAGCTTTAGAGGGTCTGACAATAATCATATGTACTCTGACTGTCTAAACGTTGATGGAGTCGATGAGAGAAATATCTCAAAATTTAAGATGCACATATCGTGTTAATCCGAAGATATGTTCTCAGCAAGTGATTTTGATCTATTTGAGAGAATATTGAATACTAAGCACCATGACCATGCTTTCTGGGTAAATGATAATGCCAAAATCACAATGATGATCGTTTCAAAATGTCACCAAAGGTTTGATCATGGTGATCAGACCTTCTTGTACTGAACATTGAATAAAATAATGAAAATAAATATTTAAAAATGTGGTTTCTTTTCTTGTATCCAATCATAATGACACAGGTCAGATACGTCTTGTAAACGGTACCAATACCTTAGAAGGTCGAGTGGAGGTAGGCGTATCTGCTAATAACGAGACTCAGTGGGGAACAGTCTGCAGCGATAGCTGGGATTTCCACGATGCTATAGTTGTCTGTTCGCAGTTGGGCTTTAAGGCTGAGGGATCATATTATAAGCTTGGTCAAGGCGACGAGGACGTAGCATTGCATGGCGTCTCATGTGCAGGGCTAGAGAACAGCTTACTGGAATGTCCACGGAACGCCAACACCAGCTGTACCCAGTCCCTTACCCCCTGGGTTACCTGTGCTCTCCCAGGTAGGTAAGAAGATACAATGCAATGTACATTGCATAACAGCTCGACCGGTAAGCCGGTTATTATTATATTCAGTATAGACTTGAAATGGAGTCTGTGATTTGCTAGGCTTAGTTCGCCTACCGCGTACCAGCGCAGCATGGACAGATATAGCCCCATAAATGTGGCCTATTTACTGGACTGCCTCCGTAAACATAGGCCACACATCCACATGTACAAAAATCGTGTCGACGGAGCCAAATTTTGATTTTCACATTTAGGCTTAGTTTGTAGGGTTTTTTTGCTTTAGAAGCATACTCACCCTCTTTATAGGCTAATCAGACTAAGTGCTGCCTTTTTCAGATGTATATTTTTCGTGAAATTTCCAGATTCATTTTTACACGTTTGCGTATCAAAATTTCAACATGAAATTTCACAAAAATTAGACATCTGAAAAAGGCAGCACTTTCTGATTAGCCTGTAAAGAGGGTGAGTATGCTTCTAAAGCAAAAAAAACCTACAAACTAAGCCTAAATGTGAAAATCAAAATTTGGCTCCGTCGACACGATTTTTGTACATGTGGATGTGTGGCCTATGTTTACGGAGGCAGTCCAGTAAATAGGCCACATTTATGGGGCTAGGACAGATACAACGTACCGTCCCAGGGTATACGTGTAGCATGCGGTATGGCTTGTGGGGACGCTTTGTGCGTCCTCAGTCCCAACATGCATGTTGATTAATACCAATTACTTTAAATAATCTCATCTCAACTGATATGAATATGCATTACACATTACAATAATTTACGTGTGTCGGTACGTATTCTGTGTGTCTTCTCACGTCTTCTCAAAAGAGGTTCTTCCACGTGGTAGCACTGCAAACCCTCACTACACTACCGCCGTAAAACAAATCTTATTCAAGTCTATGTACTGTAGGCAATTTAGCTGCTTCGGCAAACTAGTCCACCACAGGGTGTTTCCTTATGTAGCTTGTCTACCACACACCTTAGTGTAGAAAAGACTCAACGTGAGAAAAAGACCACATGCTTATGTTTTAGAAATCATCCTCCCTAAACTATACCCCCATCGATTATTTTGCCATGAAATGTGTGGAATTTAGCGGATTCACTAGCCAAGTGAACTAGCTATGCATGTGAACTTTCCTCTGAATGTACCAGCATCATGCTCATTTTTTTTCTTCAGTTTGGGACGTTTAAACTAAAGCATACTCTTGTTTTTTTTTTAGACGAACATGACTTACGGTTGCGCTACGGTACCAACCATCTAGAGGGCAGGGTTGAGGTATACGAAAACGGTACTTGGGGAACAGTCTGTGATGATGGATGGGACATCACAGATGCTACCGTGGTGTGTTGGCAGCTAGGTTACGGCCAGGCAACCTCAGCCCCCGGATCGGGATACTTTGGCCAGGGCCAGGGCATCGGGAACATCACGATAGCTTTTGGCAATGTTGGCTGCAAGGGGACAGAAAACAGCCTACATGATTGCCAACGCGGGAGCACCAAATTCTGTACACATGATGAGGACGCTGGGGTTTTTTGTTCTCGACCAGGTATGGCCAAAGTAAGAAGGATTGGAGGTTGAATGTCTCACCTGACAGAAAGAGTTGATGATGATGTAATGACTGATCAAAGAGGTTGAATATATCATGATTAGTGAAAAGACAAAAGTCACGTTGTTCACTCGCAACGTCTGTTTATATTATGCTGAACAGGGACTTGTATTTGACAAGAAAGCTGTCACATTAATGCACCAGTTGTTGTCCGCTTGGCTAAACCTAATTACTCTTTAAGGGTGATTATAATCAAATCAAATTGGCTTACACATACACTTTGATTGAGTTCACAGTGTCTGACTTTTTTTCAGGTGATTTTGACATACGGCTTATCAATGGTAGCAACTCTATGGAAGGCCGCGTAGAGGTTTATGTCAATGGTCGTTGGGGCACGGTCTGTGATCATAGTTGGGATATGGATGATGCAAGCGTGGTGTGTCGGCAGCTGGGCTTCAAACAGGCTACTGCAGCTCCAGGGTCGGCACACTTTGGACAGGGCAGCGGGTACGTCACCCTAGGTAATGTTGCCTGTAGTGGAACGGAGAGCAGGCTGGGTTACTGTCCGAGGGACATGAATCCCATCTGTCAACATGACCAAGATGCTGGCGTTGTCTGTAGTAACATCGATCCACCAGGTAGGTATAGTTGAACTTCGCACAGAAAGTCATCGCAAGTCTCCACAAGTCCATCACAAGTCATCAAGGGTCAATCACAAGTCCATCACAAGTCGATCACAATCATCCGGTCTCAAGTCAAGTGACGAATTATTAATAAGCGGAAAAGTGACAAAGGCTTTTCTTTGTCATTGTTCTACCCCTGTTGTGAACTGCTCTGACTTGTGATTGGCATGCGACTATCTTGTCACTCGATGACAGCTCTGCAATTACCTCGAAAGGGTCTAATTTGCGTCTCGCTTTATGACGGTAGCAGATGCGCCTGAATCCAAAGGCACATAGGAACAGAATTGGAAATTACCCGAAAACGATAGTTAATAAAAAAAACATTACCTAAAGTGAAGAAGATTGTTTTTTTAGACATAAGGAAAATACAAAAAGAGGAATATGACGTACGTCTTAGGGGTGCCGGCACCGATGAAGAGGGTCGTGTGGAGGTGTACGTGAACGGAGCATGGGGAACAGTCTGCGATGATGGATGGGACATCGCCGATGCTACAGTTGTGTGCCGACAGCTGGGTTTTACAAAGGCTAAGTCAGCCGTTAGCTCTGTTTTCGGCCAGGGCACTGAGAAAATAGTTTTCGATAATGTTGCTTGTAAAGGCACAGAAAACCGTTTACATGACTGTCCGTTAGATACCACCACCGACTGCAGCCACGCTGAAGATGCTGGCATCATCTGCAAATCACTAGGTTACTATCCTATCTACAAAGTTTCACTCCTTGGGTATTGGCGACTAATAGCTTGTATTAAAGACTCTGTCAACGTACACTGTACGATCGACGGAGTCCAGGAAATAAACATCTCAAAACCGAAAAAAAAATCTGAAAAAAATCTCAAAACTAACCAGTGTGAATCCGCTGAAGCTCACTGTACCATTTGAGTGTCATGTGCAATCTTCATTTTACCACAAATTGGTTAAGTAAACTCTTAAGATATCACATAGATTATATAATCAGAATAAATGTTGATCGTATCGGTCAGTTTGGTTCAGTCGGTTCGGTCAGTTGGTTCAGTCAGTCAGTTTAGTCAGTCGGTTCGGTCAGTCTGGTCTGCCTGGATTAAGACCAATTTGGGAAACAGCTTTATGACGGTTTCCCTTCATTTTTTTTTTTTAGAGCTATATGATGTACATCTAGTGAGTGGTAGTAACGCTATGGAAGGCCGGGTGGAGGTGTACGTAGGCGGTTCTTGGGAAACAGTCTGCGATGACCAATGGGGCATCAACGATGCTACGGTGGTGTGTTGGCAGCTTGGCTACTCTAAGGCCATCTCAGCCCCTGGATCGGCGTACTTTGGCCGGGGCAGCGGGGAGATAGCTATGACAGAGGTGGCCTGCACAGGGTCTGAAAGCACCCTGGACAGCTGTCATTGGAGTTCTTCTGTGGGTTCTTGCAGTCATTATGAAGACGCTGGCGTCATCTGCGGTGAAGAGGAAATGGCTGGTATGTCCAATTGTTTTCATGGGATTACTTTGCACTTCACCAAAAAAAAGAAGTCAACACTCATTGGAGGGGTCGTAATTGTGAATCTGATCGTCTTATGATGACGTCATTTATATCGTCACCGTTTTCACGAAGAGGCAAACGCTACATCGCACGCGCCTGAAATTTGCCACTTCATGAAAACGCTTGTTGCTATTGAAATCTCAAACTCCATAGCATTTCCCTTATGGGTTGGATTGATTTCTAAAGTTGTTCTATTGTGTTTAAGGATGGATGTATAGGAGGAAATTGCTGCATGACAATGTTACACTGCCCAAAACGAACTGCAGCGAATATTGATCGCACAATTCTTGTATGCATGGGAGCACGCAGCTTATTCGAATGACCCACGCTTTATTCAGGCACTGTGCAGTCCATAAGGGCCAATCATGGGCATGTGTGTTTGTGCTTAGCAATTTCTTCTTGCGTAATCTTAAATTTTCGCGTAATCTTTAAAGGAGAGACGTGATATCACATGTCTCCACCCTATCACTGAGGGCTCTGATGCATACTCTCATTGGACGATTTTTGTTTACCTGATGATCTGGGGTCAACGCATTCTCAGCTCTCATTGGACAAAGTATTTACTCTTCCGTATGTTACATGACCCTTTCGTACAAGATGTATGTTGCTCCCATCCCACCCACACCTATTCGGATATAGATGGTGGCCCTGCGCATACGATGAATGCTGGTCATCAATTGCCCTTCATTGTTGCAGGGAATTTCGACCAGTCGACTAGAAATATGACAGGTTCCTCGCCGATCCCATTAATAGTTTTTGTCTTTGCTTTATAGGCGACTGGAAGGGAAATAATGCGTACATTTTTGGTTTACTTTTACAGGAGAAGGATCTGTGCGACTTGTGGATGGTAGTACACAGTATGAAGGGCGTGTGGAGATATATCTGAATGGTCGATGGGGGACAGTTTGTGGTCGGTACGGTTGGGATAATGACGCGGCTGATGTTGTCTGCAAACAACTTGGTTTTGGAGATGCAGCATCATATGGTGAGTATAAACGATAAAACACACAAACCTTTCCTTTGGATTCCTTCCCCAAAAGTCACCGTTGGTTTGAGTCTTGACGAAACAACCCGTCATATTTGTTGGTTTGTAATTAACTCCTAACATCAACATTTAGTAACTGCAAACTTAAGCCGTGTCTGCACTGGACTTTCTTTTTTGGAAGGTTTTACCGAGACGATGGTAAAATGAGAAATGGTCAAATGTGACCACTGTCCGAACTTGGACTTTCGACACGGGAAAATTTACCCAGACCGCGTGGGAGAAGTAACCGAGCTGTCACAGTGTATTTGTCCGTTGAAATATATATTTTAACGAGATTTTACCGCTCGGACTTGATGATACACCGCAGCGTGTTTCTACAAAATGTTCGGCCACTGCACGTGCGGGTTCGTGCGGTCTCTGTATGCATAACAGGGCACTCGGGCCGGATGTACGCTTTCCTGAGCCGCTTTTACTGACTCGCACTGGACTTATCGTCTCGGGAAAAGTGACCTGATCAGTTTTCCTGGGCGCGTGGGAAGTTTTCCTGGGCAGCAGTTGGCCAGTAAAAGTAACCGCTGGACTCAGGAAAATTAACCGAGAGGAAAACGTCCTAGGCTGTCCGCACTGGACTTAAAATGGGAAAAGTACCCATAGTCTCGGTTAGTTTGACCAAAAAAAGTCCAGTGCGGACAGGGCTTTAGTCATAACCTATACGTAAAGCTGCCAGCAGCGGAGTCTGTGTGCAGAAAGCATGAACCACCAGAGGAAGAGTTGTGCAAGTGGGGTAGCACCTATTTTGATCCGGGTATTTGGATGGCGTATCGATCAAAGCATCGTGTCAGCTCAGCCGGTCCTTCAGAGGCTGGGGCAAGTCTATTTCTATGTTCGGCAAACTTTAATTCCGCCAACCCCGTTTCTATGATTTTTAGTCAGCGATAGGACCAATATTTCTCAAGATTTCTCCAGCGCTTTTAGTTACGTGTGCTTTGGGCTGAACTTAAGTTTCTTTGCCAGAAATAATAATCAAAGATCCCTCACTGCCGCACCTAACCATCAAAGGGTTGTAGTGACCTTTAACTTCTCTGGTCAAGCGCTCGAGTCCAGCAGTCACTTGGTAATCGCTGCAATTATCCGCTGTCTGCTGGAGCATTGTAAGCCGAGGGTGACCGCGAGGCCCTCTCACACGCTTATTGTTATATTAGAAAAGTAAATCAGGCTTCATGTTTGAAGGAACGTGAGTGTTCCTTCTTCACACTGACGCATGCTGTCTTTTCCTTCCCTGAATTTTAGTGTATACCAAAGTGGGAACTGGTGCCATTTTGATCGACTCTGTTCTCTGCTATGGGGGAGAGAGTCGGTTGTGGTATTGCTCATACGACACGTCAGTAAGTTCCTTCTGTACCCACACAGACGATGCTGGAGCAAAATGCAATGCACCCGGAAGTAAGTAGGACAGAGATGTAGAATGGATATGTACTCAGGCATTGCGCATGAAGACAATCTTGGCCCATTTCTCAAGTAGGAAAGAATGTCTAATGTCTAAGAGTAAAATATTTCAGTTGACCTGGCTTCAGATGTCACGAGACAAATGACACGCTTGCTCTTTTCTATTTTTTGTGCAAGCGAGATTTGTTTGTTGTGAAGTGGTGTATTGTCAATCAATTATTTCTATCCCCATCCTGCATCCTTATAGACCTGATTCACGAAGATGCCATTTTGATTGTGTTTCCCAAATCTCTTTTATAAATTGTAAACTATTGAATGGGATGGTGCCAAACTATTTGATAATTGGAGTGCATTCTGTAAGCCTCTGATTTTTTTAAATTTGGCTTAAATCATTTGGGTATGTTTAATCACAGATGCAAAATTATGCATATCATCACAGCAGACTGGTATTACTTTGTATTATGAACTTTAATTCATTTCTTTAATATTTAATATTTCAATTTAATATGGAGGACTTGTGAATAAAGTCTGTAAAGGCTCTTATGTTCACACGTTTACTCTGCTTAATGCATGATAATCTCATTTTTTTGTGAGCTGAGATATGCACAATGTGATCAAAGACACATTTTTTAATGATAACAAAATGTTGCATGTAACACCCGACTTTACCTGACAGATCCGTTTGTTCTATCTTTCCATTTGTAGCTCTGTCTGCTGTTGCAATTGCCTTCATTGTGTTTGGATCGGTATTTGCAGCTGGCATTCTCGTCCTTTTAGCCATCAAGTATTGGCGCTTCTCGTCCAGACGTTCCTGCGCTTCGCAGGTAAATGTTTCTTCCTCTTTCAACATTCTGAACTTTGACCTCTGATGAACAGTTACCTCCGACCAATTTTGTTCTTTTTTGGGGGTATTTCTTTGTATTGTAGTCGAGTCCGCAATCAAATTAAAATTGAGCTGCAAAGTTTAAAGTTTGAGAAAGGGCTGAACTGCAGTGATCATTATGTTGTAGTGGTTTTCTTTTAGAATGACACGAGTGTTTGAAAACTCAGAAACCATGATCAAAAGTCTTTCAAGCGTTGTACCACAAACAACGCGTTATTTCAGCAGACTTGGTCATTTTCCTGTTTCTGCAAACATGAGAACGTTTGCCTTAAGCCACTGTTCGAAAACGATAAAAAAAAATCTGCAAGAAGGAAAAAACATTGGTGTAATGTCTTTTTTTTTGATAGAGTGTGAGTGGAGGTCAGATGACCGGTGATGGAATGAGAGCGACGCTTGTCCACGCAATGTATGACCCTCATGGAGGTGACCTGCCTCCCCAGTATAGTGACGTCATCGGTCACCCATCGGACCGTCCCCAGGCCCATCCTAGTGGTCCGTACCTCACCACGCCCAATCCATCATATCCCTCGGGCCAAGGCTATCCAGCCACCCTGCAATATCCTCCAGGCCAGAATCTTACTGGTCAGCAGAATCTTACTGGCCAGCAGAATCTTACTGGTCAGCAGAATCTTACTGGTCAGCAGAATCTTACTGGCCAGCAGAATCTTACTGGCCAGCAGAATCTTACTGGCCAGCAGAATCTTACTGGTCAGCAGAATCTTACTGGTCAGCTAAACCCTGCAGGCCAGCAAACCTACCCTGGCCAGCAGAACCCAGCTGCCCAGCAAAAGCCTACTGCCCAAACCTCTGACCAAACCTCTGACCAATCCACTTTAAAGGAATAAACTTCTCTATCAAACATCAATGCTGGCCCAATCCATGGACCCACACCAGTTTACATGTCAGATCTCATCCAACTATACAGACCGTCATGCAGCTTTCATTCAGCCTCAACACTACAGCTGATTGTCCCCTGGACACATCACTCATGGGGGGATCGTTCATTCTCACACGCTGCTCCCAAACTCTGGACCAATCTTCCACTTGAATTACGACAAGTGTTCTTCATTGCAATTATTGAAATCATCTCTTAAGACATATTCACCTTACGTTTTTTCAGTTTGTTTAATTTTGCTGTATAAATCATAACTGTTTATTGATGTAAAATGAATCATGAGCATCTCACCTGGCAGATACCGGAGCTATATAAATGTTCATTGTTATTATTATTATTGTCATTTAATCAGCATCCATTGCCTTACCAAATCACCCTCGAAATCCAATTTCGTTGTAAACATTAAGGTAATAAGCAACTGTATCTAGGGCTTTATTCTTGACTGAGGGCACTGTTTTGGGTATACATACAAATGATGTGTATCCAAAGTAGTTGGCGCAAGTTAACATGATGCTAAAATATTTTTAAAAAGTTGCAATTATACAAATGTTATTTAGATTAATATAAAGGTACTAAATAAAGTGCAAAAATTAACATGATGTTTCTAGTGTTTATATATATATATCAAGAAAATTGCAATGTTACATGTAGTGAATTTCAGCAAAGTAATGTAAATAAAAACCAAGATGAAGCGTCCAAAGAAATAAATTACTTTCTTGGCTATATTTAAATCGCAAATAATCTAGATATAATCTTGTATTTCGACCAGGAAATATTTCCAATGTTTTGTACATAAGGGGAGTGAGCAACACCAACCAAATTTGTCTGCCAGCAAATTATAATGAAATTTAAACAAAGGAATCCATGCGTGCAGATAATTTTAGTTTAGTATATTTTAGAATTGATTAGTAATAAAACTTGTGAAAATAATGTACCATAAAAGACCCACAAAACAGCCTCCTCAAAATTATGGATATAGTTAAAAAATGTTACTTTATGTTGTAAACAAAAACAAAAGTTGTAATTAGGAGATTAGAAAACCAAAACTATCTCCTAAGAAGAATAGTCGATGTGGGATCTATGTTAACTATAAGGTCAAAAAGAAAGTGACCCACATTTAAGATTAAAGTTTCCCCTCCGCCGAGTCAAGGCTCAAAAAGCAATTAAATTTGACACACCAACAAAGCATATGACAAACATGTTTTCCACTCATTTGAAAAAAAATATATAACTGAAACTGATCCATGTCATGAGACGTTATCAAAATATCACAAAAATAAATCCATTTTACCGCTGTCCATAGAATGCCATGGACGCTATGAATATAGAGCTCAGTACAAAAAACCAAAGATTACACATAGACATTCAGATACAACTGAGATTTTTATAATCTTTTTGTCAAGACTGAAATATTATTTTTAGTGTCAGATTTTGTGTTTTGAACAGGAAGAAATGTTATTTTCTAATATAATAGTAGTAATTTTTGTCTGTTTTCCTGTGCAATTTTCGTTCATTCGTGAAGACAGGGAAAGGCACTTGTTTCATTGTATTTGAACGGTAAATGACCACTGGTGGACAGCTGAATTCTGTGACGTTTGTATTAAAATAGACATAACTTGTGAACGTAGTACGCAAATTACATGAAATTCTCACAGTTACTAGTCAATATGTACTTTATCCCTATGTTATTTTTATTAAATGGAGCGAGACTTATTTTTTTAAATATTTTTTTCTCATGTAGTCACTGTCTATTTGACTCGCCCTGTAAAAAAACTCCTCTAACGGCATAATTCCATGCGATGTTCTGTGAAAAGAGAATTTACTGACTGTGATTGACATTATTGAAATTAAGTCGAATAAATCTATGCGGATTCTATAGAAACTATCACTCTCTTTATTAAACAAAAATGCCTCAGCTTCTTAAAAAAAAACCTTTTGTGTAATTTTCTGAGAGACACCGTAACTGTGTTGATGAGAGATTAATGATTTTGATAGGAAGCCTAATACTATTCAGGGCGGAGCCTGGGTGTCCAACGGGGGCAATGCCCCCCCCCAAAAAAAAAAAAACCCCGAACCCATTTTTTGTTTGAAGTGAACGTCGCAATTAAGGCGGGCACTGCGTACGCCACCGTCTTGTCCTTAAAAAATTGGTTAAAGTGGTCTCACCACAGAGCATCCAGAATCCAAACAAAATTAGGGGCTCTTCAGCGGGCCCCGAACCACACGCCGTAATTTTTTTGACCCACTAATTTTTGGGACCACCATTTTTTTTGCCCCCCGTCCAAAAAAAAAAAATTGTTCTGGATCCACTCTTTTTGCGTCAGGGTGATGTAAATCAATAATAGGTTTGGCGTTTCATCGACTGAGTATAAACGTCGGTGAAGGGCACAACCTAATACTGTTTACCCGAGTCAATGGTAGCCTTTACCAAGGCGTTGGGCTTATCGATTCGCCGATAAAAAAAAATTGCCTATAAGAAAATCCCTAATCAACTTGGCAAGGCATTGCGTGCACATATCCGGTCCTACTAAAGCGCGTCAACAAGCGTCAACAAGCGTCAACAAGCGTCAACAAGTTTTAGTAGTCGTTAAGTGCGCGTCAACAAATTTTGTATAGGCCTTTGAACAATAAAAACAGCTTTATATGGTAGAACAAGCAATAATGAACATCTTCTGCATATCAATTAAAGTTAAATTTTTTTTAAAACTTGGTTTTTTGAACGCGAAATGTACGACGAATTTGTCGATAAAAGTTGGCCGCCATCTTGTTTATGTGTAGCTAGCCGTACTACGCATGCGTGAAGTGTAAAGAGCAATACTACGCATGCGCGAAGTCTACAGCGCCATCCAAACAAGATGGCGGCCTACTTTTATCGACAAATTCGTCGTACATTTCGCGTTCAAAAAACCAAGTTTTAAAATAATTTTAACTTTAATTGATATGCAGAAGATGTTCAGTATTGCTTTTTCTACCATATAAAGCTGTTTTTATTGTTCAAAGGCCTATACAAAATTTGTTGACGCGCACTTAACGACTACTAAAATTTGTTGACGCTTGTTGACGCTTGTTGACGCTTGTTGACGCGCTTTAGTAGGACCCCACATATCGATGTCCGTACGCTGCTAGTGAGAAAGTAACTTGTACAGCGAGAGGCTATGCTTGTACGTACGCACGTACACACACGTACTCGTACAACAGCCACGCACACACAGTACATGTACATGCATGAGCTAGTCCGCGTAACCGTTCGTACGGACAAGGGTCGGCGGTACACGCACGTAGCCGCGTTGATTGTGGGTGCAGGGCCCGATTATCTCCCTTCGACAAAAAGCCGAGAGACCGCATTGAACAAGGCTAAGTCAATGGGTGACGGTCAGTCAATACGTCTTGTACACAGCGGATACACCATGGACGATGAACAACTACTCCTGAGTTGTCAATAGTCTGGTTCCCAGACCAAAAGATTCCGACTATTCCTGATGAATCTTAGGGGCCATTCAGAATTTTCAATGTTTTAAAATTTCGATCTTTTTTCCAAATTGTGGGTGGGTGGGTCAAGCTAAATAATTGAAAATCGAAATTCACTTTCCATAGAAAAAAAGATAAAAAACAAAAGAAAGATAGATCTTTTGACTTGCCTGAACTACGCGCAAACGTTCCAATATCGCGATGCGTGTTTCTTTTTCAACTTCGTCCCCTGTATGTACTGTCAGTGGCGTAGCCAGGAATTTTTCGGGGGGGGGGGGGCGCTGGGGGGGGGGGGGGGGGGCTGGAACATGTATGGGGGGGGGGCGTCATGTAGATCAATGATAATTTTTTTAGAAACTCAAAACCTCAGTGGGGAGGCGACTGGGGGGGGGCGACAAGGTTTCATGGGGGGGGGGGCTGTCGCCGTCTGTCGGTCTTCTATGCTGTTATGTTTACTTTCAGGTACCTTCAATGGTACTATGTTTAATTAAGCTGTTCATTTGTTTAATTAAACTAATAACGCACATATAGTTGCCAAATATGGCACTAACAAGTTTGAGGTCGGCAATTTCGTCTTTACAAATCTGGGTACGTCGGGTTACCGTACACACAATTGTCCTGGAAACAACAGTACCAAAGTACAGAAAGTCGTACGCAAGAGCTCCCCAGCCAGTATCGCTGACGCCATTATGATTCTTAAGTTTCTCACTGTCACACAGTGAAATATCTAAACAGCGTCGTTGTACATTTTGTATTGTGAACACATAAAAGCATTCAAGTCGCGTTCTTGCACACTTTTTGCAAGTCGACATAGATATCCTTGAACCACTGCCCCTGCTTTGCATAACAAGTGCACATGAATGAACGATTCGACTTTTATTCAAAGAAATTTCAATGTACAGTCACCAGACTCTATTCAGTAAAGTCCCCGTCAAAACGAAAGTAATCAATCCACGTGCATAACGCACGGCTACACCATCGTACAGTGTGGCAGGGACACCAACAAGTAACACAACAACTAAACATTTTTTTTAAAAAATGATAAATATTCTGATTGAATTTCGTTAAAAGATACTTGTTGGTGAGGTATCACATAATTTTATCACATAAAAGAGGAAGACCGACAAGTTAAGTTTCGTCGACTATCGGATAGTGTCCGAGTACAATAAAGGTTTTATTAACTGCTAATTGCTTATTAAAAACTTAAAAAAAACTAGCTATATAGTTGATAATTAATATCTATTGCTTTTATTTAGAAAACTTGAAATTCAACGACGATTTTGCACTCGGATCGTATACGAGGGGCGAACTTTTTGCTGCGTCATGCACTAGTTTGAATTTGACGACCGTTACCGGCATTTTCCAAAACTCGGCGTGGTCTCAATTCGGCTCCGCCTGCTCACAGTGCTGTTTGGGTGTCTAACTTTGAAGATTCCAGGTCAAAATTAGTCAATGTTTTCTTACAGAAGTATTAAACTGTATATCATAACTGTATGATATATGAAGCAAGTGGTTTATTTAAAAAAAAAATGATCGGAACATTAAAAGCTTTATGTGATAAAGCGAATTTGGAAACGAAGCCGAGCTTTGAAAAAGGGCCGTCAATGTCGTCATGTTTATTTTAAGCCACGGAGGCTGCTTGACCTACAATTTAGACGTGTAGACGTCGGGGGAAATTGTCAGGTCGGGGAACCAGACTAAGTTGTCAAGCGCTGGGCGTGCATCTTGTCATAGTAGGGCATGGTAGCATCGACACAGCGAAGGATGTCAGGTGACAGAGGAGTGCGATCGGGCAGAGGGCGTGGCTTCGTAAAACACGTGCTGTCAAAGGCGGTCTTGTAAATATGCCCGATTTGGTTTACCTCCAGGAAATGCCTTGCGACTACCCATTCCCGAGTGATGGCATCACCTGCTCCCCATCTCAGAAGCCTCTCCTCAAAAGGCATCCTGATGGCCTTGAAGAGAGCCGAGAGGATACCCTTAGGGTCTTGAAGAAGGTCATCCGTATCGATGATGATCGGCTCTTGATCCTGGGTCTCCTTAAGATACTCGATCAAATCATTTATCTCTTTATAACCCCGACCTTGAGGGAACAGTCCTGGAGGCAGTTTATCAAGCTCAAACTCATCCATCGAACGGCCCATTGCAAGATGATACACTTTTTTCCAAGATGGAAAGACCTTCAGAGGATTGCGGATAAGAAAAAGATGCTGGTAGTTCTCAGGGAGGAATGCAAAGCGATCTGAGACAGCGTATGCCATGTCCTTGCAGAGAATGAACTTCTTGCCATCGTGGGTCTCTTCAAGTTGCTCCTTCACCCACTTGTAGGTGAACTGAGAATCATCGGTCACTCCTACAGCCTCCTTCCGTGTCGTATTCCTGTCTACTTCCTCATGGGAGGCAGCACCTTTATCAGTCCCCACGTGGAAGGCAGCTACGTACGGTTCAAGGAATACTTTTGAGTCTTCAACGAAGCTCAGACATTTAGTCAGGGCAGTGGATGTTGAGCGAGGGGTGGTCCATATCATGAGTCGTACTTGTTGCTCCTTCGAGGAGGGAGATTTCTCACAGCCGGCCATCTGTTTTGAAATAATCAAAATCACAAAAGAGGTAACGACGACGATATGAACGACTAACATGGATGTCAACACTCAAAACACATAATTCAGTGAGTTTTGCCAGCCTCATACACCATCAATCGATAACCTTCAATAACAGCTCTTGTGTCATGATTTCAGTTCGAGGTTTCAAAAATATTGAAAACCAAACTTCATAAAAAATGTCGACGGTCTTCATAGCCTACCTTACGGCGATCAATGACGTTGATGTTCGTGATTTCTGTGCAATATCACTCAGAATATCCGAGACGATAACGCAGCTCAGAGCAGTTAGTTTTTGTTTTGAGCACCTGTGGCGCATTCCTCTGATCAAAGGACAGCGGAAGATAATGAGTGCAATGTACAGCACGTCCACAGGATGGCGCGTACACGCAGCATTTAACGTGGTGCGAGTGATGTGCATGAATTGATTTCCATAAGGGTGCACTGAACCAATTCAAGCCCCATTGAAATCAGTGTCAAATTAACAAAGCTCAGGGCCAAATATAGCCTTGACCAAGGCTATCAGCTTGTTCCCATATGAGTTTGTTCTCGCTACCGCACACCGCGCGCACAGCAACACAATGTTGTACTATATACCGTTTGCCCAACGACCCTTGCGTGTGCTTTGTGTGCATGTACGTACGCCCCACACTCACTTCCGCAAACAGCCGTACAGTAAATCGAGGCAGAAGATCCTCGACTGACTGTACGGCTGTTTGCGGAAGTGTGTGTGGGGCGTACGTACATGCACACAAAGCACATGCAAGGGTCGTTGAGGCTAACGGTATAGTAAAACTAGTGATTGTGTCGCGGCGCGCGCGGTGTGCGGTAGCGGGAGCAAGCTCGTATGGGAACAAGCTGATAGCCTTGGTCAAGGCTAGGCCAAATAAGGCCAAAAAACATATTCGGTCTTTGGTCCGGTCAGACCAATGTTCCGGAATTGACGCGGCGACGCGGCTTTTTTTCTTTTCTTTTTTTGCTTTTTTTTTCTTCAAGCTTGGATTGTACAGACAGGGTGGGCTACTATTTTGCTTTTTTGGTGTCCTCATGTACATTAATTGGTGTCCTCCATAATTTTCCTGGGTGCTCTCGATCATTTGCCTTGGTGCAATTTCCCATTCCTTGGTGCTCTTTGGTAAAAAAAAAATAAAAAAAAATGAGGAGGTGCGGTAATAGAGGGCGCTGTTGAAGCTACCATGGAACATTTTGGGGGAAAAAAGATTGACGCGCATGATTAAAATCGACGCGCGCGCTGACCAGAGACCGACATATTTTTTTTTTTGGCCTAACATGCAAGCCAACATCACTGGGGTTTCTCAAACCAAAATTAAATCATAGTGTATTGTCCTTCATGTTTTCATTTCTTTTCAATTTTGGGTAGACTACATTGCATTTTTTTTTTTTTTTAATATTCACACCAAAACAAAATCACCTCCGGAAAAGTGGTAGTTCCCAAGTCTGCATGTAGCTATTTTACAGGTGGCATCCTTCCACTTTCTCAGGCAAATAGGACCCATTTTTTAACCGTAATTATATCAAGCCTACCAAAGCTGGATTAAAGCATAATATCAGCAATTACTAAGCAATAAGATAAGGTTTGCGGTTGCTCCATTTCACAAATCTCGTTCGTGAACCTTTAAACCTCACTCACCACAGAGATTTGGTACATGGTGCAATTACCGTAAATTGTATGGCTATATCTTCAGCATGAAAACTTTCAAATCTTAACTTCTATGCAAATTTTGACTAATATCGACAATTAAAACGACAAAATTCCTCTCAATCGATTAATGGGTATTCAGTGGAAACTTTCCATTGTGCTATTCAAATGGGCCGAATTAAGCTATTCGTTTCGTGTTAATCCTATTTTAAGCTTTTGAACCAAGGCGAGACATGATTCAAAAGTTGTGGTCAATCGGGGAGTCGGGGAGTCAGTCAGTCAGAGTACAGGTTTGACGGACCAGGGGCGTAAATCCGGGGGTGGGGGTGGGGGTTATATCCTTATTTCCGATCAAATAAAAAAGTTAATTACTTCTATTCCTACCTCCATGATATCTCACACACTTTAGTATTTCTGTAAGAAACATCGGCCAATATTGAGTTGTTGGAATCTTCAAAGTTAGGGACCCATTGCAGGTGAAGCCGAAATGGAAACGACTCCCAATTTTGGAATACCCCCAGGTAACCCAAATAAAAAATTTAATTAATTCTATTCCTACCTCCATTACCTCACATACTTTAGTATTTCTGTAAGAAACATCGGCCAATATTGAGTTGTTGGAATCTTCAAAGTTAGGACCCATTGCAGGTTAAGCCGAAATGGAAACGACTCCCAATTTTGGAATACCCCCAGGTAACCTAGTCTATGTAATAGACCATGGCAGAGCAGATTCGTTGCATAATTATGCAGGACAACCGCATCTTGACCTCTAGATTTTGACCAATCAGCGGGCGCTTTCTATGTGTCGGGTCTTCGGTCATTCACCGTTGTGGCGTCATAGACATGGATAAATCATATATGGATATATATCAGACGTTAAACAGGAGACTGGGCTCCGTGCACTCTAAAGACTCCAGGGTCAATTGACCCCGAGGCCGATATGAGTCTATATCTGCCGTCTTTTCAGGGTCAAACAAATGAGGCTTTTCTAGGTCAAAATGATCCAGAAATATGTCATTTTTGACCCAGAAAAAAGTTCATTTTGACCAGAAAAGAGTAACTGTGACCTGGAAAAGTGATATGCAGATATGGACGCAGATTCTGGGTCAATTTCGACTCGGGAGTTTTACGGGTGATACTCAGACTACAGGTAACCATCATCAGAATTACAATAACCCAGCAAAGCTCGCCCCGGCCCCTGGTGCAGTGGCGTATCCAGAGGCGGGGGGGGGGGGGGGGGCAGAGGGGGCACTATGGCGGATTTTGTTTCACACAGTTATTTTAAGCAATTATTTCAATAAATAGTTTGAGAGTTCCGACATTTCATTCCCAAAAAAAAGAAAACCTGCTCAAAAACCATAATAATGCGCCGTGAAAATGGGTATGGGGGGGGGGGCCTATAATTTGTGGAGGCCAAGTGTCCAGGGGAAAAAATCTACATTTGGGTGCGGATGTGCGGTTGCCCCCCCCCCCCCCCCCCCCGACATCCAAAGCTGGATACGCTACTGCCCTGGTGTACACGATGCGAGTGCGTATATACTTGATTCAGAAAATTGTCATTGAATTTCATGGGTTTTTTTTATACCAGCAATGAATATTAATTTTCAACACATTTTTAAAAAATAAGCATGGCAGGTAAATAAAATGTCTTTTATACCCAGAAATACACAGGCGCTATCCGAGAATGTCCACAAAACGCCAGTTCGGCAAACGTCGGGCATTTTCGGAAATGGGAGGCATTCCTCCCGTTTTCAGCTCGTGTCGTACATAATCCGTGTCCGAATTACTTGGCCACGCCTTTAATTGCCATTACACACGTGTCAATGCCGGATTTAAGTTCCCACGTAGGTGCCAGTGGGCGAGGCGAAAATATTCACGACATGTGACCTATCTGCATGCTCACTGTACCATGACTGCACAAGCAAAACGTTTACATTTGTCTTGAATCGGCCGCGCCGTCCAACTGGAAGCCATACACCAACGCGGAAACTCTTACCATGGGGTCTTCCCGTGCGCGAAAAACGACGATTTTGGATGCTTGGAGTGTGGCAAGTCGACCAAAAATCCGGCCTTATGAACGGGGCCACTGCAACATTTCGACGCCGACTTGTTTGGTCGTCGTCACAAATACTGACTTGAACTTTGCTGTAGGCCCTAGGCCTACAGAACTTGTCATAAAAATGTGTTGTGTTACTGAACTGGACCTTGCAACTGCATTCATTTGAAGACTCAATTTGTGCTGAACTGAACTGAATGCACTCATGAGATTTGTGTGAACTCATAATTTTGTCGAATGATCTGAATGACGGTTTTGGAAATACTCGTCAAGCTTTTGGAGTTCGTCGGGGGTAAGTCCCACTGTATTAATGGAAATATCGAGGTGAGTGAAAATTGATATTCTCCTAGTTTTTGCACACAATCCATAGGTTTTACACACAATCCATAGGTTTTACACACAATCCATAGGTTTTACACACAATCCATAGGTTTTACACACAATCCATAGGTTTTACACACAATCCATAGGTTTTACACACAATCCATAGGTTTTACACACAATCCATAGGTTTTACACACAATCCATAGTTTTTACGCACAATCCATAGTTTTTTACACACAATTGTGTAATACACCGTGGCTTTTTTGTTTGATTGACATGCCTTTTGTACACGTGGTTACAAAAGCCATTTAAAACGACTAGCGAGTGGCGCGAGTCGGTCACGTAGGCCGCACGTGGCCGGCGCCCGGCGCATTGGGCGTGGTCATAGGCGCCGCTGATTCTTATTGGTCGACGGCCACGCGCGGTATGCGGCCAGGTGCACCGTTGTTGCTAAACTTTCAAAGACATTCCAAAGAGGGGCATTTAGAGATTTACTCAAACGTTGGAGTAAACAAGTTTATATATTCGTTTGAATAGGAGGGTTCCTTGGAATTTAGTTTGCCTTTGCTGTTATAATTGTATTAAAATTACTGGTTTAGAGACTTACTTATGAGAAGAAATAGCTTCGAGCTTTTATATTATTCTTGAAAGATGACATAAATTTGAAAAACCTGAACACCATGAAATCGAGGAGCTAACAACGGAGCCAACGGATTTTTATGACACGATATATCTAATGCAAGTATATTATTTAGACTCAGGGCGGCATTCCAATGGACCAACATCAATTTTATGGATACAGTATCCACAGATTTCAAATTATTTTTCAAATTGCTCAAAATAATGAACTTTACACCATTAACTTTTAAAGGTAACTTGTACATATTATAAATGCTACTAAGTTCAAGAAGACAGTTGAAGACAACATATTTATTGACGGCTGAATGTTTTTGATTATGATTGTATAAATTTGGGTTTAAAAGATAGCCAACGGAAATATTTGAAGCTCGTAAGAATAATTGGAGAAAATCTGCTGTTGAGGATGGATAACCAGCGATGAGTCGACGTTTGGAAGAAGGAAAATAATCCAAAGATTATGATTGTATTAAATGAATGATTACGACTTTATAAGGTTAAGGTGTAGGATTAAGGCGGGGTGGGGTAGGGTATAGGCACATGGCGCGCACAGGCAGCCGATGACACCAGCAGCAGCGTAAACAGTAACATAATCATAGCCTGGCACAGCCATGGTGTACAAATTTAATAATTAAAATACCATGAAAATTTTCTAAAAAAAATAAATTTTCCAAGTCGGTCAAAAAGGAAGAAAAATAGCAACTAATTGGTAATCTAAG